GAGAGTGGCAGCTGTTGCCGTGGTGACTGCTAGCAGGATAGGATGGCGAGAAAAATATTTACTCACTCCGCTGATCGTACCTACCTACTCGACCTACTACTGCATGGGACACCTGATTCCGAGACCTTTGAATTATCCATCGTGTGTAAGTATGTAGGGTAAGGGTGTACTCTATGTATGTACACGAATATGGATCAGTCTGAGGGGCAAGCTGCGAGAGTACAGTAGCTAAACAATTTGATATGACCAGGAATGACTAGGGCTGACTCGGTTCAGAGGATTTGACCAATTGAAGAAATCCCTCGGTAGTAGGTAGTTTTGTGTTCTGTGGGGAAAACCAAATCTCGACTCCCAAGGTACTAGGTAGTACCGCAGATTGTGGTACCTACATCAATATTCATCTGGGGAGTTATGTGCCCGGAGGCGGTGCTCTAGAAGACTCTACTAGATGATGGGGACCCTCATCGAGCTCCTTAATGTTTCAGGTATTCCAAAGGCTAGGGTGATTATGGGTAAGACACCGAAGCCCTCAACAGAGGGGAAAAGCTACTTTTGAATACTTGCTCTGCTCTACAAATCCATTATTCCTGCATATGCGGGGAAATTATTAACCGCGATTAATCTGTACCACCATGTATTTGCCGGGATGGCTCGTGAAGTTAGAGTGATCCGTACCAAAACCTCTAAAGGTTTAGAGTTACGCCCTACTAGATCAGTAAAGTATCCTGTGGCTAGTTTGATGTTTGGAATGTAGTTAGTGGCCCATCTTATGCCTTGGAAAACTGGTCTTGGAAACCTCTCTCGTTTTCTCTCCAAAGTCGTCAACTCTTATTTAGCTGCGTCTAATAGCATGAAGCTAATGGCCTGTGATTGATCACATAAGAAATTAAACGTAATGAATTAAACAATGCATAAAGCCTAACCCTAACTTAAAGTGCTGATGCTTATGCGTGCCATGTACCGCATACCTACAGCGCTGTATGCTGTGCATACATCTCTCTAGATCAATAAGCTAGAGCTCCACACATGGCAAGAGGTACATACATATATGTAGGTTACCTGTAGAGTAGGTACCTACCTCCTCTATAAGTACCCTCCAAATAAAGTCTCGAGTGGGCGAAACGTGCAGTGCTTTATGTAAACTTGATGTTGACAACGCCGATCTTGACATGAATAGATTAGTATTCAGCCTTACTCGCGCGTTAATTAAGTCCTGAGAAATTTTGTGAGGTCGTTGCTACCAAGAATTCTCAGAACTTAATTAACGCATGAGTATTTCGCCTTAAAAATAAAATGGAGGCAACGGCTGCAGTACCTCCCTTGGAGGAATATCGCGGTGATCATCTTTCTGGGAAGGAGTCCTCATGTTAGAAAAGATCCTCCCTCCGGGTTCTTGACCTCAAAGAGCCTTGTGCACAAGCACTGATCATTAAACTACCACAATTCTTGAATTTTGGGGAGCAGTGACGGTCTCCCGTGATGGCGTAAGAGCTAGCACAATATCCTGAGCCGGAGGCCCTGACATCTCTTTCGGCCTCCGGACATCCCATCCAACCACCGGCGAGCCATTGAGTGGAAAAGATATTCCTGAAATTTAATACTCCTGTGGCTTGGATACGCGGCCTTTTTTTGGTCCCACGGCAGTCCCACTTATCAATCGGCTTGGGGTTTCGAAAATGTGACCGTGGAGATGGGGACGATTTCCGATAAGTCCGAACGGATCAGAACTAGATTTGGCCGGGGCATTGAGTTGAGATTAATTTGTCGCTGACGCATACGGTGTGAATCTCACATAAATGTTTCAAAACGGACTTCATGTGCATTTTTATATGGGGCACGGACCCCTCTCATCGAGCAGTATAAAAATACTGATATCACTAACACGAGGCACGTTTATTTTAATTTTGTGCACCTGAACTTGTACTATGTATGAAGTACCTACTCAAAAAAAAAAAAAGAGAAAGGCTGGTAATACGTGTAGAATATTCGAGTTCTGAAAGAGGCTATTCACCGGAGCTCCCTGGACCTTATCCGATTGAGTTTAATTAATATAATTAATAAAGAACTAAGAGAAAACTAAGTGGACGTTGCACGTACCGGCCCAATACTTGTCAATGTCGGTGAACGCACTGTAGTTTTCTTTTTTCTTTGTTTAGTGCCATAGATAGCATCAGTCAAGTCCTGCACTCAACTCGTCAAGCTAAGATTCTTGATTATTATGTTTCGTTTTTCCACGCCTAATACGCGCACCCCCTTCCTAATACGTAGTCAGATTCCAAGCGAACCAATCGAGGCATGGAGACGATCACTTAGAGTGTTATGCCGAACGAACCAGCCTGCAGCTGACATTTGGTATCACAATATCTTGTGGATAGCAAGCAGCCCATAGTTTGAGTAAGTGGTGTGGTGTTGACAAAGATTGTCGGAGAAGCTTCGCGGGGATAACGACGATCAACGTTCTGTAGCCTCACAGCGGAACTCATGGCGCTCCCCGATGGTTGTGAGACTCAATCACGTGGTGAATCTTCCGTAGTAATTTGGTTGGTCATTGATAGTAAGCCATTGAAGCCATTGAAAGTTCAGGTCGCTAAAGAAGAGGTAATTATGTGCGACAGGATTGTCAACCGTATTGACGATTTGTGGCATGTATGCTACAGCTCCTCCATTTAAATCATGTATGTCGAAACCAAGTGTCTAGCGAATACCTTCCTGGTACATACATAACCTATTACAAACTGATAAGTTTCGTGGTGAACTGGGACAGTGGTGGATATTCCGATATCCTGGTTTTACAGCGAGAGGTAAAATTATTGTAGAAACAGGGGTCTAAAAACAGGGTCTCTGTGGCTGGGCAAGCCAATAGGACTCCTCCCATATTTCTACAATAATCTTACCGCAAGCTGTACGATTGCTTGGTTCCCTGGTATCGAATGTGTGAGATGTTACAAGAAAACCTACCAATGATTGCCAGGCAGAACCCCGTGGTCCACAAAGGATTCCCACCCAGTGTTCCCTTGGTTTACCGTTATTACCTGTCCATAGGTTTCTAATGCTCACGTGTTGATTTGAAAGGCGAGAATAAATAACTGAGGTGACTTCATAGAAAACACATTGCGATCGGAACTCAACATCAGTAAATTTCTTTTTTTTCTTGGTACTTTACCTACTCCCTAACATGGAGTGCCAGTACAGCCACACTCTATTTCAACGTCTTGCTCGATTATGGCTTTTCGGGTGGAAATCACCGCATTTACCCCCAGTGATGTGTTGATTCAATCTCCTGCAAGATGACTGGAAATGATCAAAATACCATGAAAAAATCGCAAAGTTTCTAATTGAGCGATTTTTAGATTTTATTTTAATTAGAAAAGTTCATATAATATTTAGAGCCATTAGGAATAAAATTTAGTAGATTTTGAGTCTAAGGAGCATACATTTGAGACACTAAATGTATCTTTAATGACAGCTTCAAGTACAAACCCTAGCCCTAATACGAGATCGTAATTCTCGAATTGCAGACGTCATTCGTATCATTGGCGGCCAATAAAAACCTCCGATAATTCAATGGTAACTTGAAGCACGGTCGTTTACGCAGTGCTAGTGATCACCGCCACTCCATGCAAATTATCCCTACCCTAAATAACTCCATTTTCTGGTTCTTTCTGGCTGCAATAAGCGAACTGTCAAACTTGCAGACGCCTGCTTACCGGTATTTTGCAGCATAGTAATCGCATGTTAAAACGGATAACAGTGGGCCATTGAACTCATGAGGTCAACTGCAGTAGCGTGACTACATGTAAGTGGTATACCTAGACATCCTGCCATATGTGTGTGCAGCTGACGAATCCCCCAGCTCGTCTTTGTAGCAGAGGTTGTTGAAACAATCGGTTCTTTATGTGTTTCCATTTTTCTTTTTTTTACTGCGTATATGTGTACAGATGTACACGAAGTATAAAAATCAAATAGCCACTTTGCGTGTTTGTTTTGTCCCACGAACCGTCAAGTCAATAGGATATATCATTGGACAGTAAGATATTGGAGCAAAGCTAGAATTTTCGACCTTTTTTCATGATCGTTACAGAACGTCAATGATAGATGGCCCGGTTTTATTGTCCTTAAGCGATTGTGGCAACACATGGCTGAGGTTGCAGCCTCGAGTGACCAAGTAAATGCAAGGAATTTGTGCATAAATTGAGGATTTTTATGGGCTAACTTCACGGGGAACAACGGGACAATAAGGTACTGCTGTATCTAGTTCATCCCATCCCAGTTCCCCTGTTGTATGGTGATGTTTGATATTTATAAATTGTGATTGGATTTCAGTTGCAGATCGATTTTATCGCACCGAAGAGAAAATAGTAACGGGCCTTGGTCTTGTCGGTTTGGGGCCTGAGTGCCAGAACCACAGAAGAAGCGAGAATAGATTGCGACCATGTTCAAATACCTTACCACTCCCGAGGAGACTCTTTTGATAGCATTCTCGCCTTCAACTTTGACAGACTGAAGATACTAGTAGAAAGAGAGAAACGGGAAGCGTCGGCAATACCCGCTTGCGTGCAATGTCCAACCCCGCATTTCGGCAAGTTGGACGAGTTTCGCGCCAACCTTGATCTGGCTGGGATAGACATTCTTTGAGCTTATTAAGTAGCCTTACTTTGTTGCCACTCACTGCTTCTCGCTAATATTAAGGGTCGTAATTATCGGCCGGCGGACACCAGTTCCCCTTCAGAGACTTTTTGTTTTACATAATTTTCAACTTTATTGTATGTAAGTGTTTTTTTTTTGGCTGCAGTATGTACTTTCTTGTTAAGGTCCGCGGCGTAGGGTTTTGAGAGCAGTGAATGCCGTGTTTATTATGACCTTTAATTATCGTCGAGCTGCATTGCATGTCTGGCTCCGAGGTTAAATTCTCAGGTGTTTACACTTTTCACAGGCACTGAACGGTACAGAGGCGACCATAGCTGTAGACAACACATGTGGAAAAGATGGCGAGACCGTTTTCACCTGGTGGATGTCGTCCGCTCACGATAGCTGTTTGGCCAAGCCAGTTGACCACCACTGGTCATGGATTCTGATACTAACCGAATATGGACCTAGAATTCTTTATTCAGGTTAGTGTATTGTGGGGTTGTTACGCAGGTTGATACTGGCCACCTGACCTTCAACATCCATGTCCGAAGGCCTGATTCAACAGTGCACTTCACTTCTTGCGACGAGGGAGAAAGGTGTCCAAGACGAACCCGCCGGTAATAAAGGACGCTTTCATTTGTTGTCCTGCAGCCGCCCCCAGAGTTCCCTTCGCTTGGGATTTTTCTGGCGGTGTTGAGAGTGCGCAACCTCATATGGGAAAAAAGTAAATCCAAGTCTGCATGATCTGTGTGGGCGGCCATTGGGGCTGAAGCTGTCATGGTACCTTTTCTTACATAGATTTTAGAGATGAGGAGAGAGATAAAACTAAGGGATCCAGGGCAGCAAACTCCTTGTAGAAAAGAACTTTCATAACGCAGCCAAATTTCACCATTAGCAATCGGCAAGCGGTGAGAAGATTGAGTAGGTGCCATTCAAACCTATTGCGTCATGCCGGTCACGGACAGCTGCGTGGGAGAGCATATAAACCTCATATCGTGATAGTTAAAGTGAGCTTCTACCGGTAGACGCTGTACAAAGTTCTCCAGGGGGGTGACTTGGCTGCTAACGTGCGTCAATCAATGAGGTATTGCACAACACAGCTCCAGTGAGCTTCCCGGGAGAGATATTTGGCGTTGAAATTTGAAGAGGAAAGAAGAAGGGGGGTAGATGGTGTAGTAAGGGAAAGGAATAAGGAGGAGGAAAGAAGGAAAGAAAGAAGAAAAAATAAGGTACATGCCCACTTTGTAGAATGACAACGAAGAACAGAAGACATCCTGAGGAGCTCACGATAGTAGCTACATACCTCTAGCTATGATAGCAACCTGTCCTTCCCCACCAATCATGCTACTCAGTTACTGCTTCCACACTCTTGGTCACACCCTTGTTGCTAGCCCGACCCTCGATTTGATCGTCCATTGCTGCCAGTGACTGCCCTAGTTTTTCCCCTCCCTCCTCCCTCTCATCTCTCTATTCTACGCCGCTTCCCCTGCGCAGCTGCCTCCTCATCATCAGCATAATAATCATCATCATCGCCGCCGTTAGTATTATAAGAGCCACCGTCATCTTTCACTTTGTCTTTGACCTCCTTGTCGTCCCATTGCCACTACTACTACTATTGCTTCTATCAACCAGCCCTGTAACCATTGCCGTCTCAACCATCAGCATTAGTTATATTATATCTATCTGCCACATTTCCCAAAGACCGTCACTGCCGTAATTTTCGATTCACTACAATTGTTGACCCCTTCAACGTGCATTCGGATTTAAGAGAAACCATTCACGTACTCATCCTTTGAATATCCATTATTTCTCTCGATCACAGAGTTGTTCCCACTTGTTCCTAGTTTTTCATTCAAACTACCCCCTACTAGTTGTTGGCTGGCGCCTTATGATGGCTACCACCGATTAGCGAACCAACAAACAGCGAAGTCACACTCTAAAATCTCTCTACATTCCCCTGGTTCAATTGTTCCCACAAAATAAAAATAAAATAAAGAAAGAGAGCCTATAGATAAAGGTAGGGCACAAGTTCAACGGCGAACCCCCGTTTCTCGCTGGATGTCTTTCTTGAATCTCTGACGTCCCAATCGTCATTAGCCTCCCCACAGCCTGTGTAAATCTATTTTCTTCTCTTTACGTACCTACCCTTAATATCATTACTCTTCCCCTTCGCTTATAAGACACGTCTGTCATTTACGCGGAACCCCGGACAGGTGAGCCTCATCCAGGGCCCTCCTCCGAATCCCCAGATCCCCTTCTCTTCTTTTTGTTCTTTGCAGAGGTTCACTGCTTTCTCCAAGCTTGTGCTGATGCCCACGATGGCTTGACAGCTCCCTTTCCTCACAATACACGCACATACACTTATAATTCACACGGGGAGCTTGTAAACGAGCCCGACCATCATAGTTTTGGCGTTTTCCCTATTGCCCGTTTTGACTTGGTGAGCATTGGGGCAGCTAGGCGCGCCCTTTTCCATCCTCGGTGTACCTCAGCTGACTCGGCTGCCCCAGAAAGTTTATCTCGTTCGATAACCAAGAGCGACAAAAGCGACAAGACCGACCGCTTTTCGCGATAGTCTCCTTTCCTGTTTAATCTACATATTTGCGTACAGCCAGTTCGTTTATAGTCGTAGTGCTCCCCTCCTCGTCGTGTTTCTGTGCTTCTGTGGCGATCTCCTCGAATTTGCCCGTTTCACCACCAGCAGGGCCGCATGCAGAAAGTAAGTCCCAACTATTCTTGCTTGTCTTGAATACGTTTCAGGTCTCTACTCACGCGTGTTTTGCCCTCTGTTTTAATAGAATCATCCGCTTTTCCATTTAGAGGACCAGATTGGTTATAGCACCCCACCTTTCATTCGTTCGCTCCAAGAATCCAACGAAGATCACATCACAACCGGCATATCGAGCCCTGCCCCGAAGGATCCCTCCTTCAACTGCTACTTTACAAATAATCCCACCACGTACCGCTCGAGTTCCAGGAGCAGTGACTTCGAAGTTCAGCAAGCTCGCGACGATATGTCTGACGTGCCTTCAACTAACACTCCACGTTTGAGTGATATCTCTTCGATTGATTCTCCCCGGACTTCTCTTGATCATACTTCAGCTGCTGGGATGAGTGGTGGCCAACCGATAACCTCAGGGTCGAACTTCAACCCCTTGGGAGGCTCAGGGTCACTAATGGTGCTCGATGAATCTCGATTACGTCGTGCATCTCCTGATTCGGACGCGTTGGTTTCTTCTGACGAAGAGGCCGAACAAAACCAGCATTCTTACTTTTCACAGCACAAAAACAGCGCCATCTCCGCACTTTCGTCGAGACGCCCGTCCTATGCCGCTGAATTCCAAAACCGACATAGGACTTATTCCGTCGCTGGAGGCGGCCCCTTGTCACCTACAAGTTCCCATCCTGCGGCGCCAGCTGGGGATACCGCTGCCTGGGCTGCTGGACTTCAGGGAGCTAACCAATCATTGGCGCCTATTTGGAACTCAATCTGGAATTCAGAGCCGTCTAGGAAGAGCCCCCCGGGACCACTTGATGTTAGACGTTCCTCCGTTGCTGCGCTATCATCACATAGTCCTTTGTTCGTTGGCAGTGAGGCTCTACCAAGCCCGACCAGTATGGTACCACCAAGCTCTGGAGATTTTCCAATTCCAATTCCGCTACAGCCGCAGCTTCGTAATTACAGATCAATGTCATTTTCTGTTGGACAACAGCCGCGGGAATTGGATGAACGTTCAAGGTTATCTCCACCAGTAGGCGGCCCTAGGCCACATGCTGCCCCCGGTCTTCATCACAGGCCATCCAGACCTAGCTTACTCTCCGGAGAGCAATACCCCGGGGAATCCACTCCTCTCCGAAGTGTATTTGAGACCGAAGACGATGATGAAAATGATCCTGGTCGTCCAGGCGGGTCATCGAATGGAGCAGGCGGTTATCTACATTCTAATGGAGTCAATGCAACTCAACAAGCTATGCAAATGAGGGCGAGATACGAGTCAATGCGACTTAGAAATCGTTCAGCCTCAACCGCCAACATCTCACTAGCTGCAGGGTTCGGTGGCGGTATGTCGTCAGGTTTGGGAGGTAATAGAGATGAAAAAGGGCTTACTCATGAGGAATTTGATTCAGCTCTTGCAGATGACGATGAGCTAGATTATCATCATTACTCCGAGCAGCGGCGTTTCAGCGAGGCACCTCCGAGATCACTAAGTATATATGCTGAAAACCAACGGCTTGAAAGCCTTAGGAGGCAACACTGGCAGAGTCCCAGCGGACCTTTCGGAGGCCCAGAATCCGGGAGTCAAAGTAGAAGGCACTCATTTGCTGGGCGACTTCCAATGGGTGACGGATTGGAATTTGGTATGGCGAGTGATCTACTTGGGAAAAGAGCCAATAGCCCGCCGCGGTATGGAGAAAATGGCCTTCTCGTGGTTAATAATCGAAGTGGCGGTTATCTCTCGTTGACTGATGCACCAATCTCTGATGCCTCTGGGAAAGAATTCTATATGAACGAAGAAAATCGTCTTCGTCAGCGCCAAAATTTTCCCAACGTGGGCGGGATGGGACCCTCACCGGCAACACCTCCCAATCAACATCATCTACAGCATCTACAGGCGTACCAAGCCCCGGCACGTATTCCTTCACCCCCTTCGACAGGCTCTCACCGCGCAATGATGGGCATGCCTCCCCACCATGCTCAACAACCAAGAAGTCAACAGCTGCTGTACTTCGTGACCTTCAAGGCGCAGCGTGGGGATGTTTTTTACGTCCAGGAAGGAACTGGATTGCGTGTTCGGAATGGCGATTTAGTGATAGTCGAGGCTGATAGAGGCACTGATCTTGGTACTGTGGTTGCCGAAAATATCACCTGGCAGAAAGCTAAGGATATGAAAGAGCACCATGCAAAGGAGCAATATAATTGGCTTATGATGTTCGCTACAAGAAGGCCTACAGCTCCTGGCGCCCCTCCAAATGGCACTGGGAATATGCATAACAGTGTCAATGGAGGTGCCGCTCCGTTTACTAACAGTGGAAACACTGGTGCTATGCCTGGCGCTCACGGTCCGATGCAAGGTCAGGAGGGCGCTCCCACAGAGCTGAAGCCCAAGATGATCAAGCGGCTAGCCCAGGTTCATGAGATTCAAACATTGAGGGACAAAGAGGCCAACGAGGCAAAAGCAAAGAGGGTTTGCCAGCAGAAAGTTTTAGAACATAGGTTACCTATGGAGATCTTGGATGCAGAATTTCAAATGTATGCCGCCCCCCCCAAAAAAAAAAAAAAAAAAAAAAAAACCTATTTTCTGTACTGACCACATGGGCTCAATCAGGGACTGGAAGAAACTCACATTTTACTATTTTGCCGATTCTTATATCAATTTCAACTCCTTGGTCACAGATCTTTTCAAAGTTTATAAAACACGTATTTGGATGTCAGCGATGAACCCTGCCTCATTCGCTCATCCCACTGGCCTCCATCAACCAGGATCTGGACTTGGTGCTTCTGGCGCTCTAGGGCCTATCGACCCTTCGGAACAGCCGCAGCAAATGATTCACCATTCCCAGTTCTCGGGAATCAACCAAGGTTATCCTGGGTATGGCCCACCAGTAGCAGCCAATGGAGCCATGATGGGAGTTCATTCGCGTGGACACCAACAGGCTTTGCTCCAGCAAATGTCAGCACCAGGTCAAAATCCCATGTTGCAAATGACAGCATCGGGGTTCCCCCCTCGCCATTCCCCACACGGTGCTGTCGCAGCGCATCAAGATTTTAGTCACCTTCCGCAACAACAATTAAACGGCTATAATCACAGCCAATCTTTCATGAATGGGAGTGGAAACCACCACAGCCAAGCCCATTTGGGAGGAAATGTCGATAGCCATGCTCCGAATGGAAATCCAGACAATTCATGGATGAATCTACAGGGACTTTCCCTTAATTCTCACTAGAGGTGTGATTACCTCCGACTATATTTTTACTACTCTGGTATTTATTCTACTATATCCATTCGTTTTACAGGGAGTTGGTGCCTTTTTACTTTCAATTTTTGGACCCTTTTACAATATCTTTTCTCTCATTTTTCTCTATTATTTGGAGTATTTCTTGCCATTATCTGGACTTTGGGAGTTTTTAGTTTGTCATCGTTCTCCGTACCCGCAAGGTTCCTTGATATAATCGGGTTTAGGAGGGACTTTGTTCATGAGGGGGAAGATATAAAGATCGGGAATACGAGAATTGGCGTTCTTTTATTGTTCTTGCTTGAAAAATAAACGGGGTGGGATTCTGGCGGGAAACTGGATTTGGAATTTTTAAACTCTCTTTTATTTTATACTGTCTACACTATTTTCATTTTCATTTAAGTCATCGTCGATAAAGCAAAAGTTCATGATTTCCTTTTTTTTCCCCTTTTTTTTCTCCCTTTTTTTTTCCATTTGTTGGTGCTCGTTTGCTGTGCACGCGCCAGGTTGGGGAAGAGGGTACTCATTACATCACGGAATTGCAGTATGGAGGTGTAGATTGAAGGATGCCGGTGGTTTCGGGGTATGGTTCGGTGGGGTTTTTTTACACGGAAACACGGAAGAGAAAAAAGACTGGGTTTCGATCAAAGTTAGAAAGGTTAAGGTGTTGGGGATTCTTTTACCTGGTGAGAGAGTATGGCATTCAGCCTCCAATCGGTTTCTTCGTTTTTCTTGATTTTCTATATTTTTTTACATCATTTCCTTGAAATTTCGGTATAGGGGGTGGCCGGAATAGGTACAGCATGCGCATACATACACAGTTTATTTTACAAAAGGGGGGGATTGAATGTCTGGGGGGGAAGAGGAGGACGATAGTACCTGCGGGTATGTTTAATCAAATGTCTACAAATCGGGAATCTCGGAATATTGACACCTTGATAGATGCGATAGAAACAGCAGGGAGGGGGGGGGGGGGGCAGTGCTTAGATCATGGGGAGGAGGTCTCCCTTAATGTGTGTGTGAGCATGGCATATATATTAGTTATATCAGCTTGACAGCAGGATATATGCCGGATCTTATTCCCTATTTTTTTTCTTTCTCATTGTTCTGTTCTTCATGCTTCTCGATTTTTTTTTTTAAGAATAATTCAAAGTACAGTCCCGCCTAGCTAATTCAAAGAATCTCAACCCCATTCTAATACTTGGACTAGTGCAATCATGTCTCAAGTAGAATCGAAAATGGCCGTTTCCGGGCAAAGGACAGAGATCCCAAGCATACCAAACAAAAACGCCGTAACCAACACCCAGATAACACATCTCTTTCTTCCCGCTCGCTTCCAACCAATGCCACAGGTTGTTCCATAAGTACTCATGAAACATTCTTTCCTCCTCTACCACTACAACCATCTATAATCTCATCCCGAAAGGGTGGGTTATCTTGAGCCAGAAATCTTGTCCTTTTGCCAATTCCAATTCCAATGTAAATGTCACGTGGCTCGGAGAAGTCTAGGTGTTCCTGCCCAATCAGCCACAAAGGCTAATTACCACAACTACCTACTACTCCATAGACTTCTCACATGCCCCCACATTCTGTGCCAAGTCCATAGGCTGACAATGCCCCACTTTGAAAGAGGGGTTCAGTCCACCCTTTGATGTTCGAGCAACGCCAAGGTGGAGCTAAGCCTGGCTTCACTATGTATCACTCGATATGGCGAGTGATGCCACATGATTCGATGCTATGGTGGAGAGTAGCGGGACTAACTAAACAACCAGCTGGATGGCTCTTGTGGATTTTTCTTTGTGGTCATTATTGGCCTGGGCTTGTTCCCCAGAAAGGCCCTCCCTCTTGCCTGTATGCCTCTCCGTTTCCACCACAGAAAAAAAAACCGATAGATTACGCACCTTGCTACCCCAATAGTGATTTTTGTATCGGGCAGTAATATACGCTTCCAGGTTGCAATGGGAAGCAGCTGTATATTACTAGGTGCCCACAGTAATCCTATTAACGTTAGCATCTTGATAAAAGTAGCGCATCATCTATTGTCTTGAACCCCCCTCCTAGCTACTCAGGTTCACCCAGGCAGAGAGGGATCCGGGAAGCGTTATGATCGTTTCCCAGCCCCCCCCCCCCCCCCATGAATGACATCCTGAATTTCAAGACTGACTACCTGTGTATAGGATATGGTATGAAAAGGTGCAAGCCCCCCCCCCCCCCCCTCTCTCCGGTTATGGGCCTGATATATCTCCTCCACCACATATCCCACATATTTTCGAGTGGACCAAGAAAGCGTAGAATATAAAACTATCTCTAAAGACACCCCCAATTGAGCGCCTCGAAAAAAAAAGTCTAGTTGGGATACTCACTCACCTCACCTTATCCTTATGACCGCGCGCGCTTTCTCGAGCAGGGACAAGCTCTGGGGGCCCCCCCTTTATGCCCCCACCATGGAAACCTCCAATGTGGCTTTCGTGGGAAGTGGGAAGTGGGGTCTGACACGTTAACGGCCCGAGTGAGAGAGGGTGTGTGTGTGTGAGTGGAGTTACATACGTATAACTTTCCCCATTGTTGGTGGTTTGTTAGATAGAGTTCAGCCATCAGTGGGGATGGGCTAGATCTTTGTGTGTATGTGGGTTAACAATGAGATTTCGCGGAGATTAACACCTGTAAAGCCAGCTGGCCGGGTCAAGGTGTGTGTGTACTTAGTATGAAGGGTGTGTGAAGGGTGTGGTAGGAGTGCCAAGCCTAAAGCTTAAAGGTTTTGGTTGATGGAGAACAAGCAACCCCCCATGGCCCTGGCCTAGTGGTAGTGGGGTGCGGTACCAGGTTTGTTTAAGGGGGGAGACCCCCGTTCGGCTCACCTCCTCGGCAAGATGTGATTATCTTGGGGCACGAGGTTTTTTGTTTTTTTGTTTTGTTTTTGGTGCTGCTCCAGAATGGTAGGTTTGGAATTGGGTTTTATTGTACTTTTTTACTCTCTCTTAAGGAAGCTCTTTCTCCGCGGAATACAATTAATCAGTCTCTCTTCTCGGAGGCCTTATGAAATTAATGAATTAAAAAAAAAAAAATCCTTGGAGACCTTGGATCAACACTATGGCGCGAGTGATTGCTCATGACTGAATCCTGCGGTTTTCTTCTTATCTTGGATGCTATATTTACATAACCCTCACCACCTTTCTCGTTTGCGGTTTGGGAATACCTACTGTCTTGTATACCTTTGTCGGAGACGAGGTCTGGTAGGAGTACTTATGTAGGTTGGTGTTTATATGTGGGCAGTACATACAGTGCGTGAAGTGACGGGCCACTAGTTATCAACCACGAAAGAAGTGAGTGGGCGCTCTCTTCATGCAGAGGAAGATGGCCAGCTAGCTAGCTAGATGTCACGCCCCCCAAAACTCCGAATAACAGGAACCGCCAACCGTGCCAAACAGCACTCATGATCCACCAACTACTACCTACGTGCACGATTCGAAGGGGGGGGCCCATTATTTCACAAAGTCATGTGCGTAACTATCTACAAATATTATACAAGAATACGGGAAGGAGGGTATTTCCTTCCTTCCTATTCCCCCCCCCCCCCCCAATGTCTAACTAACTAGCGTTTTTTTCATATACGATTACTCGTCCTCCTCGTCCTCGCTGCTGTCGCCACCCATCACAATCTCGGGGATCACCATATCATCGTCGCTGTCACCGCCTTCTGTAAAGTCTCTTGCTTTCTCGACCGTGGTTGTCGTTGTCGTAGTCTTCTGCTGCTGCTGCTGTGTCGTCTCGATATGCGTCGCGCTGGACACTGCGGTGGTGGATGTGAAAGAAGAGGAGGAGGCCGCTGTGATGCTGGCCTGCGGTACGGGCGCTTGTAGTAGTGGTGATTCCGGCGCTGAAGCGGGTGATTGAGCGAGGGCAGCAGCCTGGGCGAGGATCATGTCGTCCAGCAGTGAGGGTTTCCGTGCCGCGGCGGTTGTTCCCTGGGTTGTGGAGTCCATGGCCGCCTCCGTTTTCTGGCGCTTGAACGGGGACTCGTATGATGCGGTCTCCATCTCCACGGGGTACGGCTTCTTGCCATAAGAAACGGAAACCAGTGGGCCGACACTCTCCTCCTCCTCGCTATCTTCCTCATCATCATCACCCTCCTCCACCTGCTCGTCCGTAATCTCCTCTTCCCCCTCATTCCCCCTCCTCCCACCCGTCCAAATCACCGGCAACCTCGGCCTCACAACTCCTTCCACCACCAGCGCCTTCTTACTACCACCCCGCGCGCCCACCAGATGCGGCAGTACAGCCCCGCCCCTCCGTGCCCCCAATGGCGGGAACAACACACTTGCTAGCATCGCCTCCGTGTTGCCCGTCAGCACCGCCGTGCGGTCCATCTTGGTCCTTAGCTCCGAGCGCACATACGCCGTCGGTAGCCGCGCTAGCGCCGTCGCGAGTAGCGTCTCGGCCGCTGCTACGAGGCCCTGGTGCGCGAATGTCCCACCGGTGGGTAGGATGGAGAGGAAGGCGTCGGCATGGAAGCTCCCTGGTGCGCTGTTTGCGGTGGTGTGCTTGGGTTTTCCGATGCCGGGTGCGGTGGTGGTGTTGGTTGTGGTTGTGGGGGCTGCGGCGGGGGGCGGGGGCGGGAGGAGGTCGTCACAGGTGCTGGAGAGGACGGGGTGCAGTGCGTAGACGCTCGCTTTTGGAAGGCCGCTGCCGAATGCCTCGAGGAGGGCGTTGAGGAACGTGTACACCGCCGTCTTGACGTCCGCGTTCCAGCCCTGCTCCGCAAAGACATAGGCAACCTGGTCCACGAGCATGAGCGCAAACGGGGCAAACAAACCGCCGAGGCGGGCCAGCACCGTCGCCAGCAGGTCCAGCGCACCGCACTGCAGCTCCGGCAGGCGTGCAAACACATACTCGCGCTCTGAGCGCTCCACAGCCTGGTTGATCTGCGCGGACGATGGGGCGACGCTGAAGATGCGGGTGGTGAGGTCCACGAGCTGCCCGATGGGGATTGAGACCTGGGCTGTGGACGGGAGCGTGAAGAAGGACTGCAGCTGCCGCAGGAGGACGCTGGCACGTTGGACGCCGGCGGAGGGGCCGCGCCAGTCGGACAGGCCGAGGGTCGACGCGCAGTGGGCTTCGGTAGTGAGCTCTTTTTTGCCGCCGTCGCTGTGCTGGTGACTGCCGTAGTCACTGTCCTCGACCACGCAGCGGAGGAGTGTGGTGAGCGTGGCGTGCGTGTCCTCGATCACGGCCCTGAAGCCTCTCGTCCACTCGTCGGCCACAGCGGTGGCCTTGTTATTCCCTCCTGACGAACCCGCGCCATCAGCACCACCACCAGCGCCGACCCCACGCGAAGAGGGCGAGGACCCCGACGCACACAGATGCAGCAGTGCAAACACCTCCCTCGCCAGCCTCTCCTCCACCGAGTCCGCAGACGATGATGACGACGAAAGCACCCCCAGCACAAGCCCATACGCCTTCTGTGCAAACGGCCGAAACGTCACCGGGTGCGCCCGCAGGATATCGCGCAGCGCCTCCAGCACCACCGCACGCAGCTCCGATCCCGACCCCGACCCCGACTCCGACTCCGACGACTCGGCAAGAACAAGAAGATGCCCAATCGCCGCAGGCAGATTGGGCACCACGAGCTCGCGCACAAGCGCCGGCTTGCCCTCCGTCAGCGCCGTGAACACGCGTGTCAGCGCTGCTATGGCGATTCTGTGGGTTGCTGCTGGCTCCGGCCTCTATAACACCAAAAACATGCGTTAGCAATCATTGTCCCCCCACCGATGAGAAGGAAGAAGGAAAAGTACTCACAGCCAACAACGGCACCAAAAGCCTCACCCACACAGCCCCCTGGCCCGCCAGACACTCCCAGCTACTCTCGACACTCGCCTTCGCCAGCGCCGCGCCGCACCACCGTACCTGCGCCGTCTTGCCCTGTATCAGCGTTGTCACCCGCGTCTTGTACTTGTGCAGCAGCACGCCCGCGTCCTCTGCGGTCCCCTTCCCCTTCTTGTTCTTCTGTTGTGAGTTTGCGAGGGTGTGGCAGGTCTCCAGTACGGGCGACGAGTACAGTAGCGACACAATCGTCGGGATGTGCGTGGGTAGCACGGCGGGGTCGGAGGTGCTGAGAAGAGAGGTGATGGTGCGGAGAGCGCTGATGCTGTCTTCGCCCTTGCTGCTTCGTTTGCTGGGTGGTGGCGGCATCTTGGTGGTGTTCAATTGATTTGTTTAGTGATGGTTAGTCCAGCTCTCTGGACGTTAAATTTGAGGATTATTTCTTGTGCTGGGGATTTTTTTTTTGTGGGTTGTTGCAACTTGCATGGACCTTGGCGGTTTTTTTGAGCCGCATGATGGACGGATTGGGTAAGTGCACGTTAGATAGGTCACAATGAATATTGAATATTCAAGAGTAGAACGAAGTGAGGATGGTTTATTAGAGGTCTAGGAGGTCTGGTCTGTGTGGTTATATAGTCCTGGATCTAGAGTTATACCGTGTTCTCACTCCATATCATGACAGAGTGGCTCTAAGTCAGGACAGCACGTTACGGTAACTATGTAATGGGAGGAACCCTAACCCTTGGTATTGATATTTGGTAGCAGAAATGGGGCGTAGAAGCAGAAAAGAGAGGGAATTGGTGGTAATCTAAATAACCTCCTTAGTAAATGCTTGCTTCGTGAGTCTTTGGTGTTAAGCCAAGCTCGATTGTTAAGGTCCCTACTCTAGTTCTCCCCGCATTCTATCAAAGATGTAGAGTAGAAGCATTAAAAGGTCTTACTGTGTAATACAAGGCTACAAGCCAATGGACTACAAGTTATGATGCTCAAAGTCAGGAATATCTTATATAATCTGCACGGGATAGGCTTTCATTTTATAGCATGATAGGCTGGTATGTAGCAGTTACAGCGAGAGCTTGCTATATAAGGGTACCTTCTACAAGGGTAATCTCTCTATAAGGGTAGCATTTCTAGACCCTTCTTGCTTTATCAGGGTAATCTTTTTATAACGGTACAAAATTCCGGTCCCGAGCGTATCCTTATACGGTATGCAGTCGACTCTCACTATAAGGGTACCTTCTATAAGAATACTCGCCCTATAAGGGTAGAACTTCTCGGTCCTTGTTGGGCTTTTTGAGTATAAATTGCTATAAGGGTACCAACTTCCGGCCTAGAGCGTATGTACCCTTATATCGAGAGTCGACTGTAGAAAGTTTTCGCTGCACTGCTAGATTGCTGTACTCCCTCTACACAGAGTACATGCCCTGAACCCCCATGCCGGCGTAGCAACCGTTGCTAGGGAGTGACCACTCATTGCTCGCCAAATATGTTTGTAGCATGAGCAACCAAAACATTTCGACAGACAGACACGCCTTTGCCGTGAATTTTTTGGTAATGGCTAATATGTATGTACTTGAAAAAAAAAATAAAAGAGAATCCAAAAAGTAAAAAAAATGCAATTGGACGCCTTTCCATTAAGAGAGAGTGGAAAAAAAGAGAGTAGTGAAAAGAAAAACCCCCGAGACAGCTTTAAAAAGATACCCTTTCACATGGCCTGATCGAAGAAAAAGAAGGAAAAAAAGATGAAGAAAAGAAGACATGTTTCCCATTTCGTTTCCTTTCATATGCTTTCGTTTCCTTTCCTTTCCTTTCCTTTCCTTTCCTTTCCCCCCTCCTTCCCTCCTTCCCTCATGGCCAGCTAAAGTAAAGAGCCCCTCCCTTAGTGCATCTCGACATCCTTATCTTCCGGAGCAACAAAGTCCTCGTCGTCCTCGCTGTCATCTTCACCAGCGGGCTGTGCCTTCGCGGCGGCCGCAAAGTCAATCTGCTTTCCGCGGGTGCGGCGGCCACCCTGGATGATGTTGTTGCTGTCGATCTCGGCGAGGTCGTCGTCGTCTTCTTCCTCTATAGGAACCTCAAGGTTAGCAAAGCAATTCAATTCAGTAGCGGTGGCTACCGTTAAAGATCGTAATTGTGGGGGGAATTCGTACCAACATCCTACAAAGAAGAAAAAAGATGGATATGTTAGCACTGGAAGCAGGATCCTCAATTACTGTCGGGCGGGGCAAAGGGCAAGGGAAGGTGGGAGAGAACAAACCACCACCTCCTCATCTTCAGAGGTCTCAGCTTCGGTCTCCTCGGCGGGCTGCTGGACGGCCTTGCCCTTTCCCTTGTCGATTGTTTCGTTGCCCTGGGCGGCGGCAGACTGGTCGGTGATGTTGCTAGACATTTTTTTTTATGGGGGTGAGGTAGAGGTAGAGGGGTAAAGATTATTTGGCGGAAAGAAAAAGGATTTAAGGTTGTGGGGTTTTTCTGTTTCGCGATGATAAAATGAGAGGTGGAGGCTATGTATCGTGGAGGATGGAGGGAAGGAAAGAAGTGGGTGAGTAGCAGAGGGAAAGCCTGGGGTTGGCCAATTAGGTTATAGCTCGTGAGGGGTGGGTGTTGCATGCCAAGACTGCTCTTCCTCCTCCCTTACTGTAACTATGCTCTGTAACTTCTGTTTGCATCTCAGCGGGTGTTTTTGCGCATCCTCTGGAACTGGAACTTGTGCTTCGCAGTATCTAAAGTGCTCTATCGATTGTATCGATTGTATGAGGTTGCGTCTTCAGATCATGCATATGTCGCAATAGTTAAAGTAAGCTCCCGTGGCAGTAGTACATACATGTAGTAAAGCACTAAGCTACGATACAATTGCAGACAGATATGTTTCTTAGAAATTGAATCTCAGTGACTACTACATACTGTAACTACACGTATCAGCTACATGCACCCAGTGCTCTTCTCGAGAGAGATGTCCGGATTCTATCGCATGCAGCCAATCGAACAACCCAAACTAATGCCGGACTCAGAATACCGAAAATATTGTCCGCATAAACAAACCAGCGCACCCCCTCTCGGTTTAGAGTACACATCCGGCTATCTCAATGTGTATGGCTTAGAGTATGTAGTATCATTTCTCTCATCTCTGATGAGGTCAAAAAAAGGCTGACCCGACCGATGTCTATAACTTTACTTTCCAACCATACAACATCCACGGGTGCTGCTCTGTGGATGGGGAGATGCAGGAAGGGAGAATCCCGTACATAATAAGATATTGTAATATAGACACCCCAATGATCAGGCATTTTAGAAGATGTAATGTAGATGCATGTACGCACTCTACTATAGATGCCGATATGTGCTTGTGGGGTTATGGGGGGACTCCTGGCAGACACTGGCCCGAGGGAACCAATACAGGCCTGCACAGCCGACAGGCGATATCAGATTCTGCATATAATTGGCCTATGCCAGGGGTGGCGCTTGGGCGTTAAGGCTGGTCATCACCGTTGATAAGCGTTATCTCGAGTGGTCCTGAAACTACAGTTGAAGGGTATAAACAGGGTCTAAGATTTTTCTCCACAAAATAGTACTTGTAAAGAACAATTCTGTAGGGTACAACGGCGCTGCTGCTTGAAATAAACGGGTCGTGATGGTGAAGACGAAGAGAAATCTCAAACATGTCTAAACCAGGGAAACAGAAAAAAGTAAGTGCATAAAAAAAAAACCGTTGATGGAAGCCGTTCGAAAGTTTAGAGGCTCGCTCACGGGTCAAAGCGAGTTACCTCCTGAACCGTATTCATGACGACATGAAGCTAGCCTGAGAACGGTCAAGGGCCAGGCCACACACTGGCGGTCACTTTAACAGAAGAAGTGAACTGCGCAGACAGGACATCCCCGCCAGGCTTTTGCAGTTGATTTGTTTCTTTCCACGCCGCTTGCTCCCTCCTACTCACCCAACCTCTTCATTCGAAGTGCAACATGGCTGCCTGTTCGCCCCTCCGTTCCTATTTTACCCCTCTTCTTCGCCCCGCTTCCTCCTTCTCCTCCTCCATCCTCCGAACACAATCATCAACAAAACTCCTCATCAACTCTTCCCTCCACAAATCAACAAGATCTTTTTCATCCACAAATAAAGCAATGGTTGTCCCCGTTTACTTCGACATTGCGTACACGACTCCTTCGGGTCAGAGTATGTTTCCCCATCTAATTGCATCTGATCCATCACACCGTGCTCTTTTTTTTGTGTCACTTTTAAAAATATTCATCGGCTGACTTTCCTACCAGCCGAGAACTGGGGTCGTATCAACTTCAACCTCTTCGACGAGACTGTCCCTAGAACCGCTGAGAACTTCCGTGCTCTCTGCACTGGTGAGAAGGGATACGGTTACGCTGGATCCAAGTTCCACCGTGTAATCAGCAACTTCATGGCCCAGGGTGGTGACTTCACCCGCGGTAACGTAAGTAGCCATGCAATTGTTTTGGGACTTTGCAGTAGCTACAGAAAACTAATGTTATGATCAACAGGGTACCGGTGGAAAGTCCATCTACGGTGAGAAGTTCGCCGATGAGAACTTCATCAAGAAGCACGACCGCCCCTACCTTCTCTCCATGGCCAACGCTGGACCCAACACCAACGGTATTTATTCACTCATAGAACATCTACAGTTCCAAATCTAACAAATAAATAGGCTCCCAGTTCTTCATCACCTTCGTCAAGACCCCCCATCTTGACGGAAAGCACACCGTTTTCGGTGAGGTTGCCGACGACTCCTCCAAGGACATTGTCCGCAAGATGGAGTCCAAGTCTCTCGACAACTCTGGCCGTACCTCTGGTACCATCAGCATTGCTGCCTCTGGCCAGCACTAATTTTTTTCACTGGGTACTCAGGGCAGTTAAGTGGATCAGAAGGATAGAAAGGCTGGCAATCTAGTTTTTATTGTTTTTCTTTCCTATTTTCTTCTGTAAACCCGGTCAATACACCGGACAAACAAAAAAAAAAGCTCGGTTTGCTGAATGAATTAATAAGTCTCGAACACACGTGAATATGTCCAATTAGTGTAGAGTCTGTAAATTTTGACTAGTGCCATAGAAGGGAGCCAACTGTACTTGTTCAAATCGTAAGTACACACCTTAGATGCAGTCCCAGCGGGTAGAATCTAGATCCCAAGACTCTTCAATCCCAGAACTCTTAACACACTGTAATTCGTAGAAATTAGATTTTTTATCATATACATCCTGGCAACTCGCATCCTCTGTATCCGAGGCTCATACATGTAGTTATACTAAATCTAAATCCGATGGGACTATCTAGAGTACATAGCTAGAGCACCTACATACCTACATGCAGGCGATACGGGAGATATCTGATTTTCAACGTATCGATTGGATTGTTCTGCCCGCAAACCCGCCCGCTGCCACGCAAAAAACAAGGTTAGGTGGAAAAAAAAGAGGCTCTTGCCGGGTAGGTAGAGTAGATGCTTGTACGTCATTGGTGTTTGTGTTTGGGTCAATTAGCGTTGAGTGAGATTCCGTGATTGGTTGATTGATTGATTTGCTGGAAGAGGGAGCTGCCCACATGTGTGCACCTAGGTTTTTGGGGTGCTGGATTTTGTGGCTGGTACAGATGGATTTATATATAGGTGGGTGGCACTAGAGTTCTTGAGCGGATGGTTGTGGGTTTCGTAAACTTTGTTTGCTGGGACAGTGGGGATATATATCTAGCGACTTGCTGATTGGTAGCCTTTGTGGTACGGGGTATGCGGGTTGATTGATTGCTAGTAGTTGAGTATATGGATACTGTTTGGCTGCTGGGGAGAGGAGATGGGTATTTACTTTGAGATAGTAAATCCTATAGACTTCCAACTCGTGCCGGCTGGGACCACATACATATCTCCAAAGCCTAATGTATTGGGTGACAAAGGTTCTCGTGATTTTGTACGAGCATTGGTATAACTCCACAACTACAAAAGATATTAATATCATTAAAGAGCTGAAGATTGATAGAACATAGATACCTCCTAGGTATGAGTTCCGATTGCCGACTTTACCGGATCAGTCTTTTAGGCAATCTTGCTGACTGCTATGCGAAAATCACGAGAACCTTTGTCACCCCACAATATATATATACCCAGATCTAGAAACCAAGATTTTAGATTATGATTATACCGCTCTGTGCTGTGCCCACACATGACCTCCAATAGAACAGAGCAGAACAGAATAGAAGAGAGGGACGAGTGATTAGCGGTTTGCGTCAGAAAGGGGTTGAGTTGTGATATAGGCCCGTTATCATGAGGTTTGTCTCTTAATCAATAATATATTGTGTGGGTGGAGCGTCGAGTGATGTCTTATGAAGACGCTTAATCATCGCCGCCGACTAGTAGAATACTATTAGTAGCATTCACATGATTTACTTACTTGTTTTACTTTCCTACACTTAGCTCTGTATGACACCCTCCTACATCCTACCTAAACGAGTCAATGCCTGAGTTGGGGAACCTCTGCCTAAAACCGTGCGAAGTGGAAGTGAGGAGTGAGGCTTGCGGCTGGGCTGGGCTGTGGTTTGTACTGCGGTATTTGCAGGTGGTGCCGGTGGGAGAGTTAATGTGACAGAAAGGAATGTAAATTTTTATGGTATCGAGTCTTTAATCTACTATGTAGTCTGCGCATGACAGGTTGGTTATTATGACTGGGCTGGGAAACTGCGCTGTTGCAAGGTGGAGTCAATATCGCAATATTGCTATTATATTGCTATTGGTTTGGTAAATACTTGCTGATCATCTTTTTTATAGTCAGTTACTTCTATATTTCCAAAACCTCGCAGTTTCAACTTGGATTTTATGATGTAGTTTGTCGGCCATTTCATACTTCCTTCAACAGTGCAAAATCCTTAAAGTGTTGAAGCTGCGCGTATTACTCTACCACCATCAGAGACATGATTATTTAGATCAGTATCACGCCCCCGTTTTTTCTCAAAATCAGGCGCCCATGATCGATGGGGGCTGCTCTACTCTGCTTTACTCCGCACCCTCCAGATCTAGAATTGAAACCCTAAGTAAGACACTGGTCTTGGCGAAAGATCGAGAGAGAGAGAGAGAGAGAGAGAGAGTCTGCCCGCTTACTATTTGCAAGGTGGTCTAAAGGGTCCCCCCCCCCATGATAGTCGCACTGGCCTGGGATTATATAGAGTATGTACTCAGTTTGCTCGGGTCGAGACTGTCTGCTCGGGGAGTACAGCTTAACTCTGGGGTATATGCAGCTGCACTGTCTGTGCAGTTTGTTGATCACGATCAGGGAGCAAGGGGCTCTCCATGGGTATGTGCAGCAGGAGGAGAAGGATCGAGGAGGAGGAGGAGGAGGAGGGGAAGGGCAGCTGACCAGAGTTCTGCGAGTATCTTGGGGGGGGAGTACATATATTATTAGTAAGCGTAGTGCTTGTGCTCCTGTGTTCCTGTGTTCCTGTTCCTGTCCTGTGTGTGTGCTCTGTCTGTCTGTCTGTTGTTCCCTTGCATGCTTCGAGCAGCCCTTCTTCTGCGCGGCACATCTCATCTCAACTCATCCACAGTCCGCTCACTCATCCACTCAACTCATCCACCATCCACGCCTGGAAACAAAATACACCACCACCAGAAACCACACAAATCACCGCCACCAACCACACCACACAACTCTGCACAACCACACACAACCACACACAACCACACACAACCCACAAACTACAATCACTAACAGCAATATCAAACATCACCAGCATCTACAGAAAAGTACATACAGCAAGCAGCCAGCACAAAACCAGAAAAAGACAGAAAAAAGCACTCAGCTGAAATAACACGCAGTAGCACGCACGAACGATGGTCTACTACCAGCGTCCCCAGTCTCCCCACAGAGACGAGGACCCCTACTACAACCATAACAACAATAACAACAACCGCAATAACAATACTTACAGAGGTGCCCCCGTAGACCGAGACCGAGATCGGGACCGTGACTACCACCGCTCCCGCCGCTCCTCCTACTCTCCCGCTAGGGGCCGTTCGCCGCCCCGCGACGCACCAAAAGCGCCCCGTGCCTACCACGGGCCGTCATCCTCGTCCTACCGCTCACGGTCCGACTCGCACGACCGGATGAGCGGGAGAGGGGGAAACAGTGGCGGCGGAGGCGGGGGGTACTATGACCGCGATGCGCCCCGGGATCGCAGCCGCAGCAGGGAAGACAGGGAGTGGCTGGGAGGGCCGGCGAGTCGGGATGTGATCATTGAGGGACTGGGAGCGGATGTGGATGAGGATTACGTTGTTAACCCTCCCCCCTTGGAACGACTATACTATTCATCATCCACCATCACCACTATTATTATGAGCAAATATAAAAAACTACAATGGCTGGCGGTTTTTTCCCTGTCATTTCATGTTTTTTATATCATGCCTCTTTTTTTTCACCATGCCCATTTTGCACACGCACACTTTCAATTCTTTTTTAGTGGACTTTTGCTGAAAGTTTGACCTGGGGGGTCTGTATGGCGCCTGTAGATTATGAGAGGTCTTCAAGAAGGATTGCAAGTTGAGAACGTGGAGAAAGTCACGATTATTCGAGATCGCAAAACCGGTAAGCCCCTTCTTTCTTTCTTCCTTTCTTTCATTTACATCCTGAATTTATGGGGGTGGTTGGGAATCTTTGTGTTTCTAAGTGGGTGTCGGGCACTTCGCCTTTGTTTCTCGAAGTTATAGGCAATTCAAGGCAGTTTGCCTTTGTCCATTTCTACTCGGTACCGGATGCGCGCGCTTTCTTGCAGCAGTACTATCCAAACAAGCTGAACCTCGGGCCTGGTGCGGATAGGTGTAAGGTGGCGTTTTCCAAGGAACGGGATAATGAGGATGGTGGCAGGAGAGGCAGGAGGAGAGATGACGGCGAGGAGGAGTGGAAATGCAGAGTTGTGAGTTGTCCCATCATTCTCAAGCCCCTTGGCCATATATCGACTTTTTCTAACTATCTGCCAAAAACAGTGCCTTCTCCTGAACTTCCCCAGACGCCAAGAATGCTTCCGCTGCCAGACCCCACGCTCAGGTTCGTAATCACGTCCGAGTAATCATCACCACCCTCCACAGGTAATCTAACCTACAAGCCAGAAGTCACCCTGACCGGCACCCTCACCCACCCGACCCCAACACACTTCACAAATGACGGAGAACGCGACATGGCCACATCCCCCCCTTCGCAATTCCTCCTCTTCCGCGGCCTCGAGCCCTCCGTCACCGAAGAGCTCCTCGCCAAGGGCGCCCTCAAGCTCACGGTCCCTCCCGGCACCACCCCCGAGCTCCCCCCAACCTCCCGCACCGGCGGCGCCCCCATCGGCGCAAAGGAATCCTCCATCAAGCGTGTGCTCCTCGTGCGCGACCGCAAGACGGACGAGAGCTGGCGCTACGGCTTCGTCGAGTTTGCAACGGCCCTCGACGCCCAGGCCGCCCTCGCCGCGTACAACAAGACAGAGAAATTCACAATTAGCAGCCGCCCCGTCACGGCGTCCTATATACACCCGGGCGTGTTTGTGCCCGTGTATAATGCGTCAAGAGGCGCCGAGCGCTTCACATTCCTACCGATGACGGCGAACGTGGGCGGTGGCCTGCGCCTGGCGTATTGGGACGATGATGGGTATGTGTCGGAGTTTATAGTCTCGAAGCCTGAGCAGGAGCCCACTGCCGCCGCCGCCTCCGCCTCCGCCGATGAGGCCGCAGCAGACTCAAAGAAGGCGGCAAAGGGCACGAAAGACACCACAGACGAAAAGACAAAGACCAAGAAACGCAAAGCCGACAAAGACGCCGCCGCCACCGGCACCGCGGCACCCGGCATCTCCGCCGCCTCAACATCCAAAAAGGCCACCCCAGCCCACCTCCAATTCTGGCAAAACCGCCACTCGGAGCTCCACGGCATCACCAAGCCCGACACCACCACCTCCACCACCATCACCACAGCAGAATCAACAACAGGCTCCACCTCCGGCGACGGCGGCGACGACGACAAGCCCTCCTCCACCGGCGGCTCCGCACCAAAAAAACGCCGCACCGCTGAACCGGCTGATGAGACACCGCGAGAGTCGTTCGCAGACATGAACAAGCTCGCCTGCCTCCTCTGCTCCCGCGTCTTCAAGACACCCGAAAAAGTCCACGAGCACGAGCGCGTCAGCACTCTGCACGCCTCGAACCTGAAGGACCCCGCGCTGTGCGAAGCGGCACTCAAGAAGCTTGCTAAGGCCGGCATCACCGCCTCGTCCGCCTCGTCCGCCACACCCGAGTACCGCGACCGCGCCAAGGAGCGACGACAAGTATTCGGTAAGAGCGCGCCCGCTGCAGCAAGGAAGGAGCCTACCGCGGCGCCGGCAGCACAGGCGGAGGCGGAGGTGGTGGCGCAGAGCAAGGGTGCAGCGCTGCTGGGCAAGATGGGGTGGACGAGCGGGCAGGGGCTTGGCGCGAGCGGGGAGGGCCGCACAGAGCATGTGGTGGCGGAGATGTATACGCAGGGCGCGGGGCTGGGGATGAAGGGTGCACGGGTGGGGGATGTGGAGGAGGTTGCCCGGGGGGGCGGCGGCAGCGGGGGCAGTTATAGTGAGTTTGTGAAGAAGACGAAGGAGAGGGCTTTGGAGCGGTATAAGGGGATGGATTGAAGAATTGGGGGGGTTAATGGTTGGGGATTTTGTATAGTAGCGTGGTACGGGGGGGAGAGTTGGTGGGGATGGAGATGGGGATGGGTGGGGAGAGGTATACAAATAGGGGTTTTCTGTTTGCTTTTTTTTTTCTCTTTGTATCTTTTGAGAGTACAGTATAGTACAGTACAGTTACAGTAGATGGGGTGGCCATTGCTATCCCGTGGTTGGCTTGGGGGAGTGTCAATTAGAGTATTGCTTGTCTTTGTATTTTCGTGGCCCATTTACAAACGGTTCTCCCCTCATTCAGTTGAGTCGATCTTTTTTGCCAGGTGATAAAAAGTAAATCAAATTGACCGACTCTCTCAAATCGGCCCTCCTTGAGATCCATATTGGGGAATGGTTTTTTTTTATACCAATCTTTGGCTTTCTGCATAATTATTCAATCACACCCTTTCTTTTCATCGCGGTTGTGAAGGTTGTGCTGCTTGTTTGCACATAAGATGTGGTTCAACTATGACGTGCTACTAATCATTGACACTAGGCATGGAGGGTGACTTTGTTAACCAACTCAACGTAATATCTCATTAGCTCTGGCGTCGATATAGTTCAAGGCGAGACTCTTCATTTGAATCCCAGAGCCAATGGGAAGAATTGAAGAGGTGTGTATAGGGTTCCTTTTCTCCCTCTCGCACCATAGCTAGTATGCACCCCCAACTAGTTGTCTAGATCCCCAAACCCCAAACCCCATCAACATCACCAACCAACCAACCGACCAGGCATTGGCCCCGATTAGCAAACAAACAAACAAACATCAAATACCGAACTCAGAATCGCACCTAGCTATGATCTAATCAGTTCCAATATGGCTATATGATACCCGCTCCAATACATTATAAGATCATCCGAGGCCTGTATCGCTTTCGAACACGTCGTAACAGCGTCGGAACCTCGGCTGCAATATTGACATTAATAAGGCGTTCTGCACACGCGCACGGTTCTAGATACACCGCTACGTCATGAACCCAGATCCAACAATGATATATGTGTTGTGAGTGCGGCGAGTGATCGTACATGATCCGAATTCGGAACCATCACATGTACTCGCCAAAAAAAAAATAAAGTCTGTGGATGAATTAAGTACCGTTGCAACGCAACCATTATGCCAGGTACTTGATTCATCCAGAGACTTTATTTTTCTTTTTTTTTTTTTTTTGGCGAGTAGTGAGTACTGGGTGATGTTGAGATAGTTTGGTGTATGTTGGCGAACGGGTGTGAGATGGTGGTGTTGCTGGTAATGGTGGTTTTGTGGTGTTTGTGTTTGTGGTAAGTTTGTTATATCTATGTAGGTATTGGGAAAGATGGTGGTACTAGTATACGTAGGTAGTATAGATATATCGCAGAACAGCCCCCCGTCGAGAGCTAGAGTACAGTTCTCGGTCTATTAGCTATAGCAGATTACTACACACGCCTTCTCTCCCAATTGAGCTACACAATGACAAAGCAAGAAATCCAGCTCAGCACCACCAGCAGCACCACCAGCAGCACCACCAGCAGCACCACTAGCAGCACCACCAGCAGCACTACCAGCGCTAGCGATAAATCGAGCAGCGGAGTAAGAGGACCAGAGAAAGCAGTAGGAGGTGCAGCTCGCAAGCACATACCCCTCACCATCAGAGTCCCTCCCCCGACGCACCTGTCCCCTCCCGCCGTCACAGCCATGACGGTCTCTGTAGCTCCCACTGCTGCTGCTGCACAGCCACCGGGTCTACAGGACTTCTCCCCAAGAGACATGGCCCACGACCTCATGGCGGGGCTTGTGGCGACAACGACGATGACGACGGGGTACATATGGGATATTGATGCCCTGGTTCTGCTACAGGCCGCGGCGGAGGACTTTTTGAATGGGGTTACGGAGGTTGAGTGTAAGTCCCCTAGCTCTAGTATTCTTCTTTGTGAGTGCCTGCCCGCTGATTTGAGGTTGAAAGTGGGTGGGATGGCGGAGGATCTTGAGAATTTTGTGAGGGGTTTGGGGCAGCAGTATTGATCTGAGGAGGAGGGGAGTTAGTATTGGACGTTTCGGGGATACAGTGTTTGGATATAAGAGGGCATGTACTCAATATATGTTACAGTAATCATGTCTTGCAATCAAGAGTCAACTTCATGTAGGGAAGATCATTAACTCAAGGGTAAAGGACTTCCGTACCACGAAGGTTACTATTGAATACTTGTATAGATTTTTTATAACATGAGTTCCAGTGATAAATTAAAAGAAAGCTGAAAATAGGTGGAGAGCAAACATTATTATTCGTGTCGAGGGTCATTTTTCTGCAGTCACAGAGTTCCTGTCTTTTTTTTTTTTTTTTTTTGTTTAATTCATTAATTGCATACAGAGTTCCTGTCAAGAAGGTGAGCTTTATTCCAAAGCCACCTAGCACAGTTCTCGTGTCCTTTTGTGGAACACTCAATGTGCTAGAGTCCAATTTTCAAACCTTTTCCGAGTGGTCGAATCATTTTTCATAATCCGTAGTCTAATCCACCACGTGCCTTGTGACCCAACCCAATGAGAAGTCATGAAGGTCACAGAAAACGTGACAACTAAATATTGTCACTCGCTCATGTCACGCTCCCAAGGCCCCTCCAAGTTCCAACGACTCCCAAGAATTCCCAAGGCACTCCCCGTGAAGCTAAAACTCCATATACCACGACTGGTAAAGCTCTCCCGAACGAAACACTCTAGAGAATTCTGCTAGTTTGTTAGTATGTACCAGGTAAAAATTATTCTCCCCGTCGGAACCCATCCCGAGTTCTTGTCCCGAATTCTTGCCCCGTACCGATCAGAAGATCAAACATCTACACCCGCTGATCTCGTGGGTATCGGGAGCTAGCTACTCAGACCAGACACCCCCGCCGAGAAATAGAAAGAGAATTAAAAAAAAAACCAATGAGGTCAAAATAGAGTTTGTACAGGGGGAGACAAGGTTTTTGATTGTTCCCGTTAGGGTTAGGGTCGTTTTTCATGTAGCATCACTCGATATTTTTCAAGTGTTTCTCTTCATCCCCTTTGCCCTCATCTCTTTGCCCCTTTGCCCCTGCTTTCGCCATCTCCTGTTTCCGCCACTTGCACTGATGATGAGATGTTGCCCCTTACAGGTGAGATACTCTATTCCCTTGAGTCTCAAAAAGACGCAGGAACACAGGCTTGCATCTAGTATTATGCACGAAGAGGGGGAAGGGTGAGGGGTAGGAGTAACCTATGCAATCACCCATTTCACACTTTCTTCCAAGAAGCTGGGCTCTTATCTCTTTATCGATTAAGGCAACTGCAGCCTGAAAAGGAGGCTTGGTCCCAAGAAGCCAACGTACGCGTCAGCCAGTGTGTGTTTCTTTTCAGATCATATCATGTCTGTGTGAGAAGGAGGGGCGGGCTCTTACTAATAGTGTCTCTGGCGCTTAGTTTTGTTGATCGATATCTATCGGGCATGTGCCGGTGAAATTTAATGAGGTAAGTTGTATCAAAAGTCTCTCCCTATTTCGCAGATTTGGCTCGGTGATCAGGAACACATAACTCTAGGGATTTGCAGTAACTGTCGCTTTCTTTCCTTTTGTGGTCCTTTTTCGCCATCCTGCTTTTGGAACCTCAAACAAGTGGCGTTCTTTCTCACTTTCCCTTTCTACATGATCTCTCTCATTTTTCGTTCCTGGGCGAGTGCGCCACGCCACGCCAAGTGAGCGTAATTCGCTACAGAAACAAAAAAAAACAAATAAGGCCCAAAAGTTTCCCATAGACAGTTAGCTTCGCTTTACACGGACTCTGATAGGATATCAGAGGTGGGATGGGTGGGGGAAGGGACAGACGAACGTTTTGCCCAATCGGTAGTGACGTGGGTCAAATCCATCCTTTTGGTAACACGGTAACACATTCAACAACGGTCTCGGCATCATTCCACTGGATCACGCCCAGGAAGCCCAGAGATTCAATTTCGCTTTTTTCTGTGCAACCTACGGAAACTTTATTCCTTGGTTCCTTGGTAGTTCCCTCAACTCCCTTCCCTTACGCAATCTTTCAAACTCTCCAGATGCCAGTGCAAAAGCCATGTTTTAGCGCAATTCTTTTTTGGCGGTGGCCATGGCCTTTTTTTTTTTATATATATTTTGTTTTCCCGGTAATTTAAACCCCTTGACACATCCGATCAACCATGTGGACAGTTGATAGAGTAACGTGCAGCAGCATTGATGCTTGAGCTCAATCGGGAGTACGAAGAAGGTTATTTTGAGTACACAACACCATTGTAACTTCCTTGAAATTGAATCACGAGAATAAGTCTGACTTACTATGAACATCAGATCAGGACGTGCGGGTTTTCCATGTTTTGGATCCTGTCTTAGTTCTCGGGGAACAGGAGAAAGTATCTCTTTTTTTATTTCAATTCACAAGAGTCGGATGGAACAGGTCTAGACAGAAAAGTCCCGGAAAAAGCAGAAATAGATTGGGGGGGGTCATTGTGGTTGTGGTTGTGGTTGTATTAACAAGGCCGCAGAATAGCATGGGACGGTAAGACGTCGGATCCGGAAGTGGAAAAAGGCGCACGCATTGATAACTCATGTCCAATCACTCGACACATTTTGCCAAGCATGGATCATCCCGTAATTTTTTGTTACATACCCAAGAATCACCAAGAGCCTCCAAGAATCACCAAGAGCCTCCCAAGGCTCTTGGTTTACCAGATGTGCACATAGCATTACATATATCTGAGCGCTGGAATGCAGTGTAATTGCTGACAGGGGAAAAGTGCAACTACGGCATCAGATCCAGGCATCTAAGCGAAAACAAAAAAGATGATGTTTAGACAAAAAAAACCCAGTCAGGACCCTGAGCTTCTCACCTCCCACCTCCCACCTCCCACCTCCCACCTCACCCACCCCCACCCTTGCTGGCGTCTAATGTGAATAGGGTACCTATGCACTCAGGTAGAGCTGTGCACCGAAAAGAAAAAGAGTGCGTGATGACAACAAAAAAGCAAAAAGGAAGGCAGGATGGAGTATGTATGTGTACCTCTTTTGCCTTTCCGAACCTGGGACGCAGCTCGTATTGACGTTCTTGGCCCAGCAGGTCTGGTGACTGACTGCCCTAGGCTAAAAGTATGTAGATGTTGCCCTCAGTCATCACATCCACCCCCCCCCCCCCACAACTAGACTATGGGTACAGAAATCATCAACACCCGCGAGGATTTCATCAAGTGAGGTGTGAAACTGAAAAGTACCTACCTACTCACACATAGGTGGCTGCATCAATGTGCCCAGTGTAAATTCGCGTTTCACCTAATTGGTATAAGGAATCCTCTCACACATCGCTTCTTTTGTGATCCCTTGTTCGCTTGCGTGGGGCTGGATGCAGGTGCCCTGCCCTAGATATTGCGGATCCGGTGTATTCTATGAATGATTCGTGCATGGTTGTGTATAGATTACCCTAACCCTGACAGCACAATAGGCGCCCTGAGATAGGCGCCAATTGCACATCGACATCTCCCACTCCCAGGCACCTGGACAGAAAAGTAAGGGATGTATTTTAAGATTTGATCAATAATGGACTCATAATGTAGAGGTAGAAATATGTTCAGCTTTATGATTACTTTTATTGTAATGATCCACATACACATCATCAAGCAAAAAAAAAAAAAAAAAAAAAAGCTCAGTCTGGTTTTCTTGAAAGCCAATCGATTTTCATTCTCCCTCTTCTATGCCTATGAAACCCACCAAACCCTCCACACTAAGATTCTAGAGACGTAACCCCATGTTCATAACCGCCCAGTGAATTTTGCGAAAAGAACAGAGCATGGCGAACCGACTGTGCAAAAACAGAATTTGAGGACACACAAACGTAAGGGAACTGTAGAAAGCTCATGACAGAAAAGGAAAACCCCCGACCAGATGCAACAAAGAGAATTAGTATTTAAAGTCCTTTACTATAAGAGAATTATTTCTTTAGACGACCGAGACGAACTGGCCGACAGATGGGATACCATCAGCAACCACGTAAACAACATAAGGGCCTGGTGGGCAGGTGTTCTTGTTTGGTGGCATGGTGACGGTGATAGTTTGCGCAGCGGTGCCAGCAACGAAACCAGTGTTGTCAAGGAACAGCATGCGGTGGCCCATGTGGACACTGTGTGTAACGAAACCACCATAGTAAAGTGAGACTTTGACGCCCTTAGCAGTGACAGGAACATTAAATTTGATAGTAAAGGTGGATCCGTTTGCAGGGAGGGATTTGGAGCTAAGCACCATCGCGGTAGGACGGAGAGCTGCATTTGCGCCCTGGAGGTAGGGAGGAGTGAACTTCTCAACACGGAAATCTGTGGAGATAGAATTAGCAAACATTTCAGTTGTCAGCTTTTGGTTCAAGGTAACTTACCAGTGATATATGGAGTGGTTGCGGAGGTAGCTAGGATTGGCATCTCGTGAGGGTTGCTTCCAGTAATCATGACAGTTCCATCAAGCAACAAGAGGGCAACAGAGTGGTACAATCTCGGGATGGTGCTAGATGCGAGCTGGGTCCATCGAGCGCCTAGAGCCTTGGTAGGATCATAAAGAAGAGCAGGGAAAGTTGGGTCAGTAGCAAGCTCGAATCCCTGGGCACCACGGTTGGCACCATTGACCCAAAGAACAGTTCCGTCAGGAAGGAGAACACCCTCCACCATGACACGGCCAGCTGGCATAGCATCCATTTCCCAGGTAGGGTTGGCAGCTTCAGGAGAGATTACACCGCAACTGGCTTCGGTGGGAGCAGTGATATCTTGGTAAGCTCCACCACCACAGATCATAACCTTTGAGTTCCAGTTGCTTGCGCTTGAGAGAGGTAACAGAACACTTCCGCCAGTATTGGGGTAAGTTCGGTAATCGCCAGGAAGATCAGGCATAACCTTGGTGATGGCATTGGTAACAACGTTGAAAATATCTGAGGACTTGGAAGTGAAGACAAAAAGTTGACCATCTTTGAGGAGATGCATGAAAGGATACATGTAGTAAGGCTGGTTCTTGACCAAAATCTCCATGTCAATATTATTTCCCTCAGAAATACCGGCGGGACTAAGGATCTCATAGGTAGGGTTGTTGTTGGCAGGAACAGTAGGGTCGAGTCCATTCAAACTTCCAGATGCAACAAAGATTCTGCCATCAGCCAAGATCTGAGCAGATGCATACCAACGCTTGCTAGCCAACTTGTTACCGGGCTCCCTCCAGCTCTGGCCATTAAGACTAGCATCAGAAGAAGAACGGCTGATGTAGCGAATAGCATCAAATCCATCCGTGACAGTAGGGTCGATGAAATCCAAAGGACCATTGCCACCAAGAGAAACAAAGTCACCGTTTGCAAGGAAGATACCTCCAGCGCAGAAGGCGTTGGTCTTGTAACTCAAGGGGACGACAGTATTGCTTACGGGGTCATACTCGGAGGAGTATGCATACTGGCCGTTTGGTAGCCTTAGCTGAGTGTAGTTCTCAACCTTGTCCAAGAAGATAACGCGACCATTAGGCATAAGACCGGCGTGCATGACCGGAACACCGGACTGTCCCACGACTGCGAAGGCACCGCTGTTTGTGATAGGAGCAGGAGATGGACCGGGCGCAGGTGTTGATCCTCCATTTTTGCACTTTTGAGTTCCATCTGTTCCAATAGAGGAGTCTGATTGGCATCCGTCACCACAGTGAGTATCAGTGTTACCGCAGAAACCGTACATAGAACAGCACTCTCCCAGGGCGAAGCCAGTGCAGGTATATGCGGGTGTGTTGCTATGACCGCAAGTACCATCAGTGCTAGGAGGTCCGACAGGAACGGCAGATGGGGTAGGAGATCCGAGGACAGGTTCTCCAGTAGTGGTGCTGCTTTCAACAGGAGTGACAGGGGTAGTTCCTGTACACCCAGATTGGCACCCACTAGCAGGCAAGCAGTGACCATCAGTGGTACCGCAGTATCTGTGTGATTGTTAGTTAATGTTAATGACTATAAAGCAATTTCGATGCAAACATACCCGTATTGACTGCAGCATGTCCCAAAAGCAGATCCCGCACAAGTTGCGCCAGCGAAATCTGTTCCGCAACGACCATCGGCTCTGGGAGCAGTTGCAGGCGCAGAAGAAGTGGCGGGGGGAGTAGAAGAGACTGGAGGGGTTCCAGTGCATCCAGATTGACACCCATTTGAAGCCAAGCAGTGACCATCAGTGGCACCGCAGTATCTGTGATTGTTAGTTGATGTTAATGTTATAAAGCAATTTCGATACAAACATACCCATATTGACTACAGCATGTTCCAAAGGTAGATCCCGCGCAAGTTGCACCGGCGAAATCTGTTCCGCAACGACCATCGGCTCTGGGAACAGCTGCAGCAGATGTGGCGGCCGGGGGAGTGGTAGTGGTAGTACCAGTTCCAGTGCAACCAGATGTACAACCAGTTCCACAGTGAGCAGGTGTATTTCCACACCATCCATATTGCTAATATCAAATAGTGTAAGTTTATAGTTTCGATAGCAGTAATTGAGAGCCTTACAGAGCAGCATGTTCCAGTATAAGAGGTGGCCGCCGGGTTGCAAATCAGACCACCATTGGCAGGTCCACATTGGCCGGTGGTAGAGAAATCACCAGGAGCAGGAATTGGGTTGGGCATACGAGCAAAAAGGTAGTGTGCATCGCGTACGCAGCTGTAAGTCCGCTGTTAGTAAATGTTTACAGATATAATCATATTATCTCACAACCAATAAACGGTGTTTATCGGTGTGTTCGACTGAAATAATTATAAAAACTAAATGAGGGAATTTTATTTAAATCAAATGGGATATGACTTACTAAGGCTCATCAGGAGTGCAGACCTCACCACGAGGGCACGCATCTCCACAGACTGTGGGTTCTCTATGGAAATGGATGTTCCCAAGAACTCCCTGGGCCAGGAGACCCGAGAGAATGAGGAAATTCTTCATTGTGAATTAGTGTGCTCAGTAGATAGAGGCTGAGCAGCGGAAGAAAAGTTAGTAGTCTTCTAAAGAGGAGATGAGGAGACAAGAGTATAGAAGGGGAAATGAAGGAATAAATAGTAGGTAGTGCTGACAGAAACCATCCAATGATGCGTTTTCACCGAGAATTGAGACAATCTCGATGCATATGCCATGTTTTAAGTATGCAATGTAGGTGGAAGGGTCATGTTGCTCCGAGCAGAGACATCAGAATGGGAAAGATCTCCTACCTTAGACAGTGAAAGCTTTAAAATAGTGATTACGGTTGGAAATAGCGAGTGTGATAGGCTGGTGACAAACTGAAAGCGAGTGAATATCAAGAACCCCTTCGTTAGATGGGAAGTTCGAGATGATGATTAGAGAATGAGGGGATGGTGGTGGGGAAAGAGAAGAAGAGGTGGAAGGAGGAAGGGGTTATAAAAGAGTTAGAAACGCGGCTTGGGAATAGACTATCCGCAATAAAGGGTGAAGCGGCAACAATTTACCAAGAGACCAAGAAACTACTAAGAAGTAGAGTGTAGCGTCACAAGGCACAGAACAGAACACATGTAACCGCTACTAGCATGGCCGTGACCTGGCAAACAATTGCAAATTAAGCTCACAGAAGAGCGGGTTATGCAAGCTGTAAGTGACTGGGTAACTGCGGGATACACAGCTGTAGAATAAATGATGCTGGAGGGGCAGGGGGGGAGATTCGGCAGGGAGAACTGCGATAGGTTAGGATTAAAGAAGACGAAGAAGAATAAGAAGAAATCTGTCTCGTGAAAACAGCGCCAGTCTAAAGTGAATCTTTATTTAGAGTTCACTTCTGCTGTCCTATTGGACCTATACCCCTGGCCCTGCAAATCACGTTGTGTCTCACGCCCAATCACAATTTTCGTCTTCGTCTTGTCAGGGGTTTAATCAACTCTAACCCCACATATTCTAGCGATGTTAAATTGAAAATGGAATGGGATATCAGACAATGAGCAGCCACAAAACCTTGCCGCCTATCCCGAGCCGTTACCATGATGGTGGGCAGTAAGGCAGTGCCTGTTACGTCTGGGCATCGAAAAGAAACTTCCTTCATGATCATGGCTGTATCTTCAAGAGTGCTACATGTAGAGTACCGTATAATCTGAGAAATTTCGTTGCGCTGTAGTAGGGATCTTTTACACTAAAACTTGTAGATTGGTGTTAAAAGACTGCCTCTGATAGGTCTATATGCGCATTTATCCCTGTTGCAGCGCAACGAAATTTCTCAGATTTTACGGTAGGCATGTTCGTGGTTGAGTATGTACTCGAGTGCATGGCTGCACTTTGAATCGAATCCCGGATCACGAACGGCAGTACCGGAGTTTCCCTCGGACCCTTCTTCTTTTTCAACCCTGCAGGTTTTCTTTACAACTGGCAGCTGCATGCCTCAGCCAGCCTTCATCCAAACCGACCGAATATGGCACTTACTAGGTTTTTTCGGGCATCTTACCGCTAGTCGTGGTGTGGGCTAAGCTTTGAGTCCTTTCGGTTGTGCAGTTGAGCTGAAACCCCTACTTACCCTTTTTGGTCCTCCCAGGAACGTTTGTTGTTGGTTCCTCGTCACGTAAGGTACCGTGCAGCCGGCACGGCTTGCGCTTGTTATCGTCATGACCTACCTAGAGTACCGACCTACAGATACATGTACCTAATAGAGCACTTTATGTGGAGTCCTGAATTATAAGTGTATGTACTCATCGTGGCTATGCCATTTCTTAGGGAGATCCATATGTACACTTTCATCTACGGAATAGAGTACTCTACATACTCTATGTAACCTCTGCTCTATCCCAACACTTTAGTAGCATCATATCAGTAATTATATGTGGGTATCGCGATGCTGTTACCTACCTTTCCTGACATCTTCCAGCACAGGGGAAATCCCCATTCACGCCACTGTCGTTGTCAATCTACACGCTTAACCCCCGCGTCAGCAAAAGGGGTAGATAAAAAAAGAGAGGCTTCTGTAAGTGTTTTTCCTATCCAAGGTCACTTCCACGGTTTGTCCTTGTGCTTCAACTGTCGGGGACCGGAAGACAGTGTGTGACGCTAAGAAGTTTACGTTCCTGGAATCTTTGAATCCATTTTTATCTACCCGTCAATCTGGCAGGGTTATGAATAGCCGGATACGGCACTCGATGTATGAAATTTGTCTGCTCTACGTGTAGGTTGGTAGGTGGTTACATGTAGTAACTATAACTGTAACCACAACGGATTGATCGTTAGTTTTCCATCCTCCAACCTCGTATTCCGAGCCAGTCTTGGGTTGCACTTATTGCAATAATGCAAATGCAAGGGTATTTCTAGAGTAGGCCACGGCTATTTCATGCCACGCCTTGCCTGTGGTGCGGAAAGATACTAAACACGCTGGAGATCTTGAAGCAACGTCACAGTGTCTCCATTAGGCGAGGCCCGTATACGGAATTGTACAACTCTGCCAGCACCTGCTCTCAGTTTAGAATCCCATTCTGGACTCGTACTGTAAAACATGTAGGTACAGTGGACATACTTGCCCTTCGAGGTCGACTTGATACACCGAGGTCTTACTCGTATGTGGACAAAGTAATTGTATCCGTGTCTGGGAAGTTGCATGTCAGTACTACATGTACCATGTGCCGAGGCTCAAGTCACGTTGTATAGTGGGGAATTTTGCGTGGGTCGAAACCCCGCATACCCTCCTTTCTAGAACATTTGGACAGAACTCAAAATAACGACGCCCTATGCAATTGCCCTTTTGTTAGCTTGTGAACCAGATGCAATTATTCTTGAATTCAACTCTTGTTCAAATTCGATTTGAATAGTTGCCCAACTATTGGCTTTAGCTCCTCTATAGCACCCAATTTATCAACGTTCTCCCTATCTTACCGTTTATCAGATATTCCGCTAGGATGAATATAACCCCCGAGCTCTCAGAAACTCACTACTTCGAGACCAATCTACCACCGAGTACTCTAGCCGAACATACAGCGCTTGCAAATGCCTTTGTCAAGCAGCATCATGATGCAAAGCGACCTGTCGTTCTTCTCACCTCAGGCGGGACTACAGTACCACTAGAGAACCAGACAGTACGCTTCATCGATAACTTTTCGGCCGGAACACGAGGAGCTACTTCAGCCGAGTATTTCCTCTCCCACGGTTACGCCGTGATCTTTCTACACCGACAATTCTCGCTCCTTCCGTTCTCTAGACATTATTCCCATTCGACAAACTGTTTCCTCGATTTCTTATCTGAATGGGGGCGCATCGGCGAGGACGAGGAGGATGGTGGGAAGGCTGAGCAGGCAGCAACTCCAGATGTAGTTGTGAAGGCCAAGTACCGGCAGGAAATGTTGTCTGTGCTGAGGAAGTACCAGGAAGCCAAAAAAAAGAACCTACTTCTCCTACTACCGTTCACGACTGTGACGAGTTATCTTTTCACATTGAAGGCATTGGCATGCGAGATGCAATGCTTGGGAAATGAGGCATTGTTCTACCTTGCAGCTGCTGTATCGGACTTCTTTGTACCTCCCAGCAGGATGGCGGAACATAAAATTCAAAGTGGAGATATCCCTTCATTAGGCGGTGACGGTTCTGGGGTTGGTGGTGGAAAGAAATTAATCGTTGATCTGGATCCTGTACCAAAGTTTCTGAAAAGATTAGTGGAACAATGGGCTCCCCAGGCAATGATTGTCTCTTTTAAGGTCTGCCCCTTCTTTGAAGAGAAGTAAATCTTTATAAGATTAACATGCTGATCTTATGAAATAGCTGGAAACCGATCCCCAAATGCTCCTCTCAAAATGCAGACAAAGTCTTGAGCGTTACTCCCACCACCTTGTTATTGGAAATCTCCTCTCTACGCGAAAACGCGAGGTTGTCTTTGTAGACCGAGAGGGCATTGAATGGATCCGTACACCAGAAGCAGGCCAAGACTCAGAGGAGGTTGAGATCGAAAGTCTGATAGTTCCCGCTGTTATCCGAAAGCATCAAGAAATGCTTGAGAGACGGAAGACTGGTGCTAAAAAATAGGCCTTAAAGATGGCCGAGACGTACTATACAAAGCAGGATACCATATAGCATTTGTTCAGTACAGTTTCTCTGCTCCATGAAGGGTATCGCCTAAACAAGCTACCACATCAGCGTTCACTCCTCTCTCTCATAGTACATATTACCGCTTTTCGATATCAAAGGTATTGGATATAATAAGCACATGTATCCATTGTTGCCCATACGATTCCAATTGCAAATGTCCATATCCAGCGTGAGAATTTGAGGGAAAGATGCGGTAGTACTATATCAATTGTAAAAAAATATATATATAGGCATATATGTCACTAATATGTTAACGAATATTGCTTTATATATATGTGTGTGTATATATATGACTACGTATTTAGCCAGGAAGGTTGACTACAGGTAGGCTTACGACACTGTACTCCCACTGCGATTGAAAATGTCAACGAGTGATACTCTGTGATACACGACGCGCGTCTTGTCCTGATTCACGTGGCGAGCTTGCGGTGCGCCTAGTGATCATTATATGTAGAGTACATACACGTACTTCTCCTGTGCCATTGCTTCCGCAACACCTTAAAATGTGCTCTTCATCTCTCTGTTTCTCCTCGGTATGCATCGTACATAGAGTACATATAGGTACATACATCATACCTATATCTTGAATTATCGCTCGGCAATCGTCAGGCCAATGTCAGAGTCATCAGCCCTAACTTCTAAAGCGACGGCTTCCACCGTCAACTGAGACGATAAGTAGATATTGCGAAAGTCGAATCGATCAGTCAAATTGCAAAAGAAATTCGTCCTTGGCGACGACTTCAATGTCTGGCACTCACTCCTAGGCCGGGCTGAGATTCAGAACTGAAGAAGAAATCAAACCTCCCAGGGCGAAATACTCTAGGTGGCAAGGGTTCATATTGTAACGCCTGTGGCTTCTATCAACTCATGCGGGTATGTGTAAACAATCTCTTCATTCATGTCAGCTGCCATTTGCAGCCAATCCCCCACTTTATTGATCCCCAGAGCTTATCCCCTATGTGTAAGACTGGCAGATTACGGCTGGTTCTTTTGGGCCGAATGATGTGTCAAGAGCATCATACCTATGAGTTTGAGAAAAGAGTCTGAAGAGCAGGAACTTGCCAAGCGAGGGTTGTCCTGTCTTTTCGATGCGCCATTTGCCCCTTTTTCGTTGCTGTTAATACGAGGCGCTAATAATTCCCAAATCTCAACTAGCGCCACCATCAAGGTTGTTAAGCCCACACATTCCACACTATCAACGTGTTGCAAAACCCCATAGAGATCTGATCACCTGCCTAAAGTACAGCCTTAACTTTGACCGGGATCACCGAATCAAAAAAAACTTGAGGATACCAAACAGTCTTGATGGAACATTTTCTTATTTAATCGGGAATTAATTAACGTTTCAGACCCAGTACCACGACCACACGAGCGTGGATAATGGAGATACATACACTAGGACTCCATCTGCTACAAAGCCATGAAGATCTTGGGCATGTTTGTTCCACAACAAAACTAACCCTGGAAATGAATGGGTCACCTCACTGCTGACCTGTGAGGGCTAAGTTGCAGCTACATGTAGGTACTCAGTTATGCCCTAACTACTGTACTGTATCCGTCAATAAGAAACAGCCTATCTCATATTTGGCATGACAGAAAATTAACTGTACCACGTTTTATGCATGTACAAAATTTCCAACCTCTCAAATTTTCTTGGGAATGACCCAATTGATTTTTGGTACTACATGGCCTCTGTTTGTTCGTCTGATGCATTGAAGGTAAGCATTAACCCCTTTCACCTACCCGTTGATGTTTGAATTCCAATCCATCAGCAATTGCAATAACCACCAAGAACGCCAGAAATTTAGGCTGAGTTGGGCACGTACGGAAGATAGAATATGGCTAGGCAGTTGAAAGAGATCTGTGTTAATATGCTAGGACACGGTGAGATGAACTGCTCGCACCAACCCACCAGCCGGGCCACAGTTGTCATTAGGCATGCTAGTTACTATATCAGTATGCAGGCTACATACCAGAGTGTTTTTTCTGCACCGCCTGTGCTGCTATTTCACCCGATAATTTATTTCAGATCCTGAGGACTCCTTCACCACGTAGATCGGCCGTATCGCTCCCGCTCAATTAAGCTGTACTCCGATAATCGAGCCCGTTATCGGCCACTGTTTTTCGGAGGTACAAAGTACCTACGCAACTGAGGTATCGGCGGTTACTGATCGACCATGCACCCCGCCCTCCTCTTCCATTGGGTGTTATTACTGGTTGGACAGATGGCGCGGCCTGCTGTGTTCAAAGTACTGCCTGTGGCTGTCTGTTTCTGGTGTTGGTGATATGGAACCAGGCAACTCGGTAGGGTCACCAGTTTGGGTGTATATATCCCGGACCTTGATGTCTCAAAGCACGTGCACAATGACTGCTTCTTCCATAATGGGGCGATATAAGTCCAGCCGTGGCCGTATACCCGAAGAAGGCGTATGTATCAAACTGGTGCATTTGTCGGGTCTGGTTCTACGGGTAGTAATGCCGCTCTGGCGCCTGCAAGTATATTTGGTGGGCCCACGTAGGTACCTACTCGCGATCCACATGCCGCGGCGCGGCGTATGTTCTCAACACAACGAGTGATCGTTTGTGATTTTGAGTGTTTAAAAAGCGGAAAACAACAATCTTGCCTGATGGTACATAAAAAGCTTATGAGTGTGAATTTTTTTACATTCCGGATTTTCTGGGCTAGATTAGATCCTGTAATGCTAGTATATAGTGGCTGGGAGCACAAACCTGGTTATTTCCACAATACTAGATTAAGCATCCGGAGAATCGGCATCTACTCTAGGATAATTCCCTCATCGAGGGCTATTCGGATTTCAAGCGTGATGTTTGTGCTTTACACTCGGAAAATGGCTCTTATAACGTATTGCTCTTGGATACATTATACATTGGAGTAAGTCGGCCCGAGTGCCTATTTTTTCACTGGTGCAGAGCCCTCAAAGAATTCTAGCCTGGCAGCTTTTAAGCCCAAAGCCCTTTCTCTTATTTAGTACAATAGCTTCGGCTAGATCTATATCAATTCCAACATATTGGGCTGTTTCATCAAACATTATCTAATGAAGCATTTTCCACATTCAAAAAGGAATATATACACATAGAATTTCAGGTTCCTCCAGATATGACCGGTCACGGTGTATTGAATTCTTCATATCTGCTAGTATAAAATGAGGGAGATTCGCGGATGGAGGATGCCGATTGACCTATGTAATACTGGACCTAGACATTAGACGGAACACGATAATATCCATATCGGGACTTTCCAGTATGCATAATGATTGTGAATATCGAAACATACTGTAACAGTCATGGTTTAGTTTCAAGCCTCTTCAAAGAAAAAGATATCCCGTGTCCTTCCTTGGGTGGTCATCTGCACCGGCACCGGAATTTTTCTTGAGTTAATACGGCGACCAATTTTCCTCAAAAGAATTCCGGTTGGTAACAAACGGGACGGGAAATCTCTAAGCAAAGTTACTGAATCTCTAGAGCTCCCCCATCGTCCACCAAATGATTCTAAAGCGGCTTCATGGTTGGTATAGGTCCTATATAACCAACCGCAATTCCTGGGACAGTCTAGTGGATTTTTGATGTAGGAAGCTGACTTCAACCGGGATTTTTCCGGGACCTCCCTCATCCCGGAAAATACATGTTACCCTCCTCTTTGATGCCCGGCCCAGGCCTCTTTGGTGCCCGGTTGACTCCCTCTCAACTCAATCGCAACGGTTTCAGCCCATATCTTCATTATCTTCGTCCCGTGCCCGCTTGTTAGAAGAGTAACCCACAAACACACACAAAATGAACCCCTCCCCCATGACCAAAGCCTCTTACAAAACCCCCAACCCCTACGAAAGCCTCTTCGGCTACTCCCGCGCCGTCCGTAAAGGACCTTTTATCTTCGTCTCGGGCACAACCTCTATCACCCCCGACTCTGCCGGAGCGGTCCAGTACCCAGGCGATGCGTACCGGCAGACGGTTGTTGCGTTTCGGGAGTCGCTCAAGGCTGTTGAGGCGCTCGGCGGGACGAAGGAGGATGTGGTGAGGGTTCGCATGTTTGTCGCGAGTATGGACGAGCGCGATGAGGTGGGAAGGGGTATGAAGGAGGTGTTTGGTGCGGGCGAGTGGGCGGCGACAATGATTGCGGGTGTGGGATTTGTTAGGCAGGAGATTAGGGTGGAAGTGGAGGTGGATGCGGTGGTGGGGTAGCTAGGATAAGGCTGGAGGTTGGAATTAGGTGTGAGAGGGTTCAGTAAGCAGAAAGCAGTGCAGGTAGTGCTATTAATTCAAAGTAGGTCTTTTGAGAAACATTAATATTATTCAGGCCGTGGCCGTGGAAAGCATCCGTGAGAATTTAGATCACCGGGGATCACTCAGCCCTCTCAAGCACAACGGATCACTCAGTGCGCCGGATCACCAGTACTCACCCAAACTCGTGCGCATTCCTCACCCGGGCCGCACGGCACTCATGTAGGTACGTTATTCGATGATTCCCGGGGCAAGGTTTTCATTGCAATCAAATAAACAAATGACAGGGTCTGCATGCGGCTCTCTGGTTGCGGGCCAATCATTGACGTCACTTTACAGGCATGTGGCTATATGAGTAGCCAAGCAACCAGGGAAAACCAAGCTTTTTACCCCAGACCTGCCACAATTCCTTAAATGCCATGTACCGACGCCCGCCCGCCTACATGTAAGCATTGGCAGCCGAACCTCGAATCTCATGACGTTGACTGGCTGAGAAGAAATCAATCTATCATGTATCTAACAGTAGCTATTGTTGGTGCCTAATCAAAAGAAATGGGAGTCTTGGACCTGTCCTGGGACCAGCTGAAAGTCTGCTCTGGATCGATATAAGTTTCCTGCTGTGTTCTGGAGTGGTGCCATCTTTGTTCAATCCTACATACACACATACAATCGGCCGTACCATCGACATGAACGACCCGGGCCCCGATGATCAAATCCAAGAGAACGCACGCGACGTAGCCCGGAAATATCACGAGAACCACACTCAAGGGCGGCGGCAGCAACAGCACCAACAACACCAACAGCGTCACCGCAATAGCGGACACAAGCACGACAAGGCTAATAGCGGTAGCTCCCGGGATGAAGAGGCCGACCGGGCAAAACAATTTGAAGAGGGGATGTTGGAGGACGGGAATGTTGTGAAGGGATTTACTGAGCCGGGGTTTGTACAGCCACGATGAAGCATCATATGCCCTGCTTTTTTCTTTTTCTTTTGCTGTGCGGGGCTGATGGAATTGTGCTCTGTTCTGTACAGTCTTTGGTGGATCACGTCCACTGTTTTCCCACTGGTTGCGGGTGCGTTTGGTCCGTTGGCTAATTTGGCGTCCGTTTGTGCGCTGGTGCAGACCTGGAGGGTTTATGTGCCCCCCGGGGCGTCGGAGATACACGGTGACCGAGTAGCAGATCCGGCTTGGTTAGTAGTCGATGCCCACCCCCGCCGGTACTATTTTTATCGCCCAATCGGGTTATTTGGCTAATAATTGGTCCTCAAACTAGGCTCCTCGGGATAAATGCAGTATCATTGGTTATGGCTGTGATTGCAAACATCTTTATTCTTATGACTTTTGCGCAGCGAATACGATACCGGGTATCATTGCCTTTTACTATAACCCTCTGGTAAGCTACAAGAGAAGAACCTCTTAATATTTGTCCAAGTTAGTAGTCGTTAGTTTGATACTAAACCCACATGTATCAGGTATATCTCCTCAATACTCCTAATCGGTCTAGTAATAGCTGCAACCAAACTCCTCCAAGAGGACGCCGGTAAATCCTTTGCCTTCTCTCAATCCTACTACTACGGAACCATGGCCGCCGTACTGTACTTTATCATTGCGACCCTCCTCTTCACCAATTACTTCAACAGCACCATCAAGAGGCGCTACCCCCCATCATTCAGAGTGCTCACAATCCCGCAGCGCACTTTAATGCTGCAGACCACATCTTTGATGTTCTACCTTGGCCTCGGTGCACTGGTTTTCTCAAAGCTCGAGAGCTGGGAGTACGTAGATACAATATACTGGGCAGACTACACACTCCTTACAGTCGGCCTGGGATCAGACTACCCGCTGCAACACACCGCCTCAAAGATCATACTGATTCCATATGCGGTAGGCGGCATCATTGTGCTGGGTCTCGTAGTCAGTAGCGTTAGGGGTATGGTGCTGGAGCGCGGAAAGATCAAGATGAACCGCAGAGCGATCCAAAAGCAGCGGGAGAAGTGGTTGAAGGAGCTTGAGGCGAAAAAGAAGGATAATGATACCCGGTCTGCAAACGAGTTGATTAAGGAAGATTTCGAGATCATGCGGAAGATTGAGAGAGCCGCAGAGTCGAAGGGAAAGTGGATGGCGCTGGTAACATCGTCGATGGCGTTCTTGCTGGTATGGCTGGGTGGAGCCATGGTTTTTACATTCTCAGAGGTATGGGCTGGACCCTATTAAATATCATATTGACCCCCCCCCCCCCCCCCCCAGTTTCTGGTAACTTGATATAGCTGACAATGTAAACCGAATTAGCGCACCCAACACTGGACATACTTCGACTCTCTATTCTTCTCCTACACCTCCCTCCTTACAATCGGCTATGGCGACTACTACCCCCAATCCAACTCCGGCAAGCCCTTCTTCGTAATCTGGTCCGTCATCGCCGTCCCCACAATGACCATCCTCATCTCCAACATGAGCGACACCGTCGTCCGCGGCGTGCGCGATGGCACCCTCTGGATCGGGCAGAAAACTGTCCTCCCCGACGCGAAGAACCCGACGCCCTCCGAGCAGCGCGAGCAGACCGACAATGCCATTGAGCAGGTGCGCGACGGGATCCCGTGCTCGCCGAAACAGGTACAGGAGAGCATCGCGGCGCAGATAAGAGTGATATCGGGACATCTGGGATTTGAGCCACCAAAGAGGTACACGTTCGATGAGTGGATCGAGTTTTTGGAGCTACTGGAGCTGAGGTGGGAGAGCGAAGGGTGGAGCTGGTTGAGCGAGGATGGACCGCTGATGAGTGGGTTGACGGAGACGGAGTGGGTGCTGGGGGAACTGTGTAGAAAGTTGGAAAAGGCGCTGTCCGCTTGATTCCGGGAAATGGTGTATGGGTGGATGTTTTTTTTGTCTTTTTTTTCGAGGGTGTTGGTTTTGGAGTTTGTGTTTATTGGTTTATGGTCTCATCATCCTGCTGGGGAATATAGTTGCATTTGCATAGATATAGCGGCACTTCTTAAAAGATCCCCATAGATATTGTCAGTTACTGCTCCTTCTTACCAATCACCAGCACCCCCCGCCCTCTCTGCCCCCCTTCCCCATGCAACACCCCGTAGAATTAAGAAGTGGTGGGGAAACGGCGTTAATTCTTTACCAAGATGTTTTTTTTTTCGCTCCTAGAGAGGCTCGAGGGGGCTTTTGTTTGCAATTGTAACATTGGCATGACCCGTATGAAAAATTAGAATTGAATATGGATATGAAGCCATGGAATCACCAGCGAGTGATAACCCATGAAGTAAATTATAACTTTACCAAGTGCAAGCTCGTTTTGCAGGAAACGGTGCAAAAAGGTTAGAACCTGTTTACAAAACCAGTAGGTCTTTTGGTATGATGCGGGGTCTTGTATTTAAGTGGAGGGCAGGCAGACTTGCGTAGTATCCGTAATCACTACCGATTGTAATTCAATTTACAAAGCAGAGCATCACGTGCACAGAAACGAAAAAAATTGGTCGTGTATTAACGTTGGAATTTCTAGAGCAGATGACTGGTACATCATTGCTGAGTATCTATGTGGCTACATAACCGTCTAATTAAAACGATACATATATCGGAAAAGGTCTAAAATGACACACTTTCCGGCACACTTGATGTAGAGCAACACATATATAATGAAAAAATAACACACTTCTACGACTCCAAAATGACACAGTTCAAAACTTCGGGTTCTTTTAGAAGAATTGACTCGTTGACGAACTATTATTATAGCTAGTTCTGCTGGCAAAACAAATGTAAGACGGCAAGATTCCGGGGGGCCATTTTAGACCTTTTCCGTATATATATATATATATATATATGAAAATTTCTAAACTGACACAGTTTTGAGTATACTTACATAATTCACGTACCATACATCCCTACTGCTAGGCAAGTAATTCAATATTTAAGCAGTAGATCTCTTCGTGTAGTCTGTAATTTCAGGATTGAATTTGCTTGTGCAGGTGCAATATCTTTCTGTATCTCTCTAGTGGTGCCTGAAGAAACGATTATAGAGTAAAAGTCAATATGTAGACAGATTTTAAAGCCGGGTGATAATCCGCTATATCACAGAACCCAGTTGAATAGTAATAAAATCAATGCAATATTGCGGCTGTACCCTTGAAGGCTATTGGTCTAGATGTTTTATACTGCTAGATATAGATACAACCCCGCATTGAGTCAAGCGCCCCCGAAGTAGGTATATAGCTACAACGGGCCATGCGTTGAATCTCAGCCCATCACTCGTCTAGTTTAATTTGCCAATATATATACCCCCCCCCCCCCCCCCCCAATCACGAGCCATCACTCGGCCCACAAATCCCCCCCCCCCCCCTCTAGACACAACCTTCTATCGGCCACCAAGACCACACAAAAAACAGCGATCAAAAAAAAAGAAGAAGAAGAAGAAGAGGAGAGCAAAAAATCTACCATATAATCTACAACTGCCTATAACTACCCCCCATTTTTTTCCTCCTTACCCTTCAAACACCCCATGATTCAACTCGACCCCCAACTCCTCCATCGCAACCCTCCTCATACGCTCCTCAAGCCTCTCCTCGAAACCCGCACCGCCCAACAGCGCCTGCCGAACACGCCCATACCAGAACACGATGTCGAGTCCCAGCACCACAACCTTGAACACCAGGTGGCGCAGCCAGCCTTTGAAGAACCCGTCGCCGCCCGTGGCGGCGGGGAAGCGGGTGAGTGAGCGCGAAGCCCAGAGGGCGATTATTTTGATGCGGTTGACGGGAGAACCGAGGGCCCTGTTTTTTTTTGTTAGTTCATTTGTGGGTATAGAGGGAGGGGGGAGAGGGAGGGGACTGAACTGGTTATTCGCCTGCACGATCCTCATATTCCTCCCAATAAAGATCAGCTCCTTCGGCATCTTCTCCTGGTCCTCCAGAAACGCGCCCATCTTCTCGCGCATCTTCTCATGCGCCGCAAACGCCGATCCGCCACGCTCATGGGAGCCCTCCTCGCCGACAATGTCGGCAATGTCGTTGCTGCCGCCGGTATACGGGCGCAGCAGCGTGGCACTCGCAAACAGGTCCGCATTTGCAATGCCCCACTGGCTCGCGACGCGCTGGATGGTGGCGTTATCGAACGTGAAGAGCGCGCGCCAGAACTCTGCGTACTGGCGGCGGAACTCGGGCGTGGTGGAGATGTAGAGGCCGTGGTCGAGGAGGACGAGTTCCGGGCGGCCGGCGGGCGTGCGGCGGATGAGGATGTTGCCGGGGTGCGGGTCGCAGTGGAGCGAGCCGAACATGAACATTTGCGCGCAGAAGAGGTCGACCATTATCTGCATGATGTCGCGCTCGCGGAGGCCGAGGCCGTAGACGGTCTGTGGGGGGCCGGAGGGGGGCGGGCGGTACTTTTTGAGCGGCCCTTCGGAGAGGACTTGGTTGTAGGGGGTGGTGGGCGTGTGGCCGATCCAGGCGGGGCCGCGGTAGGGGCCGGTGAGGAGTGGGCGGGCAGAGACGGGGACGCCGTCGATCCATTCGGTGACGAGAATGCGGCGTGTGCTGAGGTGCGGGTAGACGAGCGGGATGTGCACCTTGTTACGCAGACTGGGCTCGGAGAGGACAAAGTCGCGCATGAGAGTGGCGTTGTTTGCCTCGTTGATGAAGTCGGTTTCTTGAAAAAGGCGGGCAGAGATGTAGGGCGCAAAGTAGGAGAGCGGGAGGGCAAAGAGCTTCTCGGAGAAGAAGTAGGAGACTGATCTAGGGGGGGTGTCAGTGTATATATTGGAGAAAGGGAATTGGGGGGGGAGGGGTGTCAGTGTATATATGTCTATATATATGAAAAGAGAGGAACGAGAGCGGGCACTCGTACTCACTCAAACATCCACAAATCCAGCCCAACCTGTCTCTCAATCCACGGCTTCTGCACCTTGACGGCCACCCACTCGCCCGTCTTCAACCTCGCGCGGTGCACCTGCGCAACACTCGCACTCCCAATCGCCCTCCTCTCCCACGTCCCGGGCATAAAGATGCGGTCCACCAGCTCGCCCGTGCCGTGCCTCACCTCGGGCAGATGCCCATACTCCTCCCTCAGCACCTTCTCCACCTCCTTCCACCCCGCCTGTGGCGTCTCGTCAAAGAACTGCGAAAACTTGGCCTGGAAGACGGGAGGCAGCACGGCGCTCTGCATGGCGATCGCCTGCCCCATCTTCTGGTATAGCCCGCCGTTCGTTAGGCACAGGTCTAGTAGACGGTCCGCCGAGCGCTCGTGCAGGCGCGACAGCTGCCGCGACGACTTTGACGGCGCAAAGTTGAGCTTGTAGTCTAGTGCGATGAGCGTGCATGTGCCGAGCGTGCGGAAGTTGCGTGTGAAGGTCGAGTAGTTGAGGAAGCGGTCTGCGAGGTAGAGCGTCGTCCCCAGCGCCGTCGTGTAGGCAAGGCGGCGGCCGTACTTGCGCAGCCGGGGAGAAGATTTCCGGGGAATGCGCGGCTTTCCGAGCGACTCTGGACTGGGCGGGACGAAGCCGGTGACTCGAGGGGTACTGGCGGTGCTGCGGGCAGCGGTGAGGAGGTGGGTAGGCGGTGGAGGGCGGCCGTGGAAGAGGAGCATGCTGGGCGGGTGTGCTTCGGGGTGTGGAAGATCCTCTAGTTCTTTCTGTGGGGTCTTCCTGGTGCTGTGAGAATATCAGCTCCTCGTATCTTGGTGGTCTTGGTCTGTCTGTCTGTGATGTTGAGTCTCACAATCGCCATCGCTTATCGATAAGGTGCCAAAACAGGTATAACTAATCATTGCCCCACCGCCATGGCTTCTTCGCTCTCTGGGTTTTGTAGTTGTGAATACATAGTGCACCCGGCACAGTACAGACGAAGAGATATATCTATCCACCGCTACCGGCTGCTAATTGGATATCAAAGTACATATAGTAGATCGAGCCCAGCTCAGCTATCCGCTTCCTTGTGTGGGCTTGGCAATATCGAATATACATGTAGCTAGCCAGATGTTCGCTAGGTTTCTACCCACAACCCATCACTCGCAGCTATGTACTCTAGTTCACCATTTCAATTCCCTTGACAGCTAACTAACGCCCCCTCCTCTCTCCCCACTAGTTACCCCTCCCTCCCGCTGCCGTATCAATAAGCGAGGCGGCACGCACCGGTGTTGTGAGCGAGCTTCTGTCCGTCTGTCTGTCGTGCCGATCGACCGGAGAACGCCGATATCGATCCCACTGGCAAGGGATGATGGTGACTATTATTTGTGGCGGTCATGGTGGATAAGATATTCAGGGAGAAAGAAGGTGGTGGCGATTTCAGGAGAAGATTGATTGCAGCGCTGATCATAATCTCGGGGGTTGGATTTCAACTTGTGGATATAGGTACTGCAATCTCCACCATGGCGAGATCTCCATCGTTTGCATGATTGTTAAACAGGTCTTGGCGCCTGTCTCACAATTTCATGCATATAATATCATTGCCAATTCACAACTGCAATTACAACACTACATATCATTAACCACCCCCCACCACACAATCATAATCATAAACCAAACTAGAGTAAGGTACAAAGAAAAAATAAAATAAAATCATCCGCAGAAGGAATCGCCAGGACATCCAACCGAAAGCCCATAGATCGATGGCCCCACGCCCGCAATCTCGGTGATGGCATTAATCACGCCCCCCAATCCTTCACCCGCAATCATCCCCGCTGCGATCGCATAGCACAGCAGATCAAAGCTGACGGCATTCTTCTTTGCCCAAAAGTACGCCACCATCGCGCCCGTCAGCATGGCCGTCGAGTACTGTGTCGCGGGCAGCACAAACGCCAGCCCCATCGCCATAAAGTTCGGCACATACACCCTGTATCTCTCACGATGTCCAACCAGGTAGTTGTGTCGTACAAGGACGACAATGATCGAAAGGACTGCAAGCAGGATCGAAAAGATGCCCGATGACAGGGGAATCGGGATCTGGGGATCCGTCACTGCAACGGTGACGGCGCGCCATGCAGACACACTCGGCGCCGAGAAGGAGCACCGCTCGGCATTGAGATCGAGAACGCAGGGGTAGGCCTTCATAAAGAGGATAAACATGCCAGGAGACATAAACATGGCGACGATACTCCCGATTGCCTGCGCGTACCACTGAAGCTTTGGGGGTGTACCCAGAAGGAAACCAACGCGGAAGTCAACCACAAGGTCAGTGGACTGCGAGGCAGCACCCGATGCGATGGCTCCGCCGATGAGGTTCATGCGCTGTGCGGTCTCTCTGGGGAAGCCGGCACCGGATGTGGCACCGCCCATGATGAGTTGTGTTGCCTTTGCTGCCGTGGTGAGCGGGGTGGTGTCGGTAACACCGGTGCACTGGATTGCCAGGAACGCAAATATAAACCCGAGGAGGACTGCCAGGATTGACATCCCGACATCGAGATGATACTGAAGTCCAAGGATGATACAGGTTGCGATGATGATGAGTATAAGACCTGGTCCCCACTGCCACAGCTGAACCTGGTCCTCCTCTGGTGCAGAGTCCTTGATGACATGTTCCGCCTTGATGTGGCTCTGTCTCTCCAAGAATGTGGAGGTCTTTCCCATCTTTTGAACGCCACTGTTCATGGCCATAGCAATACCCTTCCAGGCACTCTTAAGCGCAAACCAGATGAGCTTGTACTGAACACCAAGCTCAGCAAACGACGATGCAATCATGACGAGAACACCAGGCCACAGAAGCCAGTATCTGGGTGATGGGTTGTGGATGGGGTCCTCGAGGTTGAAAGAGTAGAAGCTGACAAGGTCTTTCCATTTACCATACTCGGGGTCTGTGGGGCCATACCAGGCAACGCCGGACGCGAGGCCGTTGTGAACAAGACCGGGGCCAATGATACCTTAACAGTTGGTTAGCGAAACGTGTATTATCAATCACTGATATCAGCTTTCACTCACCCCAAGCAAGTACAGACCCTGCGAAAAATGAGATCGCAGGATTCAGCCCAACAAGCATGCCACTACCAATAAACGCAGGTGTGAATTCGTAAATCCAGCCCCAATTCTCGACTGCAAGAGCGACACTGCTGTATCCAGACCATACATGGAACCAGCTGAAGAAGTGCCAGTCCCACAGTATACCAGGAATGTAGGCGGCGGCTACGCGGAAGCATATACAGACACAGAAAGTGATTGCGAGGGCGCGAGTTTTGGCTTTTGCATTGATCCCGCCCTGACCGGTTATGGAGTGCATAGAAGCGATGGTCATGGCTGTTGCAGTCGCCGTAGGGAAGATGAGCTTGAGCTCACGGGCGACGTAGATGATGAAGAACTTGCGGACTATTGGAATATTTAGTATCCATAATTATAGTGAATACTAATTTAAGGGATAACCTACGTGGTGTAGCGAAAAATAACCCATAATACGCCGACACAATAGTAAAGGTCAGCAGCCTGGGAAAGTCCTTGACAGGATCATGCAACAGATTCAACTGGTACAGAGCCGGAATAGCAGAGATGAAGATCCCGCCCAGGCCTCCAGCAGCCGTGGCAGATGTTTGAACGATCGAGTTCTCCTTGGGCCCAAAGGAGCCCCCGAGAATGGGAAAGTTCTCCCCAAAAGTCTTGCTAAAGAAAGTCAAGATTGCGAATCCGAAAATAGCGCCGAAGAGGTTCGCTCCGAATGTCCATCCAGTTTTCAAACCTTTTACCATCAGTTTTCTTTTCTTTGGTTTTTCGTTTTCTATTTATAAGTATATAGAGATGACGTATACGTACCGAGATATACATTGGAAGCATTGACTAAACCACCTAAGATGCACCCAACCACAACCGCGCGCACAGTTAATATCCTATCATGGGGTTCTACTGGTGCGTTTGGGTCCACTGGGAATGGGACAAATGGGTCGGTTTCGACTTCCTCCCCATGTTCATCAGCTATACTTTCTGTATCATCTTTGATATCAACCTTTTCTTCGTAAGAACTAGGGTCGTTCTGAGAGGGTCGAGGGTACTCTTCGACACCCCCAGTGATCTCGGGGCTGCTGCTAGTGGTCGCCATTGTTTTCTGACCTGGGACTCGATTTTTTCTGAATCGAGTGACGGGATGTCGAAAGAAGGGGAGCGGAGGGTGCGAGCTTCTTATATCTGCAGAGCGGGTTTGTGCTCTCCCCCTCCCGCGCGCAACCATCACCTAGGTACTACTTCCACTTTATCGTGATCAGGTGTGTGTGTTAGCTGTATATTATCAATACTACATTTCAGTAGCTCATTGGTTAACGTACTAGACCATATCAGACTCCTATCTTCGCCTCCCAAAATCCAATGTCCTTCCCCACACAGAGAGGAAAAGCTGAATCCGCCGATATCACAACCAACCCTTGCTAGTTGGCTGACAAGCAATGGCTAGAAAAGTGTTGAAACGTAGATAGCAGCACTTCCACCCCTTGCAGCCGTCCTGATGCCACATTATCTCGTGTGCGTGTGTGTATGGATGCAGCAGGTACCAGGTAGGCAGCCGTAGTTTGAGCGGCTTCAGCACAAAAAACCGTCAGGAGCTCCTTAGTACATGTAGTTGTCCCACAGTCGAACCATCATAATCATCATATTAATAGAAGTACATGTAATCACTGAGTAGATGGAAGTAATCACTGAGCAAATAGAAGTAATTCTGTAGCTTCAAATCATTAATCCTCAAACCGGCCCGCCAGAGAGAAAAAATGAGAGGGAGAGAATGCGTGCAATTAACAAAAAGATCTTCTGTTTCAATACCACTCCGTCCCCACCATCGGACATGTTCCCCTTTTGGCATTCATCTGCCTTTAATTGGAAGCTAAAGTGGAGACGTAGTGAAGTCAGTAGCAGTAAGTAGCCAATTACCCGATGCTGTCCTTTCTTATCAACCGGTTATTCGTCCACTTCGTTCATTCAAGCATTGTCCTAGATCCAGTACTGTCTCTCTCGCAACATGTGCCAGGAGACCCGGTTCAAAGTAGATACGTTGTGAATCCTATGGCTCCTGTTTATCCACTCTCGTTTGAACTTCCCAGTAGGTCCTGGTGCAAGCACCTAATAATACAACGATCCAATCAATCTCAGTTATGAGGTACCCCCCCTGCAGTGGGTAGATCATTGATGGTAATCCTCGAATCACGACCGAGTATCCGTTATTGCGGGGCTCCCGAATTGGAAGGTGGGCTGTTACTACTCGACCCCGACGATTGCCGCACGGGAAGGGCAGGTACGGATATTAGTGAGATTCGATTAATCTCTACGTTATGATGGGTCCATTGGGCGGCTATACAACATTGTAGCTAAACCAAGCTTCTCACCACATACGCGAGCAGTTTCCTACTGTCCCGCGCGCCCCCGCACTCGCACGCGCAACAGGTTCGCAATCTTATGTTCACTTCGACTGGATGGTTCCCGCTCTACCTTGTCCTTGTCCCTATGTGTTCTTTTTGACATGCCGGTAGCTGAATGTGTTTTGGGTGATTTCATCATCACTACCGTTCGGTCTCAGTCTCAGAGGAAAGGAAGTAACAATATCACCACCATCACAGTGTATCCATCTTGGTAAAAAATATAATTTTGCCATCACAAAAATATTTACGTCTATATTTTTTAATATACCACTGGATAATCAGCCAATCCTTCAGAAGAAACCAAAACACCCCCCACACATGATATGTGCCCCACAGCCAAGCTCTGTAGCCAAGTGGGTAGGCATCACGCTGTACGTACAACCTCCCTCACACGCGGCTATTAAAGCTTAACGATCTATACCCAGAATATACACTTATGTCACACCTTCCATCCATCGGGCCTGCAGGGAAAAGTTCCTTCGGTCGCCTCCGACATCGACTCTCACTTTTTCAACGGGCCCTCCCAGTCCCCGATGTGTTTGGAGATAAGCTTTGCGGCTTGCTCGGGTGTATGCTGTCTTCCTAGTGCCTCGACGAAATCCCCTTCAGGATCTAGATAATGATGGGCTCACTCAGATTCTCCCTCCAGAAGAGAGAGAAAAAGAATCAACCCCGTTACGTCAGCTTTTTCTCTCCCCCAGGTATCAATTGAAAAGTAGAACAAGCATCGTGTAGAGACAAGAGGAAGCTAGTAAAATATCCTTGGATATGTAATCACTAGCGCGATCCTCCTGCCTCGGCATTGCGGCCAGATTATGAAGCGCTCCATTTTGGTTCTTCATGTGATGAAAGTGGCGGGGGTTATTAAAATTGATAATGAGAGAAAAAAATCGCAATACGATTATAATAATTGATCATAGCTGTGAGAGCTTCGCGAAGCCCGACGCCCCGAAAAGCCCATGAACATCTCGAAATAAAGATGTGGGGTATCTGCATTGCATTTCCAAAACGGGTTGACGAAAGCTCAAGGGGCCGGAAACATACCCATAAGATAAAAGTAGATAGAGTGGTCTACAAGGTAATCTTGGCCTGGTTTAATATCAGGTGGCGTGGAAAAATATACACGATATGATTTGCAGGTTTGCTTGATTTGGTCGTATGTCCCTGGTAGAGTTTTGATGCGGTTAGAACCGGCGAAAACAGTCTCCCTATGACTCCCGCGATCAAGCGACAGACCTCAGGGACCAACTGATCGCATTGACGAGTAATAATTACCTGTCAGTCCAACAATATCAGGGTGGAATTCGGCCAGGTATTCCTTCATCTATCAATGTCCGCTCATCAGTAATCAATCAATGATGATAGCAGCTATTATCATTTGAAGATGTAGTTCTAAATGAATGGGTTTGCACTCACCACTGGGGGAGTATCCCGAGCAGGATCGCAAGTAATGAAAATTGGTGTCATAACGTTCCCTTTGCTCTTTTTAACCACTGCCACAAATATAGTTAGCAACATCCCAACAAGATTGATAGTGCATTGTTCCAAGAAAATAATATATACAGAAGAATAAAACTTGAAATACACGAGAAAAAGAGAGAGAGAGAAAACCAAAAAAAGAAAAAGAGAAAAGAAGAAAAAACCGGTACATCATTTCAAACTTTGTAACACAGTATATTGTGTGGTAACATTTGAATTTAAACTCAAGAGATAGGGAAATAGAACAAGAGAAGGGCTATAGGTTCCAAAATGATAATTATGCATGAGCAACTGTAATTAAAACTGCAAGTGTTATACCGGCAACCGGGCACATCAATTTTTCAAGTAAGATTTTTTAATTTTCAAAAGAGGTTGATCAATATCAATTAGGCAGGTCGCTCGCAACAAACGCCAATAGATAATAAATGAATATTTCGGTGGTAGATGATTTATTCCAAGGGGAATCTTGGTTGAATGGATAATAGATTCAAGAAGTCCAACTTACAATCGATCATTTCTGCCATTTTGTCCAATTCCTCGGGGCATATATCTGGGCAACGTGTGAAGCCAAAATAGACCTACGAGCCTCTATATTAGCCAGTCTTCCATAAAGAATTACACTCAACCCGACCAAGTTCAGCTAAATATTTGACTAGCAACGCACCAACATAAACTTTCCCCTCCAGTCCTCATCCTTCCTCTCTTTCCCTTCGTGGTCGACCAAATTTAATGGCCCTCCAACCTTTGGCTTCCCAACTCCTTTTGACATTTCTGCTATCCTCTTACGTTCCATTCTCTCCTTCTCTGTGCGGAAATAGAATGTCAATCCGACACCAGAAAGGAGAAAAAGAAGCCCGGCTTTCCATGAGAAAGGCTATGCAAAGCGGTGATCAGTCAGCTATGTGGCGGCAATGAGGTATTGAATAGAAATGGGAATGGGGAAGGGAACTTACCCCACTGCGATAACGAGACTTAGCCTCCTCGACCGTTTTAAAACTCCTAACAGCCGAAGAGTGGAATCCTGCTGGCGCTGCTGGCTGGCGAGGTATGGCTCTTAATCTAAGAGGTGTGAGACATTGCGATGACATAGGTCCCCGGGAAGCGAAGGCTTTTCTCCCAGAGCCTGCAAATGTAGACTGCAGAAGACGGGCTGAGGATATGGTAGACATCTGGTTTGTATTCGCTGTTGAAAACGCTGAAACGGCGAGAACAAAATTATGAAGATTCTGACGTCGTTGGTTGTGCTCAAATAGAGCTGTAAGTCGGTTAGCTGGGCCAAGCCGTACATAAATCTTGGCATCCTCAACGCCTCGGGTTGTGTCACCAAAATGCAGGGACTGATGCTCAATCTTGTGGATCCATGGCCCGAGCTTTGAATAGCATTCAACGATGATCTCTCAGTTCATTTTTGTGCAAACGAAAACGAGAACAACCTTTTATCTAAAAGTAACCATGAACGCAGGTCGTGAGAGAAGAAACATTCGAATCTTTCCATTCTCACTCGAAAGGATTTATTCTTGGGCCAGATGAATTGCAAAAACATGCTGTCCGTTGAATAGAATGACTAAATTCTGTTGGCATGCTTTTATCTATTACTATATGCTCATGATAATTGGAAGAGCCCTTGGAGAAAAAACATTACACATAAAATCACTCGGGTGAACCACTGTCAAATGATTTCAAGTAACTAACGAACATGGTATCGGTACCATATAGCTCTGCAATTCGCCTTAATACCACTATCCAGGGACGCACATTACGGACCTAGCTATCATGAACAACCAAATGCTAAATAAAGCCAACAATCACTTGACAAACTTTCTCAATTCGTTTCACCGGATTTTTTATTCAAAGTACCCACTGCAGTATCCTTAGCGATTTGGACGTGTATCAATTGGTCCGGTAAGTAACAGCCTTATGACTATTAACTAGATTTCGGGGGACTGTGTGCCGGAGTCTTGTCATGGCTGCGTCCCTCTACTGATTTACCAGGTCTATTATGCGTGGGGGGAGGGGGGGGGGGGCGAATCGCTTGAGGCTTACAACTTCGGGAAGTTCGTGATACCGAGTGGTCTCAACTGTCATTGGGATACCTAGAGGCACTGGAAAAGCTACTGAATTTGGTATGTGTCTTTAGTACATAAATATGTACCTAGCTTTCCTTTCCAGGGTGAACGTTTTGAAAAAGTCATGTGTGGTATTTCATATGGTAATTCTAGCTTTTGCAATACCTGCCCCGCTAAAGCTATAAACATAGTTCGTACGAAAAACAACCTGAATACGAATCGCAAAGAAATCGGCTTCTGTGCAATAGAAGGTGATAGTAAAATGAGGATCCAAAACCACTCGAGAGAGAAAAATATCATAAAAAACAGATTACAGACAGATGATAGCCCAAACAAAACCACTTAAGGATAATCATAAATTCGTTCCCTCAACACCGGAGTATCTCATAGTACGCCATCACAGCCCAAACTATATCCTTCAGCTAGGTGCGAAGATTCCTCTCGCCATAGCGGGTAGCTTTCTTCTTTTCGGCGACCGTCGACAGGCGAAACAGTCGTACCCGCATCGCTGATGGGATACAACTTCGAACACCGTGCATTTGGGACCATTCCTACACTCCGTGGATTTGTTGATATAGGAATCGCCACAGGTATATATGGAGAGTGTGAAATAACACATTGTTTCTGATCTTTAGCGAGGGGAATCGTGTCTGTTTGAATATGGCTGGAATATGAGATTATTCGCTTTCCTTTCCCTGCATGGGCTTGAAGATTGTGAGTGCGTGGATTGAACACGATGAGATTTTGACAGAGACTCGGCCGCCTATCTTCAGGCTAAGGAGTTGAAGGAAGTCTCGAGGTTCTTATAACTTACAAACTACACTCTTATCAACACTAGAGAAAACTCCCCTCACCTCCGCTTTTCACGTGTACGTGTATCCAGACAATGCGTTTTTGCTTCTTTCCCGGAGATGATAAGGCTGATATGAGTAAACTTTAGGGTACTCTAAGCTATTATGCATGATCAACGGGCACTTGCTTATATTGAGCATAAGCATGGTTTAGTTGACGATATTTGATGTTTGCAGACGTATCTTATAATCTAAACTGGCATATTTCCCATGGAATGAAGTACCACTTCTTCCGAGGAAAGACAATAAATAAACAACTTAGTTTAGGGAGGAATTGATCGCTGATTGTGAGAAAAGCTTATTCAGAAATTATAATACTGAACGTAGCAGCAGTCTAGGGCGTACAGCATTACTCGAGTGCGGATACCAGCGCATATCCACAGAGCATATCTTATAAGTATATAGATATACCGATATGCAATGTGTTATTTAAAGGTTTTGATTGGCTAGGTTTGAGAAGTTGGTGATTAAGATTGCTTTTTTTGAGTTGCTAACACATTGATTTTTTTTTGATTGATATATTGATTTTTGCTTTTCTTGAGATGATATCATGATATTGATTTTTGATTTTCTCACTGGCAGTAGAATATAATAGTATTGATTTTTGCTTTTTTTGTGACAATATAATCATGATTGAATTGATTTTCCTTTTTTAGAGCAATATAGTTATAATTATATTAATTTTTGTTTTTCTTTACTAGTATACGATATCAGGGTATTGATTTTTGCTCTACTTGATACAATATCACATTATCAATATTTGCTTTCAAGTTTCTCAGTACGATATAATCATGATAACATTGATTTTTGTTTCTCTCTATAATTAGTAGATTTTGGTATTATCTTCCGCTCGGAGATCCTCCTCAGATTCCGTCCTTGAACCTGTTCCAACTCTGCCGTATTCAAAGTTGTTCCTGAATCCAGGCCCGAGCCATTAAAATTAGCAAGAGATTTTGCTGATGAAGTATTAATAGACCAATGTGAATGCAGGTATACTTGAAATCAAAAATTAAAAGATTATTTTTGTTAATTTTTCATTAGATCCTTCTACATTAATATAAAGTTTTGAGTATACCCTTCCTGGGGCTTCATTCTCATACAGAATTGCACTAAAATATAATATATGATGGATTATCCTCTCCGGCCGAAGGCCGGCAGCGACTTGTACACACATAATTATATAAGTACCGTCTACGCACGTACGTACGTGGGACTATATACAGTGGGACGATGTAGCACACATCCTCAGAGTACATACATCTATCCTAGTAACTGGTTGGTTTCCGCGTATTGGACATGCTTAAAGGCACCACAAACCGACGCTCGTCCTTCTACACTGGCTCCAGATCCACCATAAGAATTTTAACCTACATATTACGTGTAATATCGATCGAGATATAACATACGGTTTTGTCAAATCCTCCGGATTCGCATTAGAGAACGCTTTCGTTTGAAACTCTGTGGGCCCCACCGTTAGATGAGAAAATCTCCGAGCAAGGGGTACATATGATGAGAAGCGTCTAGTTAATTCGGGAGGGTCTAGATTCATCCATTAGTTACCGAGTGATTTTTCTTTCTTGCGCTTAACCCCCGAAATCTGACTGCGAGCACGGAATGAAATATTTGCCCTTACAGATCACCGTTCAGTCCCAATTAATTGATCTACAGTACTCAAGGTCCAAGCTAAGCTTCATGCGCCTAGACATCTCTACATCACTACATCTACACACACACACACACACACACACGGATGCGCCTTTCACATACATACATACCCACGAGCCAACCCCACCACGCCCGCTAGGGTATTCAAGAGGCATATGTTTCAGTTTGGGGAAAACCTGAGAAAATAAGCTTATTATCATTATTTGGTAGCGAATCTAGCACCTACTACCGAAAAGTAAGACAACAAGCAAGATGTGTGGCTTGCAGGAGCTCAAGAGAAGAAAAAAACCAGAAAGGACATAATCAAAATTTATCTTGGTTTTGACCGAAGATCAAATCTGAAGAGGTATGTGCGAAATAGAAAACTGAAATTTACAGCTTACGAACTCCAGGCTCGTGAAAAAAAAATTAAGGAAAGAAGAAAAAAGAATGGAAAGAAAAACCCTATCGGACACATTACCGCCCACAAAAACTACCTAAATCAACCCAGACAAAAACACCCATGTGTACGCAATAAATTAAAAAGACACCGAGAAAACAAGATACGGACATTAATACATTAGTTTACCAATGAAAATGGCGGAATCATTTAGCGACTGGTGGACCTTTTGAACACATCTGATATCTTTCTTTTTAGCGTTCCAGCTTTCTCGATGGAACTAAGAGATGCCTTTCTCAATCGGCTCCCCCGTTTTACTGAACTTGGGATAAGATCGGATGGTTCTTGTTTGATATGTTCGGCTTGCTGTTTTATAGACAATAACTGTAGTTGATAATCTATCTCGACCATCGAGTAGGGCTGTCGTAAAAAGGAATATAGGTCAATCTCCTCTTGATCGTTATCAAGTGAGGTCCTGTTGGAGCATGCCGAAGGAGGTGGTGTTGGGGGGGAACAATGCGAATGGCCATAAGAATTAAGTGGGGGGAACTGGTATAGCTGTGTTTCGACTGTCATATCTCTTGGGGAACATGGTGCTTGGTTATTATAGAATGCTTGGTGTGGGTAGCTAGGTGCTTCGAAAAATGAGCATGCAGGTGGCCATGGCTCAGGAATTCTCTAAATTATTTAAGTAAGTAACGAGTATATTCAAAAAAGAACGAGGGAGAAGAACTAACCTTGGGCGTATCTTCCAGATTGGAGAACTTGGTGTCTTCCGCGTTTGCCATACTCCACCATGTTTGGGCATTTCCCATTGCAGCACATACACCAAGCTCTTTGAGGCTAGTACTGAGTTCAAATGCTGGGATCTCCTCATTTTCCTCGTTATATAACATAGGTAAGACAGAAGGTGATGCCACGAGAGGTGTTGGAGGGGGCGCGCGAGGAATCTGGTAGGCAACATTGCCAAACAACTGGTTGCATGAAGGGACGTTATCTCTCAAGGGGCATATCCATTCTGGTGATGGACCCGAAAAAGAGCTGCATCTACTGGATTCATAGTGGGAAAGATCGCTATTATCCTCCCTGTCAAGGATTGGTATCAGATCATCATCGTATATCGATGCAGAAAGGGCGTCCAGGTCATTCTGGAAATCTCCGGGAAAGTTTGAGTATTGTTGATATTCAGTAGCCATTTCAAAGATATAAGACGAAATTGGAGGATATAAAAGGTTTAATGAAGATAGATGTGTGTGTGCGGGGGTCTTTGCTTCTGGGAAGTGTGAGTTGAAGATGTTTTTGTCGGTGAGGGTTTAACTTTATAGCTTTTTGTAATGTCCAGCTTTCTCACATCTCACATCCATCTTGTTTATCTCCCCGGAGCATGCAAGGATCTCCGATCCATTTGGCATGTAGCTCTCCCTGTTAATCCTACCTCTCGTGTGGGTGGGCCTCTTTGATGATATTGGCTTCCGCCACTATGGCCATGGTTCATCGCAAGTCTATGTATCCCGATACGCTCTTGCATATGCTGGGTGTGTGGGGTACAGTCGTTCACCACGAATATGTAGGTACTCTACCAGTGCTAGTTAACGAACAGGGGTCATGGGTTATGGCAAGAAACAGTCAAGGTACATTAAGATCTCTATCTAAGCTAGGTTATTTTAATTTCTATCGGCCTAAATCCTCTGTTTGTCAACTAGCAGTATTTGTCAAGTGACGGTGAACAACAATAGTTAATTCCCAGGAAGGAATGGGCATCAGGTACGTATACCGGATACATGCCGAAACGTAAACAGCATGTTGAAGTCTGGGTCAAACTGAGAATCGACGCAAGGAGTTCCAAGAAGCGAAATACTCGGCTCTAGACGGCGACTGATCTATATTGAACCAGATCAGTACATGTAGCCTCCTGTCATTTTTGTCGATGCAAGACCCCCCGGAGAGCTTTCTTCGCAGACTCACTTTTGCGGGGTGCACTGAATTTTGAACAAGACGTCTTGTTTGCACCTGACGCAGATCATCATTCGCTTATTCCAACTCCAGTTGTGGATATCCGAAGCGGTTAGTACATACAGCTTACCGTGTACATACATGTACGTACTCATAGATGACTCGTCAAATAAATATTTCGCTCACTTGCACTGATGTCCAGAATAAACGAAATATCTATATCTATCGACAGATCTCGGATTGCAAGCTCCTCATACGATCATGTCGGCTCGCAGCACCACAAAAAGGCTTGTTATAGGTGTGAGCCTTACTGAGAATTGCTCTTAAAGTTAAGTCTTTCCTGGCGAAGCTATTTGTGAAAACGCTCAACTTACTGATATTGTTTATTTGCTTGCTATGTGTAACCTGGACAGGCGCTAGGCTAGGAGAACCTGAAAATGAGTACTTCTAATTGGTATAATGACCGGCTTTGATTCGCGACTAGTGAAAAGCTACACCAAATGAAGCCCCTGCTTGCAGCTTGCATTTCAGGTTAATTCTTATTGTAGGATGTAGGTACATGTATCTACATGTAACTAGAACTACATGTAATTTAATTTCGGATAGTGCATATCACCATCAGTTGATTCCATATACCTATGTACCTACCTACTCTAAAATGTTCCAAGTCCTAGGTGATCTACAATGCTTCCTGCATTTGCTTCATAAGATCTCACATAATTTCTCGATTGCTATATTTGATAATCCTAGCATTCAGCCCGGGCCACCCGTTGTTAATGCGCCAAACAGCGCCAAACAAGCAAATATAAGCCGCAGATTTTTGTGGATTGCGCAACCGCCACGAATAATGTCCAAGCGAATACTACACAGCGCCAGAAATAACCTTTATTACTTCATCAATATTTAATCTAGTATATGTCTTTATTCCCACGGCCTGGAATGAAGAGTGATCGATTGTTTGTTGAGAGAATTTAAAGATGGGTTTCGAGCGCTGGCCGAGCTAGGACCAATGCGCATGCAAGGGATCGGCTGCAATGGGTTATACCAGGGATGGATTTGTTTTACTATGTATATGTATGTAACTGATGTTGATTGATCTCGTGGGGGTCTCGAACGCTCCGTGGTCCAGGCCAGCAGCATATGTGTGACCCCCACTTGCAAGGCCCTACATAATGTCACGTTAAACTCTCTCAACATACAGATGCTCTATGGCTCAGCACCTGAAGTAAACGATAAATCAACCCGACTCGAGAACACCGCCCGGGGTATGGTAAATCACTCAAGCTTGGCCAGATGTGCCACCCCCCCGATCAAGGACACGAGACTTTGAAAAGTCATTTTCGTACAAAGATTCACCGTCAACCGAGACAATTAGTTGAAATAATCATTTCAGTGTTGTCTCTCATTTCCAGGAATGAAGTTTCTGTCTTGCGAGGGGCGTGAGAGATATTAGTATATCTGTCCCCACTCATTCTTCTGTCTCAACTCCGGACCCCTAAGTCGGTCGAGGTTCGGAGTGGAGCAAGCCACTGCCAATTTCGAGTGACCGTTTGTGAACTCCGCAACCGAAGCTTCGAATGAAGAGTTGGAACATCCTGAGACGCCATATACCAAAGCCAAAACTTCGGGCCCTATACATCATATCGGTAATTCACACTTTTCAACGCTAGTATTACTACTTCTTCATGAAGTCTCACTACCTGGCTGTTATGACAAGACGGCATTTACGGAAGCTGTGAAAATATACTCGAGGCCGACAAAAGGCCTAGATCTATTCGGCAGATGGTTAAAATGATATAAGTGAATTCTTCTAATCCGTGATATTGTACAACAGTAAAATTATCACGTACCTTTGGTTTACTAAAAAACCAACTCCTTTTACCTGTAGCAATAATTGAGACAAGGGTTAGCCTAATCTGGCATAACGCCCTTTTGGTCCATGGAACTTGTCCATTTTGGTAGATTTTGTATATGTATGTTACAGGAATTGTAACGCCATGTGGAGTTGTAACTGGGTGCGGTTTCTACTACAGCTTGTAAGCACCACTATCATATTGTCTAGAACTTCTTTAATATGATGTGTGTTAGATGTAGAGTAAACCATAGGTGGAGACAGGTAGAGGCCGTAAATTTCGAGAATGGAGCAGCGGGTGGCGTTAAAATATCCGGTAGTTGAACAGAGTGGCCACTGGTTTATAGTATGTGGTACTACTAGGAATTGAGTTTGTTACTTTTCAGTCAGTGTAGTGTACATGTATGCACCGGGCGCTGATGTAAAAGAAACGCAAGGTATGTGCCACCAGGAACATCTAACTGCGGATATGTTTCTAGGATCTTGGTGAAACCTGACGGCCTTCAGTATCAGTATTGTATTAACATTTGTCTTTCGGGGAATTTATTCCTTCAGCTGGATATCGCAATGCTTCTAGATGCAATCTGTACGTACATGGTCGATGGATTACTTGGACACGTACACGCGTAGAGTGATTACAATCAAATTTAAAGCTAGCAACGAGTGTAGTATACTGCTGCTCGCGCTCATGATCATACATGTACATGTATAAGCTCTTTCAGCTCCTACCTAGCCTGTGGTATCTACAACATACATACATGTATTGTATGTATACATGTAGTTCTAGGCCATAAATCATGGGAAGGCGCGGCGTAGCAACCTCCCGAGCCACCGCGACTACCCACCCAGCAACCACAATTGATCCTTTGGAGAGCTGGTTTTTTGTATAGTTGTTAAATAGTAGCTAAATAAAAATAATTTGACATTTAATATCTTGTGTACCAACCCCTTGCCTTTATAACAGCTCTATTCTCCTAGGCATGCTCTCAGATAGCTACCAAATAAATCATCAGGTAACAGTTCCCAGCAATGAATTAGACCTTCCTCCACGAGGGGCTTTAATACTTAAGGTGATCTAGTACCATATGCAAAATGGGGGTACTGTTGATGGTAAAGCTTCTTGAGGTGTACCCAAACATGTTCAATGGGATGGAATAGGCAAGCCAGTCCTCCAGAACATCTACCCTATTCTCCTCCAATCAGAGTTGTAAGACTCCGGTTTTTTGCTACAGCAGTGAGGCTGGTCATTCCCTCCTAGCTGTCTGGCGGGGTACAGCGGTGGGTAATAAGTGATCAGACAGAAAGCCACCAAAATACGCGTTTGCAGGCAAAATTGTGGCTAGGCCGTCCGATGACTTAATACCCACCGCTGTACATAGTCTCTGGGCGCCATCGGTGGTGGTGAAAGATTTTGTGTTCAGGCGTTGTGACCTCGCGCCTTCCCATGACTTATGGCATGGCGCTGTACAAGTAATCTTTATTTCAACGGTACATTTCTTATGGAGATCTTTAGCCGTCCTTTTCGAGCTCAAATCAGCACTCATCTCGCCACGCTGGAGTACAACATATCGATAGATGCAGGTACGACGCTCCCATATTAGAACACGGCGGCCAAGATCCATCACAGACACTACATGCTTATATAAACCCCCTACCTATGCGTGTTTAAGCTATGTATTCATATACGTGAAACAGGGTGCATTATGACGTCCAGCACTAGTTGATACCCGGTACGGTATAATTGCAAACGGAAAACACCGGGCGAATTCCTGTTCCGGGCCAATTATATCTCGGTAATCGATTCTGAACGACGGTTATTTGATATGATATGATACTGATCGTAACTTTTTCCGGATATTTGGCCTCCAAACTATGTGAACGTTTTGGTGAACTTCGTAAACGATGAATCAAATATAAATAGATTTAAGTACATAACTTAAGTAGGTAGGGCACTAAAGTCCAAAGACAGTGAGTATTTTGGTGGGCACTGCACTCAACCTAAGAATACACATTGCTTACTAATCATTATCGGACATTAACTTGAAAACAGTCGGAGGACAATTCCATCGATCAACAGTGCCTCCTCTCCACACATAATCGACCGCCCTTCTTTGAATATCTTACTTCAGCTCTTCAAGCCCCCCCGAGAATTCGAGTGAAGATGAATAAGAGTAGGTGAGGTCATTCTTCAATGTCGAAACATGTGTGATAATGATGGTATTTAAATAGGTTTCAACCTCCTCCAGGCCTGGACTCAATCTTCCTCTTCTCCATTAATTCCGTCAGTTACGATAATACGATATCGGATTACGTTTGAGCAGTGAATCTACACTTTCAAATCGTTCGAAGCCTAGGGCAATTTTAAGCATGCAGTTTACTTGGGCTGCCGAGCCAATTATTTCACCCTCCGAAGCCAATCAAGGACGATCACCTACATACAGTCTGTTACAAATCCTAGAGAAACTACTATTCTCAATCAGCCTTCAAAAGCTCTTGTGATTGCATGTATATACCCCAAAGAGAGCGGCTGTGTCATAGCGCTCCAGCTCTCATGATCTGGAACATATTTCTTTCATTGCCATATATATCCGTATGTGCGAAAGAAAGCTTCGCACGTGTCCACAAAGTAGTTCTCAATAGAAAGGAAGATTCTGCTCTAGAAAAGAAAAAAAGAAGTGAGCGGCCGCAGCGGAATGCATCGATCTTGACGAAAATGGGATCACTAAGTAAGGCAACTAGCTCTCATGCATGTGGATATACTCAGCCTTCAGCCCTTCGGGCTCAAGCATCCTAATAGCATGATTCATTGGTTCAATGTATGAAGAATAAGCAATATTCTGCTGTGTGTAGAACCTTTTATAAGTTTTCGCCAACCCTATATCAGTTGGATATTACAAACACAACAGCCAGGCAGTTTAATTACTTCATGGTACTAGATGGTAACTTGCTAGATATCTATGTAGGTCACGATGTGTTCAAATAAACATGCTCATATATATGCAGCTCTAGCGGCATTATGTCGACCTCGAAACATTGTTAACGAGAGGCGGGCGAGGGCAAATCTGGCCAAAAACAAGACCAGAGCGATGCCTTAAGTGCTGAACTTGGACCTCTAATATTACCGTACCAATGCTTACTAGCTACTGGAAGAATGCAAGACCATCCTTGGTATTCACTTTTCAAATTGCAGTGGCGGCTCGGACTGCCCTTTTACTTTCAATGGCCTAAGGACTTGCATAGATTATTCGAATATCTATAACTATCCCAATATATTTACACGCATCATGATCACCGAATGAGAGATAGTTATTCTAGTCCTTCTGCGGAGGAACTAGATAAAGTTCAATAATAATAAAAAATAACAGATTCGGGACTTGAGATTTGCGTGGTCCGGGAGTTCGTTATTGGTATATTTTCGTCTCCCAACCATATCTGTTGTCCCCGTCTCGAGTGGCACAGCACATATTATAGGTGTGTTTACACATTTACTCTTACCACTGGTTGTTCATATCTGATTCGCATGCCATTTAACGCCTTAGTAGGGTCCCCCTAGAGGCACATGAAGACCGTTTTGGCGCCTGTGGCCCGGGGCTGGCAGCGCGAATACGTGGAGATACAATGGCTTGCATAGATACATGTATGTAGCTATGCAGTTAAAAAACGTAAATGCTTAGCCCTTAAGTTCAATCTAGTCCGAATAACTATGCAAACACCCACCCGCATATAGTATAAATAATAAAGGATAGCCGTATGCAGTAATTAAGTCCATTGTGCACAGAACCGAACAACTACCAGAGCGAAGACTGTTTATAACTATAGACGATCTAAATGACTCCCTCGTATATCCTTCTAAGCCTGCTCTTTGTTATGGACGCGGTAGCACATATGACCATGTTCGACCCACCACCGCTCCGCTATAAAGACAACCCCTACAAAGTTCAAGACCAAGACTACACATATTCTTCCCCGCTTGGAACAGGGGATGCAGACTTTCTTTGTAAAGGGCACCATGTGGATATGGGGACTCCTGAGGGCCGTTCTGTGATGACCTATGAGGCTGGGGGGGCTTATAATATAAGGTAAACCTAAGCCATTAATTGAATAATGCTCTATGTATTTTTGCTTACTGTTAAATAGATTAACAGGAAGTTCAACACACGGAGGGGGGTCATGCCAGATTGCATTAAGTGACGATAAGGGAAGTTCCTTTGCGGTCATCAAATCCTACATTGGCGACTATGTCAGAGCAGATCCTTTGGGCGATCAGATATTCGGTTTCACCATACCTGATGATACTCCAACCGGCGACGTCCTTCTATCATAGTATTCATATAGACTCCACATCATTCCGCTATCATGCATCTTTACTGATATTCTACCTAGGTCCTGGTTCAACAATGTAGGCAACCGTGAGATGTACATGAATTGCGTAGTTGTTACAATCGAAAGCAGTCACAGCAAAAAGAGATCCCTAAAGGGTCTCTACACCCACGTACCACACTACCATCCATATTTGTAGCGAATATTGGCAAGGGATGTGTTACTGTGCCGGACAAAGACGTAGATTTCCCATCTCCGGGAAGGGATGTCACATACGGGGCCGATGCAGACCCAGCTCCTCCGGAGGGTGACTCATGTGGAGTGGTAGATATGGTAGTCGGAACCAACGCGTTAACGACGAAGTCGCTACTTCAACAACACCACTACTACCGACACCACTACTTCTCCAATTACTTCGGGAACCGTGGACGCAACTATCGACGGGACGGCAACTCTAGATGCTACACATGATTGTGCATATTGGGAAGAACGGAACTATGTTTGTGCGTTGGGTATGCGCTTGAGTGCCAACCTTCCGTCAATGTGGTTGTTATTAGGGGTTATGGTTCTTTGGGCTTTTACCTCATAGTTGTAAAGTTTAGCACATACCCCCATTCATTTTTTTAGTAAATTCTAGCACATCTTTTTATCCATTCTTCCCCCCCCCCCCCCCCCCTTTTTTTATTTGGGTATGTTTATATATTGGCAGCTGAGTATTTTCAGGGTTTTCTGGCTTATCAAAATGTATTGTTTCATTGGGCGTACGTTTCTCTTCCTTTCGTTCTTACGGGCCGTTTTTGTTTCAGCGATAGAGGGTCGAATCTAAATTAACACCACTGGCAAGCTTTCAGGAAGTGTACATTCATGATCTGATAATATCTCACTACAGACTAGACACAATTTTATAAATAATTTATTTATATTGTATTATTATAGTGTCTGCCCCGGTTCATCTGTCTGGAACAAATATCTGTGCTATAATATAAGTGTTTTGTCCTAATAGCTAATACGGTATCGGCTGTGGCTAAAAGTGAAAACCATTGAGTCTGGGCCAAGCCGGCATTGCAAATTAACTACATGTAGTTAACCACAGAAACATGGGTGCAGTTCCCGAATGATAATTCATGATCCTAGCGGTTCTTTAGCCAAAAAGAACCGAATGTTAGCAACTAGATGCATCAAAAAGAGTTGGGAGCTACTCTGCTATGTTGACCAGTCGGAGACTCGCCCAGCTGGTGGCCAACCGGCCGAACTGCTCACCACTAGAACTATAGAAGAAAAAATATATGTATATCGATTAGCTCCATTCGATCGCCAAGAAGGCCCGATTGACGGCTTGTGATTCCGAAGACTCTCCTTACCTAAGCATCGGCGTCCCCTAAGCTAAGCCATATTAGTGTATGATAGCCTTGATAGAAACCTCAGTCTCCGGGGCCCGGACATGGCAAGCCACAAGCAAAAGACTTCTCATCAGCTTTGAGCCTTATCTATTCGTCTATTCCCACGAATAACACGGCCAATTGGCGTGGAAACAGCATCGTTATCAATAAAGGACTAACGACTATTATTTTGGGCATACTGGATAGAGTAAATTCTACCGCCGACCGTCGCTTCCGGCTAGTCTGTGAATTTTGTGAGAAGATATCCGGAACTTCCGGTTTATCCCCGGCCCTTCTTCCTTTTCTTATAGATAAGTGGTTGGTGACAAATTACATGTAGCTAAGCTTTGTGGAAAGGCCTGGATCAGCAAGTACCTATGTACAGAGTCTGGTAGAATTATTGCGAAAGTCAGAGCTAAAAGAGTGGATTTGTTGGTCTGTGCTCGTAGCAAAAGATCTTCTAAGGGCCAATAGAACTATCGGGTCACGGAAAACCCACTTTCGCAATAATTCTACCAGACTGTACTTTAGATAGCAACCAGTCCAAGACCCTGAAAAAAAGGATACTGTTAAATCGTGACTAACTATTACTGGCAAAGCAGATGCTTGGCCGGTAACTGCATTGTTATAATCAACCTTCGATCAAAAACCTCCTTGGGATTTTTGTGGCGATTTCTCTACTATAGTTCCCAGGTTTATATTACGTGATTGCCGTCTAACTAACGATTAAAGAAATAGTTCGTTCGCGGTTCTTGTCTTCCCGGTCTCTATTAGATCCTGGTCTTATGCAATTAATGAATTAAACAAACAAACAAAAGAAGAAAAAAAAAAGAGAAAAAAGGGTCCTAGTCTTAGGGTATTAGCGAGTGATAGGTTGTGAATATGCGCGTTCAATGTTATTAGCACTAGCTTGGTACATCCATTGATTACATATCCGCAAGCGGCTACTATGACTTTAATAGTCGATATGATATTGAGATAGGTAGGTGCTAACTCACCTATTTCCTTGTCAAGCAGGCCTGTTGGTGTGCTGGCTGTGGCGGGCTATGCCGGTTGGTGTGTTTGGGACGCCAGCAGTCAGAAGAGGCGTTTTATCCGAAAATTTCCGGCCTTCGTAAGGTATTTTAATGAGCTTGTACCAACGATAGAAATGTCAGACCAAGCCCTGCCGGCCTGTACCAAAAGTGCTGGACAATTATCAGACCTCGAAAAAACCTCTCAAATCATCACTCGCCAGGAGTAGAAAGCGAACCCATAATAATAACTGTACCAATATATTAATCTATGTACCAATAGAAAAAGTCTCACTGATTCAGGTTGTCTCAACCTCACTAACCAGTACAGTAGTTCTTTTAAGTGGTGGCACTATAGCTAGTAGCAACAACATCCGCATAATTATCGTGTGCGTACGCCGCTTCCATATCGATGCATCCCTTGAACCAAAGTGTACATATAAGCTTTGTAATTCTCGGCTCTAGCTCTATGTGCAATATACTTTAAGGCCTATATATAACCGACTCGTTGGGTTGCGATCGAATGGTTATCTCACCATCGCTGAAAACAACCCAAACCCGTTACTTCACACCAAGGGATTATCAAGTCTCTTCTCGTAATTGTATATATTGAAGTTTGAGTTTGAAGAATCATACTTCAAGACCTAGCTTCTGCGAGAATAAGGTTCCGCCACCACTTTCGGTTTTAACACCGCTTTCGACACGCCAAGGATTAGCGGGAGATTATTCTCGCAGCTATATACATGTAGTTAGTCACTGAATAAAGGTTCCGACTTAATTTAAACCTGGAAGTACATTGGACAATACCTTGGTATGACATTCATGTGCACAATGGCTACAGTTGAGATTGATTTAGCCCCTGGTTGGAATCGGTGTTTATGGGGACAATCATAAATAGGTCGCTTTGTCAAGCCAGGTCCTTCAAACCTGTATAACTCTCTCAAAATCTTTCATCTTGAAAGACTATTCATGAGAGTACGCCTATCACTCCAAACAACGACATAAGAAAAACGAAGTCTGTGTGTATCCGAATGCCAACATGTAATTGAAAGAAAAGCTACCCAACTTTAAGGGGTTCCAAAGATTAAACGATTCTGCAGTATATCCAGAGCTCATAGCTGAATGTAGAAATACATAACGCAAGAAACCGAATGAAATGATATAATAGCGGATAGTGGGACAATAATACATTGATCTCCGTATGATCGTAGATAGCCGTGTTCTTATTGCATCATTTGTGCGGCCGACGCAATTAATTATAAAAGAAGTGTGTTCGTACACATAATCATCTACTCGCCCGTAATCAGTAGCCTCGTTTCAACATACCAGCAACACAGATATTCAAAAAAAGGCCCGGAATCCTACCTCAAGAATGGACAACTTACTAGAAGAGACGATTAATCTCCCCTTATCACAACTCTCGGCCCTCTCAATATCTCTTGCAGTCGCCTCCCACTTTGTCTTCTTCAGTCGTCCCGAACTGGACTCACGGTTTCGTATATTCTTCTGCTCAGTGTTCATCTCCGGTTGCTCTTTTCTTTATCTTTTACTCATATTGCAAACGATCCTTTGCAATCTCATTGCTACTTATGATCACTATATATTGGTCTTTCCTTCTTGGGTTGGCAGCCAGCATCCTGGTTTATAGGATTTGGCTTCACCCTGTACGAAATATGCCAGGTCCTTTCTGGGCAAAAACGAGCAACTGGTGGGTCGTTTATCAGCAATGGAGGACGGGGCTTAGATTTCATCAGTACTCCCAGAAGTTGCACAAGCGTTATGGAGACATTCTCAGAATTGGTGTGTTAAAACCCTGGCCTATCGATCCCTGAATCGATATAAGACCTAATAGCGAGAGAGTACTTACTATAAGTCGTTTTGCGCGGTATAGACCCCAATGACCTCTCTATTATTGATCCGGATATAATTCCTATGCTGGGAAAGGCAAACAAAGGAATTTGGTGCTCGGGTAACGCTAAAATCAGTCTTCATACGGTACGAGACGGGAAAACCCACGCAATACGCAGGAGGATCCAGCTGGGACAGGGATTTTACTGTTAAAGGTAAAGATATAAACCCTCGTAATTGCATTCCTCAAGGTGCTAAACCAGTATTTCAACCCAAGCGTTGCAAGGATACGTTCCCCAAATCGCAAAATACTCTGACCAGCTCATGTCAAACATTTCCAAGAGCGAAGGAGCACCTATGAATATTAGCAATCTCTTCATGTTCCTTACTTTTGACGTTATGGGAGACTTGGCGTTTGGAAAACCATTTGGCATACTTGAGACAGAGGGACTAGATGGAGCTGACAGCTTCATAAAAACAATGCATGGTTTTACCAGAGTTGTAGGTAGTGTTAGTCATGTTCCTTGGTTCATGTTCCTGCTGCAATGGCTACCTGGAAGCTTATCCGGTGAATTCGACAATTTCGAGAGGTGATGTGGGCATATGGTTGAGAAAAGAAAGCAGGTAAGTGCACGTAGCTACATGATGATTGTTGCTCGACCTCATGGTAGTATAATTTAACGGCTAGCGTAGTTCAAACCAGAGAAGCCGGACATCTTTCATTTCTTGCTAGAAGCGGAACCCCAAAATATTGGAGAGCACCATATCGATCTAATCGGCGACGCACAACTGGCCTCTGTAGCTGGAAGGTAGAATCCAGCTCTACTACATTGGTATCCAGACCCTATGAATATCAGTACTAAGTGTGAAAACGATAGTGATACCACGGCCAACACGTTTATCAATATCTTTACCCAGCTTGCCAACAATCCACATGTTCTTCAAAAGCTACAACATGAGATTGATGCCATATACAATGCTCAATATGACACCGACAAAGGTTCAGTCGTCCCAGAGGTAATATTAAATGGAAACTCGGCTACAACAAGGTACTTGGATTCGGTAATCAACGAAGGCCTTCGGCTGAATCCTGCAGTCCCCGGTGGCGTGCAAAGGGTCACACCTGAAGAAGGAGTCAAGTAAGCGAACATTGAGGTTGCAACCAAAATTTATGGGAGTTCAACTTTAAACACTTATTTCTCAACAACCACAAGAATGTACTAGCGGTGCCGGAAACATTATTGATCATGTGATCGATTGCCTTCACAAATCCAAAGCTTCACACCAATACGAGTGTCACATGATCAATAATGTTTCCGGCATCGCTAGTAGAGGAAAAGGGTATTGTATATGAATTCCTCGGTGGTGATAGTACCTATAGCCGAAATATCACTCCAAGAGTGCGACTTTGAAATTTTGATGTTAGTGGTTTGTATGGTTACCACCTCCATGTTCGCTTACTTGTCGATATCCAATATACGGCTCAATCAGGCATGTCATACCTAGTGATAGTACCACTCCACTTATGGTTAATATGATCATGTCGGCATCAGTGATCTGATCATGATGTACCCTGCACAATTATGGACATCAGCCAGTTGGACCCATTATGATTTGAAATATTTGCATTTCCAGTAAAGTTATTTACTCGTAATGTGGCATTTGGAGGATGTCACATATTCTGCCTACAGCTATGACTCGACTCTCTATTGGTTGTCCGCTAGCTTGAGAACGGCAATACTTTAAATGAAAGAGCCTCAGACAGATACGTCAAACTATTTATTTTTTCGAATTAGATGTTGATTTCTACCAATTAAAGTTCAGCCATACACACGAGATAACCTTTAGCTTTAGTGATTGATATCATGATGGTATAATATCATACATAAGTACATGTACAGAGTCTGGTAGAATTATTGCGAAAGTGGGTTTTCCGTGACCCGATAGTCCTATTGGCCCTTAAAGGAATTTCTGCAGTGAGCACGGACCAAGAAGCCCACTCTTTTAGTTCTGACTTTCGCAATAATTCTACCAGACTCTGTATGTATATCCCTTCGTGTGTTTTAATTTTCACGACCAGGCGCTAATGGGCAGCTTTTACTCGGTAATAAATCTAATCCTTATTCCGTGAGCCTTTTGCTGTAAAGTCACCTTCTGTGACCCCTCCTATACCTTTTTCAGGTGTCTCCACAGTCTGTAGGTAGCTAGGTTTTTTGAATATCACCACGCCGTCGCAGGCCTAATATGTCTCCGATTTTGCTCTGACGAACGAAGGGATATACTCTATCCTTAAGCCGTCGGGACCGATTTCAATCCTGTTACTCATACCTAACGCGGAAGTCGTGATATAAACATCGCAGAGAAGTGACCATTATGAGCTGATCTATCACGGTTTAATGATAAGAACTAGCGTGAGCAGCTACGCATCATGATCACTTCTCTGCGATGTTTATATCATATCACGACTTCCGCATCAGGTATGAGTAACAGGATTGAAATCGGTCCTGACGGCTTAAGGGATACAGTACTCATGAACGTGATCAACAAATTAACTTTGTTCTCGATCTGTGTATCAACGCCACGGTGCCTACTCGGAGCCCCACTCGGGCTTGATTACTCTAGATTGTTACTGAAACAGGTACCGCTGCTTTGTGTGCAGGTGCACTTCTTCAGATCGTTCGGTGGCAAAGAAACCCCGAAAGCTGTGAGTTTAAGAAATTACCCATTCATGCAAGCTGCCGGCCCGATCCAGCACGCACCACTAGCCCCCGACGTGATCTGAGAAGAATCTCCCGTAGGGTTCCCAGATATCATGATCCCAACGACCAGTTGCCGACTTTCTAGACTGAAGTGATCGACAGGCTTAGCAGGAGCCTTTTCTTTAGTTTATTGATATCTATCCACAAAATAGAGCGTATTTGACAACTGTCGATTTCGACAATTGACAGTTCGGCTTTGACAGTTGCGGGTCGCAAAATTGACATTATACTTCACGAACTCTCAAATTATTTACCATTATCAGTGGTGACGAGATCGAGACATAAGGCCTTTTGCGCATTGATAGAGTCCAGCTCCAAGTTCCGGTACCCTGTGCCGATACCCTCATCAATCAAAATTGACGGTTCGGCAAACCGCTATTGCAGCCGGCGAACTGTCAATTGTCGGAATCGACAGTTGTCAAATACGCTCTAATGAAAACCTACATACTTGAGTATTTTAGGCACGAATTGCCACCACGACGAACCTCCAGACGAGTTTACATGTGATTTTCAGTACGTCTGTTTCGCCGAGCAACTTGCGAGTGAGATCTTGTACACATCTATACTTAAATCTTCACAGGTTTAGGCCCGTAGATTAGCCTAGGTAGGAAATGAGTACTGCTGAATTAGAGGTTGATACAGGTCACAAAACTTGACACTGCGATAGTGGTGATAGAGGTCCATAAACTAGTAGCGATATAGCAACCTAGTAATAGTACTGGGGGTTATGGGTTAGTCTGAAGAACCATTTTTGGCGTATGATTGGTTGAAGCTGCAGAAAATGATACTTGGCGCCAGAAAAAGTACTTGAATAGGCTGCCCCCCATCTTTTACAATGCACCCAGTTTCATCAGAAAATACTCCCCACAAGGGCTTATGAGCTCAAAATATTATCTAGGGGAAGCTGGGAGCCAGCGCTATTCTGCAGTTATTTTTTGTATTTTTAGCAAAATATTTTGATTTTTGAGTGAAGATATATGAAAGTTCTTCAGACTTTTTTCCCCCATACAAATTTAGTGCGCTAAGGCCAGACCTGGCCGGTGTGATCGATGATAATTGGTGGCTCCCATATAAAATCCCTGCATTTTCAACAAATGAAGCAGAGTTCTTCAGACTAAGGGTGAACACCCGGTACATAGAACATAAAGAGTACAGCTTGCGGTAGAAATATGGGAGGAGTCCTATTGGCTTGCCCAGCCACAGAAACCCTGTTTTTTAGACCCCTGTTTCTACAATAATTTTATCTCTCGCTGTAGACGACTTTACGGGAGTGTGGTCAATACGGGGGTATGGTCAATTCCAAGATTTTGTATGGAAACCAAAAGAGGTAGTCGATCAACTCCCTGCGTATCATACATCACTCCGGCGTATATTTGAGATTGACCGTACCCCCGTGTTGACCGTACCCCCGTGAAAGCGTCTACCATCACCCAGTCCAGGATAAGTGATAGGCCAGCCTTAATTTACGAACACTCTTATTATAGAAGTGTCCCGGGTGTCGATTGGCTACCTCATTTCCACCATTGATCTTACTCCAGTACGTCGGATTTATTAGCCAACATTGACTCTTGATAGATAGACGTGTCAATGGTGGCTGACAGCTAGCTAGTCACGATCGATTAACCCCTACAACGATGAAAAATATCGCTGACCTTTAGGTACTCGGGTGTAGCAATAAGAACCAGAACATGCAAGTGAAGAGACTGGGATTATTTGTATGGAGTGGCGCCGCTCTGCCATACAAATAACCTCATAGCATGTTCTAGTTCTAACCCTTGTACCCGAGTACCTACATCCTCGACAGCAGTCACGGCCATACACATGTCTCATACCTAATAGTTTTTTCTTTCTTTTTTTTTTCAACTCATAGTTTCATTGATTCTGGGTACAAGAATATCGCATGCAAGAAAATCTTGTGGTCTGTGGTTAAATAATCACATGCAGTTAGCATTGACTCGCCTTGGTTTATCGAAACTACAGTCTTTTATCGTCTCTTGACGAATACTACCACTTAACGAACAAGGATTCCAAGTATAGAAAGAAACAGTCAAGCAACAACCAAGCTACGAGATCTCCGGTCCTTTTAATTTCTATTGGCCCAAAGTCCCTGTTCGTCAATTGGCAGTATTCGTCAAGAGACGGTAAAAGACTGTACTCGGGTATGGGAGAAAGAACCAGAAAATGCAATAGGGTTATTTGTATGGCAGAGCGGCGCCACTCCATACAAATAATCCTTGTATCCTCACTTGGTTCTTATGCCCACCCGAGTAGAATAGGTCCCCAGCCAGTACCAACCAAGCCCTTAGAAATGAACGTAAACTAGGCAACCTACACTACATCTTTATCGGAGAATCCCTTTGCCATCCCCAAAGTCGATACCTGTCTCGATCCCTTCGTGGGCCTAACATGTCGGGGTTCTTCGCTAATTGGTCAACAACCGGGTCGTCCTGTTTAAGCCTCCTCCTACCCGCCGACCCCCCAGCCCTAAGAACGATCCTGCGTAGGATCACGCGGCCCTGGTAACACCTGCATATCGTGAGACCTCCTAATTAGTGATGGCAAAGTCACTAAGCCACACATAATTATTACCAAGCCACACATAATCATTGAGAAAAAGTGACTTCGCCGAGGTCCCTTCATCTCTTGCTCTACATGTACTTGCCTCATCCAGAAATATGGGAGTGCTACGAAGCAACGGCCCTAAAACTTCGCGAATTTGATAGATAAAGTCGTTGCGACTCTTCCGTATCAGGAAGAATAGGTTCGCTGGACAGAAAAAAATCCGGCAAGTATAGGTACAAATTGCCGAAAGACCTAAGAGACCGGCGCTGTTGGTAAACGGTGTCGACGGCAGGTACGGTACGTGGTGAATCTCATGGGATTAGATACACCACCACTGAACTCCATCAACCTAATCTATGGGATAGAACTTTCCCCAACGTTGGGTTGACCAAACACAATGTCAGTTGTAAAGTATCACAGTCAGGGTCGACTGCATAGTCAGGGTCCTTAATCCCTACATATTGTTCTACCGACATGTATCATAAATCCAGAAATCGCTTCCAAGTTGCCCACTCGCGATCACCGACAGTACGGCTGAAGCCAGGTGACGTCACTTTAAGCACCTCAAGCATAAAACTGGAAAAGAGTGACGGGGCAAGGCTGTCCTTGTCCATCCTGGGCTATCCCACCAGCCACAGAAAGCAGGTTGCGCGATCAAGAACTTTTCGACCTGATGCCAGGATCGGAGAAAGTTCTACGGGAACTTGGAACGGCCCAGGCATTTCTTGGACAAAAGGGCCTGTCAAGACCTTGACCCGGCCGCCGAGAAGGGAAAGGGAGAAAAGCCCCACTGACTCCTCCCCTCCTAGATATGTTATTGAGACTGGAACCGCTGGATGGTTTAAAGCTGGCCATCCGACGAAATTCCCCTCCTGCTGCTCTGGAAACCGTTTTTCGTCATTATGAGGTTTTCTCTTAGACCTTATGCCAAGTTTTTCAATATCTTGCAATAACACACTTTACACTTCTAACACAGCGAAGGAGTGTCGCCTTCCCTCTCTTGTCCCGGATTGTACAATTTTTCCCGAATTCGTAATCCCTAGCCATCCTATCCCATCTTTCAACGGACCCTCCCACACACCTCAATTCCCATCCGATCTGAGATCGCACTCCTCATCCTTGTACCCATCCGAAACCATAGAGCTTACTTACATACCTACATACTCATTCTACATCCATACAGTTCAACCAATGGCGGATCCCCGTACTGGTGCAGCTCGCAAGAGCTCTTCAGCCTCGTCCTCAGCAGCGGAATTTGCACAGTCTCCGCAACAACAGCAAGGGAATTCGAAGGTCCCTATTCCACGCTTGCGACCAAGTGCAACCAGAGACGATGGCAGCGGCGGTTCAACGGGTGCTAGCGGTGGGGATAGGCACAGAGTTCCACACGCATGTGAGCCTTGCAGACAAAGAAAAACAAAGGTTCGTGCCGAGAAACCTTATTTTATCCCATCCCCACAACGTACGATCTCTCTTTTTTCTTTTAAAATAAAAACATAGTATCACGCTAATTACTTGCCTGCGACATTCGTGCGCATTGGGTTGAATAGTGTAGTGGTGAAAGGTGTGGGAGATTTTCTAGTGCCTACCTATTTCATAACGGGTTTCGGGTCTCATTGTTCGGATGTTTTCAACCTCAAGAGATATTGGAACTTAAATTTAGGCTACGGAATATCTCGGGCACGGTCAAACGAGCTCTCCACGGTTGAAAACAGTCGAGGGATGGGGCTTTGAACCGGAACTTTTTGGATCATTCTCCCCTAGTGGTATAATACTAATTGACTTAATTTTGAAATAGACCCATATGCAAACATTGCCAGGACTTCAAACTCGGCTGTTATTATGCTGACGGAAAGCGCGATAAAGCTAAAAAGTACTGCTTGATCCGAACTACTAAGCTATACAGCTAACCTTGAACCTAGTGAGATGATCTCCTTGAAATCGAAGGTGGAACTGTACGAGTCGGTGCTTGAGCAATTGAAGTGTCACGTTGACAGCGCTGGCCAATTAGCTATCCAAAAGGCTTTGCAAGGGGTCAGTCAAGTCGAGTTTTCTGGGCGTGTCCTATTGCCTGCACAGAACTTACAACCTCTGCCCTTACAGCCACGCGATATTGGCCTAGAATACCATTCAGCTCTTCAAAAGAACCGGGACGGCGAATCGCTTGTCACGGCCGGGGTCGGCTCAACCGGCTCTGTAGACCATATTCGAGAAGAGCCCAATCGGAGCGACAGCGCATACCCAACGGGGTACATGGGGAAAAATAGTGAAGTTGCCTGGATTCAAAGAGTAGCTCAACAACTTGCTCGTGAAGCTTCGGCAGAACCGCCACGTATGGCTCCCATGCCGGGAACTGGTTCTCAGAAATCGCATTCAGAGACATCGACTAAAAATTACAACTTAGAATCCAGTGCTCTTGCCACTAGGAATGACGACGAATACCAATTCGAAACGCCTACCTATCACCTAGACGATTTATCTGTTTCTATAGCTGGGGGACAAATCAATCCGTTCTATCTTCCTCCTAAAGAAACCGCTGATGAGCTTTTGAATGCATTTTTCTCCACAGTTTATCCCACATTCCCTATCGTACTAAAAAAGCTCTTTATGGCGCAGTACGACGCATTTTTTCAGTCTTTCTTTCCCCCGGCGAGCTCAAAGCGGTGGTTGGCAATGCTTAATTTAATGTTTGCGATTGGCTCATTGTATGGGCGTCTTACCAATGCTGATTGGAAGGAGGAATCTGAGATCGAGCACCTTAAATATTTCTCTAGGGGTAGAGTTTTGAGCCTTGATGAAGGAAGCATCCTTGAAGTACCTGATTTACAGCAGGTTCAAGTTGTTGGATTAGCTGGCATTTATCTTATTGCTAGTAACCAAACTAATCGGTATTCTACCTCCTCATCTTTTTTGGATTACCAAGCATGCCATGTCTCCCGTGCGGTTCTTGATGTGTCTTAGAGACATATCTTAGAAACCTTTAAATAAACATATACCTTAACTACGTACCGCCCCCTCCGGTTCGCTATCCCATCGCTAATCATTTTATCCTAATTGCCAGTGCATGGAACGTTGTCGGACTTGCCATTCGCTACTCGCAGACTCTCGGTCTTAATCTTCGTAACGACGTTCCTGAGCTCGATGAAGCAGAGAAGGAGATGCGCGTGCGAATGTGGTACTCGCTATATTCCCTAGAATATCTACTTTGTATTATGACCGGTCGACCATCTTGTATTCATGAGCGGGATTGTAGTGTACCAATGCCTCGCCCTGTTGATGAAGAACAATATCCCATGGAGGATGGGTTTGATATAGCCTTGAGAAAGTACTCCGAAACCGCCAGTCCTAACTCACAGCCACCATCCGCAAAACCTTCCGCCGTTTCCAGTCCTTTCATTTTTCGCAATTCGCCTCCCACACCTCAGTTCCCAGGACCCTCTGTCCCCGCCTCTAACATCTCTTCTGCGCCATCTCCTTCTTCAACAACGTCAAAACAGGCTACATCAGGCTCTTCACGCACTTCTATCAATTTTCTTAGCTCTGGCACATATCCCTCAACCTATTTTGTTGAGCATACAAAACTCAACCAAATAACTGCCGAAGTATTGTCAAACCTTTACAGCCCTGCCACCAGATCTCGAAGCTGGAGTGACATTCAGGGGACAATCTCCGCGATGGAGTTGAAGGTTATGAAATGGCGTGCTGACCTTCCAAACTTGCTGGATTTCGGCAAAAGACAACGAGATCAGCTTTATTACAGACAGGTATAGTGTTTTTTGCGTGACAGAGATATGATTCAAGCTTCACTGACGTTGGTAGCAGAGAATGAATCTTGCATTCCAGTACCATTACATCCGAATTATCATCAATCGCCCATGCCTATGCAGATTGAACTACTACCGTATACCAAATGAATCCAATCGTTCACGTGGGTTTAATCGGTCTGCAGCGGCAACGTGTATTGAGGCTGCCCGTGAGACGGTGGCACTTTTGCCGGACGAGCCAAACCCCGTTGGCCTAATAAGCAGCTCTCCTTGGTGGTGCTTGCTCCATTATCTTGTCTCTGCAGGTACAATTTTGATGGTGGAAATGGCTATGCGGGCTGAGCACAACCCGCAGCAAGCCGACAGCTTGTTGAAAGATTCCAAAAAAATATTGAGGTGGTTGAGGGCCATGGCAGAAGACAGCTTGGGTGCTGAAAGGTCTTGGAAAGTCCTTACAAAGCTGCTGGTAATATCTGCCTCCAAGATTGGCGGTGATGTCTCGGACGTGCCAACAGATTTCCCGGAGAACCGGGACGTTCCTGGTGGAATAAAGGCTGGAAATATTAATAACAACACAAACAGCGGCGGCAATTCCAGCTCGGATTACTCCCAGTCCCAGCAACAGAACCAGCCATTGGGAACACACAATGGAAACCAGACCGAGGAGACTAGACCAGGAACCAATGCCGAGGAATTCACCGACCTTTTCCGCGGTATACTGGGCGAACCCTTCCCGTTCTCCAATATCCCCATCCACACACACTTTGATGATGTGACGGCAATGCAGGACGTGCCCCCCCACTTTACCGATTCGGCGGCCGACAATCAGCAGAGCTTCCCGTCGAACCAGGGTCATTCTGCAGATCAGGATCTCCTCACAAATCACCTCCAGCCTCCCTCGGGCATGATGTTTACCAACTCCACTCAAATGAATAGCATAAATGTGAGAAATCAGCCTGACCCTACCGAGATATTGCAGGAGAGGCGCCAACGCAGGAGAGAGTCACAGGGAGTCAGAAACATATCGCTTCCGCCCTCTTACGCGGACCACTGGGCTTCCGTGCCACCCGGTGATGTGGGGTACCCAATGACACCGGCATTCCGTGAACCTGATCAGCAAACGAGAGATGGGGTAGCGGAATTTGAGCAACGGAGGAATTGAAAATCGAATTGAGGTTGCAAAAAAACATTTTGGAGTTTGGATATTTCTTTTTTTTTCATATCTTTTTTCTTTTTTTTACTCTCACATTGCGTAGGGCGCGCGGGGAGAGTAGGCGGCAATAACAGGCGTGTGCCTCGCGCGTGGAGGAGGGATATCAAGATGTTTTTGAAATTGGAAAAGGAAAAGGAGAACGAGAGAAGTGGTGGTGGTGGTGGCTGAGGCGGGGAGGAGGAGAAAGAGTGACAAGTGATGACCAGCGCAAGTAGTGTGTAGCAAAAGTATACACCAAAGTACACAGCGACGTCATGATGAGTTTTTCCCCGACCAAAAAAAAGATCTCGTTAATTTTAATAACCCCCCCCCCCCCTCTTTCACCTGCTCCCTCTTCTTACCCTTTTCTTTTTCTTTTTATTTACCCAATACCTTCTTTCTTGTAGTCTATATAGCAACAATCATCAATCAGGGCGAGTGTTTAGGGAAACGGAGTGCTTCCCCCTCATTGTCTTGGGTGGTGTTTGGTAGTCTGGATTCCAGTAGTAGTTTACTCTGCTGCAGTGTTATATCATGATCATGCGGTACCTAACGTTAACGGTCTATTATTGTTGACTTGGGCAGTCAATTGGTACATGTAGTAATTAGTGGTAGCAGGGGTCCAATGCTATATTGCTACTAGAGTCTACTACAATATTATCATTACATATGTGATTGTGACTAAAAAATACATGTAGTCCTTATAAGGGTTCCAAACTACAAACCTGTACTTTTTCTTGGAGCCATTTTTCTAAACTCTACCTATATGGACGAAAAGAGTTCATACTACACTTTATGTTCTCACTTCTCGAGCTCTCGATCTCTATTACTCCAAAGATCATCCCGAAAACGGACAGCCCGTCACACACACAAGGCGTTGGTTTTGCCTCGAACTCAAAGAGGCAGTTTCGACGTCTTGTGTGACCGGCTATAGAAATTACTTGGGACGCCTTGCCACGGTCTGAATTAGCACGCTGCCAGAGGATTGGTGCAGGTTATATATAGTCTAAACGGCTATCATAAACCTAAGCGCTCGCCTATACACATACCTCACCCACTCACAAATCCGAACTGATAAAAAGAATTAAGAATTGCCAATTGCCAATTGCCAATACCCCACATACACAGCAGAGGGTTAGGTTTATTCATCCCGCAGCGAGGGAGGGTGTGGTGGAGTTTCATGATCGTCATGGATATGTGGGGGCGGGCCGCTGGCAGGCGGGCGGGCTAGTGGTGCCAGCAAGGTTACATTCGTGGAACCGAGGCCCGGTGGTGCCCTACCGCCAAAACTCGAAAAATTGGCTATCTCCGTCCAGGGACTACCGCTTGAATAATTGGTTGGATGGCATCGATCTACATCAGAAGTATCCCATATAAGTAATTCTGATCTAGCCAATTCTTCGAGTTATGGCGGTAGTTGGATGGGAGCTGTCGGTGGGGGTCTTTACTCGGGCCAAGCATGTCATTGATGTCCAAAGTAAGGTGTGCCGAGGGCTTAGTTAACCCGGTACATACTGATTGATACTCAGAGAGGGAGAGCTGGCTGAGCTGCGATGTTGTAAAACAAGTTAAGCAACTCAGGGTCCACAGCTTTGAGGAAAGCCACGCCAGCGAGCAGAACATGTAGTTACACATCTACGACATACATGCTAACCACAACAACTACAACAATAACAACTCACTCAATCTTCCCGCTCACCTCCCTATTCCCACCGCCGCCAAAAAATTATGTACCTACTTTACTCTATTGCACGATACGCGTTGTCTATTTTTAGTTTCTCTCACGATCTTCAATATGTGACCCAAGCCCATCAAGGCATTGACCATCACGATAGTTCTTCAGCTCCACAGTCCTCTCAACGTCATCCCGGGTGCCGTTCCTAACTCGCAACACCGTCTCCTACTAGGTAGAGTGTGTGCGCCGGCTGCCAGTCAGGCACGCAGCGCGCTGTGATCTCCCATCACCAACACACACATATCCCGGTTTTTTCCTTGTCAAAAACCGACCCCTCGGAAAACCCTGCACAGTTATGACCTCAGTAGAGCGGAGCAAGTAAGCTATTCCTGTCTATCCGACTGCTCGGCATTGTGCAAGAAAGAAGATCTGCCCCCAGGGGGGGGGGGGTGTAGTGAGGTGGGGAAGCAGTGACGTCATATGACGGTTGACCTGCAGCGGTCACGGGGGTGATAATGTGACCGCGACGGAGGGTCTGGGGGAGAAGATGCAAGTGAGTGAGCCTGCGGGGTTCACGCAGTTTAAGTAGGGTTTAGTAAAACTCTAGGCGTCTTCTGGGGTCCCTTGGCGGTTGGTGCATGTGGGCCATGAAGGATCACTCGTACGAGGAGAGTTTGATAACTCTTCCACAACGCCACACCGAACACGGCCACACGAGCAACTCACGTGCCCCGGAGTAGAGTTTCTAAGACTCTGGTGTTTCTCAAAAACCCCTGAGTTATGTTCCGCAGTGACTTCCAGAGTACAGTATGGTATGGTTACCCCCGGCCGAATTGGCTCTGATCCATACATGCCGTTGCCACAGCCGTAGAGAGAGCAGAGTAGATTAACTCAAAGTGAGCAGATCTCAACCAATCTATGGCGCAAGTTAGAGTAGGTACACGCTCTTTTTTCCAAAGGGGAAGAAACTCGGCGCAATAGATAACCCCCTATCCACAGTTGGAGCTCGAACACTCCCACGGTTGGTAGCTCCACGCTCAACGACTCCGGCAAGATCACAAATGCAACACCCCTTTCCCGACCCGATCAGACAATCATCGGGTCTCACTCGATCCCATCCACAACTATTGTGGGTTGACAAAAATAACCGATCACCTCACTTCAGGTCAGAATAATTCAACAACCAGGAGAGCAATTGAATAACTTTAAGTCTCCGAAACGGAATTAGGTGCTTGAAAAGAACGGACTTATCCTTCTGACCTCGAAGGTCTCGATGTGAGGTTTCTTCGCAGGACAGTTTTGGTTGCTATGGGTGCCAGTGATCGGTTATTTTTGTCACCCGATTATCTTATCGGATGTCACTGCAATCTGAACCACGCCCGTTCGCCGCAGCTTAGCGAGGGACACGCCGAGTGGGTAGTCTAGGTAGAGTAGGTAGTTAGAAGCTAGACATACACTTGGAGTGGAGCGTTCTCGACTTTATTTCAACGACTCCGAGCGCTGGGGACGGTTTGTGAACGCGTGTGTAGGCACCCAGTCTGATAAGAGCAGGGGGAGGAGGGAAGAGAAAGCGAGAAAAAGTGAATGCGGAGATTAGTGAATTCGGCACGGTGACTTTGGGTTCTTGCCAGAGTGATCGAGTGGCATAAAAGATATGATATGTAGGGTTTTGTTTTGGTTTTTTTTGTTTTTGTTTGGGCGTCTCGAACCTGAGTTTTGATCTTTGCTTTCGCTCCTCCAACCAAATTTTCACACACAACTGTCACTCTACTCTACCTACTACTGAGATCGTAAGAAGTAAAAATTTCAAAGTGCGCCTTATGTATGCTGCTGAGTTAGCACTTTCAAGTACATTGCCTAAAGTACTCTACCTACATGCCCTGGGATAACTTTATGTATGGGGCCTAGCTCGCGTAGAATTGAATTAGGGTTTTTCAACCCCTCCACGTGAGAAAGGACCGGGGAGCGAGGGGAGGGAGGTCCAATTCAGCCGTACCTACATCTTAAATACCACCACTTTGGAGGAAAAGAGCCATGCTGACACAAAACACTGGACAAACACTTTTCCCTTCCTAGTTGGAACTTGGAACCCAACATGGAAGGCCATGTCTCAGGGACACCTTTCCTTCGCGTCCACTACGGCCACGCCCAGAAAACAGAAATCACAATAAACACAGAGCATTTAAATGCCACGACATCTGACGACGACACAAACTAGAAGAGTAGAACCGTGTGGGTCTCTCTAGAGGCATGATGGAGTGTGGGGAGTGTAGATAGGTACACGACCGGATTAGCTCTCTTTTCCCGTTCTGCCTATTGCGTCGGAAATTGGAATTGGGGTACTTCATGCATGTGGTGGGCCTCCTTCTCTAGATGGTGGAATGGGGGGGACGGGATTGGGGTCGCTTAAACATGGTGCAACATCAGGGCGTTGTGTGGAAAGTGCTTTACACCATCGGGTAAGAAAAAAGAGAAAACGAGAGTATAGTAGAGCTTCGGAGAGGGAGTGGAATTGTGGGTTATGATTGTAGAAGACTCGAAGGTTTGGACGGATTGGTGAGAGTGTTGGGCGGCTAACACGACGGAAACATGGATTGGGGGGGGGGGGGGGGGGAATTAGGATTGGGATTGACGTTGACATTTCGATCGTCTCTTGGAGAATCTCGAGGGATTGAGTTGGTCGCTTTAGGACAGCTCAGTGCTTAGGGAGACACATACACAGATAGCAATGAATAGACCATAGAATACATGGAGCTGGTCTGGGGATTATTCGCCTTTTTCTTACCTCATGCTCACATCCTCAATTGCAAGAAGGCGCACAGAAACACAGACACATCATTATCTTTCCTATCTACTAGGTATCTCCATGTAAAGTTATCCAGCGTATACTCTAGGAAGGAGGAACTAAAATACCAGCCTATCCCATCATCACATACCGCCGTCGTCGGACATCATATGCAAACATACTTTGCGTAGGTACATGTACTTATCCAGACAGAGAGGATAAGCTCTCTCTCCTTCGTCTGCATATTACCATCTTCATCTAAGACAAGCTTCTGGAAAGCCTCTCCCTACCTAGAGACGCAGCCGCCGCCTTCCTTCCCTTTTGATACTTGGCTGCCGTTGCAAATATATACACACACTTCAAGTGACATCTGCGCGTCCTCGTCCCATCACGACACCTTCGAGGCACGGCAACTCGCCACTCCTCCCTTCACACTCACTCACACTCTCTATTTTCACGTTCATTGACTCGAATCAATAACTTGAGCAGCAGCCTGCCTATTGAATCTCCTTTGTCTGTGGTTCACTCAACCTTCAAAGGCTGCCGACCGCAGCCAGAAAAGAGAGACGTTGTCACATTCAGCTTCCACTCATTTGGTGCCATTGCATTGCATTTCAGGTCAACAGCAGCAGACCTTGTCAAGTTCAACCACACTCTTTGGTCCTACAGAATCGAAACGCCCATCACTCTTTTTTTCTTTGCTCAGCCACATTTGGCCTGATCCTGTTTCTCGGTCTGTGCCTATCTGTGTGTTTAGAGGTGCTTGCTCACTCTAGTCCCCCCAAAGGGCCCTCCCACACCTCTCCACAGACCACAAACACCCACGCTTCCCCTTCCCTCCTTCGAAGACTTATTTTGTCTTTTCACGCTCTCTCCTTCACTCGTTTCCCCTTAATCCCTTCCAGAACCCCGTCTTCATACTTCCGGAGACTCGGTTCTTTACTCTCCAACCATCAATATGCGAATGCGACCCGCAACCCCGCTCAGCATTATCCTGCTGGCCGCATTTGCTCTCTTGCTGCTGAGTGTTCTGAGTACTCCGATCATTCCTGGAATTCACCTCGCCGCCTATAACGACGTTACCTTCGGGGTTTTCGGCTTTTGTACGTCGGGACAATGTAGTGGCTATGCAATTGGTTATAACACAGGTATGTCTTTACCATCGGTCGTGGAGATTACGGAGAATGGGGCAGGGGGGAAGGTCTGGCGAGAGGGTAGATGAGGCTGCGATGTGGGCTGGTTCGGTGTTATTGTGACCGCTGCTAGCCTTGCATTATGCGGACGCGATGTTAATTGGTCCATGCGACCATTGCCGTGTCTTGCAGCTCGCCTTCCTCCCCCCTCGTCCTGTCCATGCGTCAATCAGTCATCAGGAAAATTGCTAACCTAAAATCCTCACAGCATCTGGTGAACTTTCGAATGCCGACTTTTCCCTCCAGTCCAATGCCCGCAATTCACTGACACACTTGCTGATTGTGCACCCCATTGCGGCACTATTTACTCTAATATTATTAATTCTCTCGGTGCTTTCGCACCTCAACGGCCCCGCGCATTCCCCACGATACTTGCTTGCTATTCTGATTCTTTCGCTACCAACATTTGTGCTCTCACTTCTTGCCTTCCTAGTTGATATCTTAATTTTCCTACCGCATGTTCAATGGGGCGGCTGGGTCGTTCTCGGGGCGACTGTTCTCAATGCTATAGCAGGAATCATAACCTGCGGTATGCGCCGGACGCTTGTGCAAAAGGTCGCTCGTCGGAAGAGAATCGCGGAGGCCCCGCCTACAAATGGCACGGAATTTTATGCAAATCAGCCTCAAGTCGCGGCAGTCCCGCCGATTCCAGAGAGCAACATGGGCGATAAGGTGCCGGAGTTCGCTACTTTCGAAGTTGATAAACCTGTGCACGGGGAGACGGAGGGAGAGTGTATCCCATTGAATCCTAGATCGCGAGCCATGTCACCGGCAGCGCCCGAAGAAAGAGTGATGGGTGGCGCGAGTTCGTTTAACCAGCCTTCATTACGTCGTGCGCCTAGTGATAGGAGTGAGGGTATGGGCCGCCGCCGAGAGGTGCGGGGCCACTATCGAGGCCCAACCCACCGGGACAAGTAAGGGGACAATACCCGAATCAACCAATGCAATCGGCGAATAATGGTAATCCGGGACTGTATGGCGCTCTCCCACCTAGAGGATATGGTAGCCCGGCACCTGGATATAATGGTGATGGTTATAATGGTGGGCCTCCTCAAGGCGGATATAGAGGGCCTCCCCCTCAGAATGGACCAGGAATGTTCAACCCAGGCACAGGGCTAGGGCCTCCTCCGAGAAGAGGTCCCGGGCCGAACCAATTTGGGCCCCGTGGGCCACCGCCGCAAAATGGCGGGTCATATGGGGGTGGTGGACAGTATGGAATGGGGCCGGGAATGGGACCGGGACCGGGAATGGGACCAGGAATGGGAAATCATAATGGGATGGGACCTCAAGGAGGAATGGGGCCAAACGGCATGATGATGGGTGGTGGCCAGGGACAGAGGAGACCGATGCAACAGCAACCCCCGCCACAACACCAACAACAAAGAGAAAGCCGCGAATATGATTTCCCTGCGGAGCAGCCACATGTAGACGAAAGACGGGAGTTTGAGCAGACGCTTCCTGCAGCAGCAGGAGGCACGGCAGTAGGAATTGCAGCAGCAGCACCAGCAACCAGCGAGGAATATCGTGATGATGATAGGCGCGTGCAACCTGCCGAGTTGGCCGCAGATATGCAGCGGGAGCCCACTCCGCCCAGGCTGGCTGTTGTAAATGATACTAAACAGCCGTACGACAATGAGTACTACCCATTTAACATTCTAACTTGCTATTTCCCTCCCTTTATTAACAACTCATAGATATGTACCCCCACGTGCAGTATGGAATGGACAGAGCTCTGGTACTCCGCCGCCTCAGTCTCGCACGCCGCCCCCAGCTGAACTTCCTACGCCCGCCGACGCATCTCCTGCCCGCCGTGGAAATAATGCCGCTCCTCGTCCGTCTGAAAGTTACTACGAGGATGTGGCACCAGTATTCGATGCTACCCATGTCGCACATTCGCAATCCCCGCACCCGCACCCGCACCCGCATGCGCCTATGCCCGGCGGTATGCCCGGACCTATACCGTACAGAATACAGATACCGCAGCAGCAGCAGCAGCAGCAACAGCAGCAGCAACAACAGATGCCACTACGTACGTTAGAAGACCTTCAGGATGGCCAGAGAAGTCCCGCAATGAGTACAACCAGCAATTTCACAAGTATCAGTCAGAGGCCCCCAAATCCTAACTGGGTGCCAGGACCAGGTCAGCAGCCACCAATGCCGGGAGGAATGAGCCAAGGGCGGCGAGGACCGACGTCTAGTCAATTACTTGGAGGGAATCCCGACTTTGAACTGCCAACTGGACGAGCCGGAAGGTTCCGAGGTGGGGCAGGTATGGGGAGATGATTTTGAGGGCTAATTTTAGTACATATTGCGGAGAGAAGGGGTCAGTTGATATCTTTTTTGTGTGGGTTCTTTATGTTTTTATCTACTCCCTGAGAGATTTCCAGGTTGAGAGGATTGATGAGTATTGATGTCGGAATTAAGCAGACAGGAGGATGGTCTGGTACCGCGCATGTTGTTTTCTTTCTTTTCTGTCTACTCTAGGTTCTTGCTGTTCTTTTGGTAGGGCGTATTTTCGTGGTCTGCGTACACCATTTTTTTCTTTTTTTTTCTACTTGTGTTAGTTTAGGGTATAAGACTTCGTCTTATCAACGACGTCAACATTCCCCTTCTTTAGTTGTGAATCTGGTAATGGCAGATTCAGCTATTCACTTCTTTTTCTTCTGTTTTTATCCTTCTTTGTGCGACATTTCATTTTTTCCCCTTGTTCTTTCGGTTTTGGTATATGATTACTATATCATCTCTTCAACGACCAAAATAATAGCTCTGGGGGTTTATGTTGTTCTGATTTTTCTTTTCTTTTTTTCTTTCTTCATGGGGCAGGCTATTATTCTATTTGACTACGCGATTATTGATGGGAGGGGTGATGCGGATGTATGGGAGCTTAAGGGATGAATGACAGAAACCACAAGAGAACTTGGGGGTTCACATGCGCACCATAGTTTGGATATATGTAGCTATTGACTTTTTTCTATTATACTACATACATGTATTAATGTTATCCCCCTTTTTTTTGTGAATGTTTTTTTCTTTTTATTTACTTTCGGTATGGTGTGTATTTTTTTTTTTTTTTGATTGTCTTTATGCCTTTATTTCCCCCCTCCCCTCAACGTTCATGATCATGATATCGTTTTTTAATGCTGCATTTTTCTCTTCTTAAGCTTCTTTTTCCTTTTCTTCTTTATTTCAGTTATGGGCGTTCAGTTCAGCGCGTGTAGCCATAGGTCCAATTAAGTCCAATCCAAATATGCATACACTTCTTATATCACGTATCTACTTTGAATTCCGCTGGTTCCGAGACTCGAGGTGGAATATATATCGATATCGATATATATTATCCGAAATGAGATTACAGAGCATAACCTGGTAACTACAATTCTAAACTGGAGGGTCTCATCTTAATATATACAGATTATTACTATAGCTATATGATATCAAGGGGATCTCGGTACGTAATTGTGGTTGGTAAATGAGAGTTAATTAAAACTAAGATACGGTTAATTAGATGTATCATGCGGTACGAAGCCTCATGCTCACGATACTTATTGCTTCTTCCTCTTATACATACATCTATTCTCAGATATGCTCTATAGGGACCAAGAAAGTCACGGCTGCCTATATGAGAAGTATTTAACCATCCCTCAGTGCATGATGTATCTGCACTTGAAATTGACTCGTGTCCAAAGCTAAACCATTACTCTGATGTTTGGCAAAAGGAATGGACGATACGAATACGGGAGGGAAAAAATGAGTCCCTTCGACCAGAGTCGAACTGGTGACCAACCGGTAAGCAAGCTATTACAGCCGGGTGTGATACCAACTACACCACAAAGGGATTAAATATAATGACAAAATTTGATTATACCATTACTTTATCTAACCCTAGAAGGTTGGTGTTGTGAGGACCTACAGGAGATGATTAGTCACAGAGAGGTAAGTATTGGGATGACCTGCGCCTTGACTCAATCAAGAAGTAGTAACCTGATATTGATATTAATTCTGTCTTTACTAACATTCATAAGCGTGAAAAGTCCTTCGCTATTAATTATACCTACTCAGAGCTTGCTTCTTTAAGACGGTTAGAACATGCCTCTTCAAATTCCTTGAAGAAGATACACTCGATCTAGACTTGCTACTATTCAATTTTTCCGTAATAAGCCCCCAGTTCGCACTTTCGATCGCCATATCAAACACCATCTCGGCCTCCTTCCTCGTCATAAACGGGGTGGCGCCCTTCTTGACACCCGTAGCTGGAAAAGACCTTTCTGGCGAAGTAATCTTTTTAATGGAAGGGGCACGCTTGCTTTTCGTGCCAGGGGTTGTTGGTTCCTGGGTTCACAGTTGTGGTAAGTAACAAGAGCTTGTAAGAATTGATACTAAGCTAGGTTGGTCTTTACCTCAACACTTGCGGTAGCAGTAGCAGTAGCAGCAGCAGTAGCAGCGACAGTAGCAGCGACTTTCTGCCTTTTCCCTTTTGCACGTGTGTTGGGCTTCCCCTTTGTCTAAGGTATGTATGTATAAGAATTTTGCCAAACCAATATATCCATGGGCTAAGGGATACCAAAGAGAACTCAGACACATCATCATTCCCACTTTGGCCACTGGCATCAGTACTGCCGGACTCTCCTGGCTCAGGCTCCCCCTCATCGCCATGTGCCCGCTTATGCTTCGAACTCTCGCCCGTGGAAGCGTCATTCATTATGACCGCCATAAGGTTTTGAAATAGAGTGAATGGGGTAGACGATGAAGCTGAGATGTCACTATTTATATCGGATCAACTGTATGGATTCCTTCCTGCTGATGCGGACTGAATCTTTGCTATACAGGGACGTAGTATCTCTTTATCATATACCCTCCCGCCACACCTACAGGCTTCCTCTCCATGTTGTATAGACGGTTAGGAGCTGTGATGTTAGTAGAATCTCTGTTGGTATGTTTGTCGATCATCGCAGAGCTTCCAAAGAGGCTTTGAATGTGATTGAAGACGCTTGGGCGCAAACCCTTTAATTTTTGTGATGAATGAGAGCCCGAAAACCGTGATAATTGTTCACGAATACTGGTGTGTGTATTGATGAAAGGGAGGCTTCAATTGGCCAGTGGAAATCAATAGAAGCTGGGGGTTTGACAAGTTATTTGTTCATATCGACAAGAGTCTGTGCAGTCGCCACTTCATTTGTGATGGGCTAGGTTTGTGGTCTTCCTATTCCTTTGCTCGTACGCGTGTTCAGAGCTAGAGGCCAACGCTGTGATCATGATGTTGTTGCATTGATGGCAATGACGCACGTGGAGTAGCAGTATAGTTAGTACCAATTTTTAGAGTTGGATACGTAAGGTAGATGAGGCCCGAGACCCAGGATCCTTGCAATGCAACACGGTCGTTTATGGGTCATTGATTGATTGTTGATCCTGGGTTGTTGGTAGATGAAGTAATAAACTAACCAAAAGAAGAGGCTTGTGTTTGGATCGATTTTGATTGGATCATATCTTAATCAATCGGCTGCTTGGTAGTGTGTAGTTATGTTCGAATCACAGATTATCACTCGAGCAGCTTCCAAGCACGATTTCGGAGCTGAGAGCTGAAAATCTCATCCACACCAGAGAAAGAGTTCTTGTCCTACTGCTCTCCGGCATAAAGACATACAGAACAAGAGAGGCGCAGATAATGCATGCAAACAGCTATCTGGGCGTAGCAGGGCGGAGAGAAGGTTTCAAACAATTACCTCTTGTATAGTACTAGTGGCATGTAAGACCAGGCTTAAACAAAGATTGGGATATTCATCTCAGCTAAGATAGACCCATGAGAGTTTTATTTGACGAAGGACACAACATATACTTCGTATAGGTCACAGGTTTTTGCCTTCCCCATATTGTTTGTTCGCGAGCACCTAGGCGGAACACAACTAGACGACACCCGCGCCCCAACGAGCCATGCCTAGGTGCAACCGATTCTCCGGGAACGTGGAATCTAAGTCCAAATTCTAGTGTCCTACGCCTACTTTTAATTTACAAAGTCATGCATGCACCATTGGGTTCCCGTATCCGGCCGGGTCATACACACAATCAGGCAGCGCTGGATGTATAGAGGCCCTGGTGAGATATATATCATAATTGTTTGAATACTCATAAGATGTCACGATCACAGTCATTGCGGCCTTCTAGGTGACTTTGGTGGGGCCGGCGGTTTCTTCGCAATATGGCGCCGATAAACTATAAAATACTAGTAAGGCTTTATCCGATTATGCACGGCTATATCGATCTATATGTAAGGCAACAAGGCTTTTTATTTACGACTATTGCAGTTACAACCTACTTAAGTACGTCTTACTTCCAGATCTTGCCTAGGTTTGATTTCGCAGGTAGTTTATTGCTCGAGGTCACGTGAAGGGTTACTGAACCACTGAACTACATATCACGTGTGATGACTGGCGAGCGGCGTTGTTTTTTAACCAGGTACCTGAATGTAGGTACATGTATGTAAGATTGAATTATTGAAGTACATGTACCTACGTTGATGAGATTTACCTGCTATGTAATCGGCCCCGAATAATAAACTTATGATTTCGGAAACCTTAAAGATGATATTATTGGCTATGACAAAATATAGTAGGACTTGGTATTTTTCTTAGATTATTGTATCAGAATAAACCAAATTCACGATTCACCCGTACCCGGCTTACTCTAATGCTCACGCATATGTACCCCCGACATGCAGGCTTACTATTGTCCTAGTGCATCAAGCCACCTACGCCCCACACCTACCGCATCACGGCCGTGGTATGGGAGTCGACAGAGACGCACATAAACAATTTCAAAAAAGGTACCATGTAGTGCCCTATAGACACATCTAGTACAACAGGTACCTATAGCTAGTACGCATTTATTGCTGTGCCAAAGGCATGGTAAGAACCGTATTGTGTGCGACGTCACACGTGTACATAGCATCTGATCATGGTTGATCATGATTAGAGAAAAATAAGGTTCTTAGAGCTGTAGACTTGAGTATATTTTGTCATTGTCATACTATATCACTCGCTTATAAAGCTTAAGTTATTAGTTGCACAGCCGAAATGAGATACTAATCCCTAGTATACTTGGGCCTAGGCGAATTATGTAATTCCGGTGCTGATTGATGCAAGGAGCCTGTTGCTCAAATGTTACATAAGGCCGTCTCGCTAAATCGGTTGATGAAACTCTCGTGGCTATGCTGCTGCTGAGTATCTCCGGGACGTTCGGCAACCGTGACCCGATGTGCTCGACTTTGGCACCGCATATGTGACCGAATGCTTATATTTAGGAACTTTTAGAAAAGATGGATAGCTACAACCAGGAAGCGGCCCGTGTGCTGATATGCTGGAAAGGTTAAACTTAAGATAATGGCACCGCAGCCGCCTTTGCGTTACCAACAAAACGACCTAAAAACATGACCCAATGAGATCACCAAGCGATATCTTGAGCCTTGGGCTGATAATTATCACGGGATGCTTGTAGTTGGATATGTTCGCATAAACAGTTCCAACATTTGTTGGAAACTGATATATGAGTTAATGGAGATGCCTTCAAGTTACCAGCTTCTATTCCCACGCGCCTACTCCAAAATACAGATAAGAATTAATAAGCCGTTAATAATCAAAGTTAATGTTGGGGAATGCATGTATGATGAAAGTAAAGTAAACATTAAACACATATTGAGCCGATTGATATTTCACTTTTGCCAAGACTTATATTGGAGGACTTCCCATAAGCAATAGAGCACGTTCTATTGCAATAGCAGGTGGTTCTTAGATAGATCCAGTTCCCATATGTTTCTATTCGCCGGACTCGTTCCATTCATTTACTAAGGCAGATAGGGTATAGTGGACGTTTCCTAGTGAGTTCTGTATTCTAACCGAAAAAGGAAGGTGAAAGTCGGGAAATGATGCACATTGGGTGATATCTCAACCACGAGAGAATTAGTCTGTACACAAATCTATCTTGAGTTCAATTTAAGTGTGTAGATTCCTTTCATAAGAAAAAATAAATAAAAAAGGTCTGTCATCGATACTTTTTGGTTTTTTTACCACTGATTTTGGCTACCGGATAGTGACTTCTTGCTTGAAGAATTAACACCAAATGAATTCTTAGCCATTGTAGAGACGCCCTACACTCGAAATTTGAATTTAGGGAGCGTGTTGCGTTGCGCCGGGGTGTGGGTATTTGGGGTAATTGGCCGTTGTCAAACCAAAATGTGCACCACCTCCCAACACCCTGGGTACATTTTGTATAAGTCCATTGTTAGAATACACGGACGGATCATAGGATCTCACTCTGGCCTGAACGTCATTTCCCTTACTCATTCACCGCTCGGCAGGTACTACGGGAACAGGAATTAAACAACAACGCGTCGGGAAGAAATATATTAATATCGACACCATATAAACAAACTTCGGGAAAGACATCGCGGAGCTATGGTTCCCCCAGTCTTAAAGGTAACATGAGAAAAACGCCAAGTCTCGAATAACTTTTCAACCACGATTGATATTAAAAATCTGGAAAGACAAACTCTTCTTCATCATGGTATCCAGCTTTTCTCTTTCCAGATTTTTAATATCAATCGTGGTTGAAAAGTTATTCGAGACTTGGCGTTTTTCTCATGTTACCTTTAAGACTGGGGGAACCATACATGTACACCCGCAGGAAAAAAGTGAGGAAACAGCGAGTAGCGTGACAACGGGTGCCTCCAACTTGACATCCCCACACCTGCAATACAACCCCACGAGTATTCCATGGCCATGCCTTTTGACAAGTCTGGAAAGTGGATAGAGGCTACTCTGAATGGAAACATAAAAGTTATTGAAGCCCAAGCTAGGGAAGTGTAGGAAAGGCCGGATTGGGGGAAATGTATATAAAAACCATTGACAGCATACCAAAGAGAATTGCAGCAGTAGTAAAGGACTAGGGATCATAGGGGATGGTGAATATAGTTTAGAGGCCATAGTATCTATTCTGTATTTTATTGTTTAGTTATATTACTTCTTTTCATTTTTATCCCCAATTTTGCATTGGGGTTTGGACGGGTTGCACCCGCTGTTTCCTCACTTTTTTCCTGCGGGTGTACTTAACTATATGCATAGGGCCGTCATCATATGTTATGGAACAAGTATCCCATAGATACAAACCGCGCACCCTTCTGCGACATCATTCTCAGAGCCAAATTAATTACAAAGAATATAGTAAAAACATTTTCTGGGTCAATGACGAATGACCAAATCAGCCAAGATCATGCTGTCTCATCCGGATAGAATGTTGCGTATTTTCCGTTCTTCATTACTTCATGAAGAACAGCTAGACACTTTCCTTATTTAGGATTTATTCTTCGTCTATTAGTTCATGGTTATTTTTTTTCTAGCTAGGAGTCATGATGCGTACGTATGCTTGTTAGTTTTTCTATGCACTTGTTTGTTTTTATTATGTACATGTAATATATAGTGGGATGGCCTAAGGACAAGTTACAAGTACACTCTTTCTGAAATTTTCAATTCATACTTCTAGTACACGTACTCATTAATGGGACCGTTCAGTTTTTTCTAGGGCAATAAATGCGCATTCGCCATTGAATCAGGCTCATCATTGGATCAAAGGACTATATATATATGTATTTGCAGCTGCAGCAAGAGATACATACTGCAACCGCAGATGTTTCCTTGTGCAACGACTGATCAT